TTGGGGGCCCCTTTTAAAACCCTGCCCAAAATAGGTAACTTAAAAAATTTAAAATACCGGAGGAGAGAAAACCTTTTAAAAGGGAAAGAAATAAAAACCCTCCCGTTAACCCGGGGTTGGGAAAATTTTTGAAAAATTGAAAACAATCGTTCAAAAGGGTTTTTTAAATTTTTACAGTTACTAATCAATATTAACCGGAAAAATTTTTCGGGTTTATATACCCTGTATTACCTGGTTTTTGAAGGATGGTTTTAAATTTACATTTTCGTCTCACAAAAAGGGGGTTTCCCCAGTAATTTTAATGTCACGGGTTTAAAATTTAAAAAGCACTTTCCCTGCCCCACTTTGGGGTCGCCCGGTTTATCGGGTCTGCAAGGGAAATTAAGTGTAAGTTTCACCAAGCTAAATATAATAAAACGGGGAAAAAAACCAAAAGCATTTGTTTTTGAAAAACTCTTTTCCTCTTTTTAGTTGACTTAATTTTTATTTTTTAACTGAGTTCATTTAACCGGGTGATGCTCCCCGAGAAGGTTCTGGACACAGGAAAGTATAAAAAAAATGAACAAAGGGCAAAAACTCCAAAATTAGGCAAGGAGGAGTTATGTTTTTTTGAACTGCACTTCTATTTAATGAGATCTATCTATCTATAAAGTTTCCTGATGATATCAGATTTATGTCCCTGGTAAAATTCAAAGTGTAAAAAATGAACAAAGGGCAATAACTCCAAAATTAGACCAGGCTTTTTTAGGTTCTTTAAGCATTGCAGTTCTATCCGATTATATCTAGCTACCTACAAAGTTTCATGTTGATATCTCTAATAGTTTTAAAGTTATGTCCCGGACAAAAGTCAAAAATTAAAAAATAAACAAAGGGCAATAACTTCAAAATAAGGCAAGGCAGAGTAATGATTCTTAAGCACTGCACTTCCATCCAATGAGACCTATCTATCTACAAAGTTTCATGTTCAGATATCTCTTATAATTTTAGAGTAATGTCCCGGACAAAGTTCAAAGTGTCAAAATGAACAAAGGGCAATAACTCCAAAAGTAGGCAAGACAGTGTTACAGTTCTTGTGCACTGCAAACCTACTTAATGAGATCTATCTACCTACAAAGTTTCACGTTTTATAGTTTTAGAGTTATGTCCTGGACAAAGTTCAAAGTTTAAAAAATAAACAAAGGGAGATAATTAAAAAATTAGGCAAGGCAGAGTTATGGTTCTTGTGCACTGCACACCTACTCAATGAAATCTATCTACCTACAAAGTTTCATGTTGATATCTCTTATAGTTTTACAGTTATGTCCTGGACAATGTTCAAAGTGTAAAAATAAACAAAGGGAAATAATTCAAAAATTAGGCAAGGCAGAGTTACGGTCCTTGTGCACTGCACACCTACTCAATGACATATTTCCACCTACAAAATTTCATGTTGATACCACTTATACTTTTAGAGTTATGTCCCAGACAAAGTTCAAAGTGTAAAATAAACAAAGGGGGATAATTCAAAAATTAGGCAAGGCAGAGTTACGGTTTTTTGTGCACTGCACACCTTCTCAATGAGATCTACCTACCTACAAAGTTTCATGTTGATACCTCTTATACATTTAGAGTTATGTCCCGGACAAAGTTCAAAGTGTAAAAATAAACAAAGGGGGATAATTCAAAAATTAGGCAAGGCAGAGTTACGGTTCTTAATAACTGCACACCTACTCAATGAGATCTATCTACCTACAAAGTTTCATGTTGATACCTATTATAGTTTTAGAGTTATGTCCCGGACAAAGTTCAAAGTGTAAAATAAACAAAGGGAGATAATTAAAAACTTAGGAAAGGCAGAGTTACTGTTCTTGTGCACTGCACACCTACTCAATGAGATCTATCTACCTACAAAGTTTCATGTTGATACCTATTATACTTTTAGAGTTATGTCCCGGACAAAGTTCAAAGTGTAAAATAAACAAAGGGGATAATTCAAAAATTAGGCAAGGCAGAGTTACGGTCGGTTCTTGTGCACTGCACACCTTCTCAATGAGATCTATCTACCTACAAAGTTTCATGTTGATACCTCTTATACTTTTAGAGTTATGTCCCGGACAAAGTTCAAAGTGTAAAAATAAATAAAAGGCAAGGTAGAGTTACGGTTCTTGTGCACTGCACACCTACTCAATGAGATCTATCTACCTACGAAGTTTCATGTTGATACCTCTTGTTGTTTCAAAGTTATGTCCCGGACAAGAAAAGGGGACGGACGGACGGAAAGCCGGACGGACGGACGGACAAGGCGGCGACTATATGCTCCCCCGAAATTTTTTCGGGGAGCATAAAAAGGAAATCCCTGAGCAAAAGTTAAATCCAAAGCAATACAAGTAATATATCCAAATATGAAATGCACAAATGTATGCCCTTAGCATGGTCTACATTTTTCATAAAAAAAAGGCTGGTTATTTTTTTTAATATAAATTTTAAAAATTGGTTTTTGTTTTTCAAAATGCGAGGGAAAAAAATGAATTTTCCTGTTTCTGCCAAACATTTTTAAAAATATTTTGGGGAAAGGAGTTTTCTATCCAACAGAAACTTGATTCCCCAAGGGGCAAATAGAAATTGGGACTCCCAAAAGTTGTTGAATTTCATCGAAAAAAGGGGAGCAATTTAATCGGAAAAAACGAAAGGTTTTTTTAAATTTTTTCAAGGGTAATTTTTTTGTCGCGGGCAGTCCCTGTTTAGTAAAGTTAAAGATATCACACATTCTAAAAGTGTTACAAAACAACAGTAAGGCTCCTAAGGTATTTGTATTACTCAAATAAAAAGGAGAAAATCTAATTATTATATTATTCTTACTTAAGGATGTTTAGAAAATACGCTTAAATGTATTTAAATTAAAGAAGTGTGATAATTCTATATAATAAACATGTAACACAGATTATATCTTATCATGTATTATAGATTTTTATGGTGAATAATAGTACCATTTTATTAAAAATATCATCATCCATGCAGAGGCCGAATTCTAGCATCACTTCAGACTATATGACAAATACGCTAACATCATTCTCTTGCTGTGGCATTTATACAAGGCTAGATACATTGATCATGCAATGCAAACAACACATTGCCTACCTTTAGTGGTATAATACCTCAATTCGTTTTGAAATCCTATAATGCCTTTATGCAGACGTTATAGACCGGGTCACAAAATATACATTTTCTTTGCGTGCGCATACACACACGCACGCACACACACACACACACACGCGCGCGCACACACACACGGTTTATACTAGATATATGCTTTCTGACATGGGCATAAAATCGCCACTCATTCATACGACAATAAAACGACAATATTTCCATGATGCACCAGCGAACCAAACCTTGGAATACCCGCTTACGGAACGGACGCTCCGACACTAAGGCAGCCGCTGTAGGAAAGAACCTTCTAACGGTCGATAATTTTTTTTTTTAATCTGAATTCAAAGATATAAGTTTATGCTCCAAATTAAAAAGAAAAACAACAACACATACATGTATTTATATAGGAGGTTAGGAAAATAAGTGAAAGAAAAAAGACAATACAGCGTAAATTGCCGAATATGAAGGGTGATTACCTGAATGCCAACCATACGAGTCGAACGCCATCACAGTGCACTCACTGTCCTTCAGAAACTGACTTATTCCTAGGTCACGCAAAAGAACCTTTCTTGCATACGCCGGTAGTTTAGTATCGTTTATATTCCTTTGTGTTGCCCATTCAGTCAAAGAAAACTCTAAATGTTTCAAATATCATATTGTTAGTGCTGTATAGAAAACTGGCTCATATAACTATTTATATATAGATTTCAATACAAAGATTTATATGAATAATAGAAAATTCGAATTTACTTCAAAACAAATTAGAAGCTATCACTGTAGATACCACAAAATTATTATGAAAAAGTACATTCAACCTGTACTTCAAGAATTGCAATTGATTAATTTAGGTGTGCTCACGACTTGGTTAATGAATCTTAAAGGTATCATCAAACCAATTTATCTATTAAACTTAGCATTTATCATACTGGAGGATTCCATTATGAATTTATAACTTCAAACTATCCAAAACTACATTCAAAGATTGAAAGACATTGCATGAAATATCATCTCAACTATGAAGTCATGTGTTGCGCTTCATCAGGTGTGTACCTTTGGTTACCTTCATACAGGTTTTTAAAGATAAATTGATTCCTTTCACGTGCTTTTTCAAATATATTCTTTTTGAAAGAAACCGCTTTCATAAATATTTGACTTAATAATATTCATGTCAAGAAGAAACAATGTATATTATGTTACCGTTGTTCTTATAATTGTTATTGATAGGGCAATCTTCGGATGAAAATTTCTGTTCTTTAAGAACCTCGACAACATCAGAACATAGTTCATTGGATTCAAAGCATTGACTGATATTGAGAGAAATGACGTGTGACTGACTCATCGCTAGGAAATCAACTGTAAATCTGTAAAAAAATGCACAATTATTGATTTTAAAATATGCAAGTAAAAAGCTCTAAAGCTCTAAGGAGTACTTATAAATTAATTTCCTGATTGTATCTTCATCAGATAACATGTGTGAAGCACGAATTCGGAGCATTTGTCATAAGTACCCAGCCCCCACACCACAGTCTGAAATACCATAATTTACCCAACAAAGACTACTGACCCTTCACTATGTTTACATTTAAAGGCATCCGATATAGGGTCTATTTAATTAATGTAGAATGTTAAATTCATTTCTCTATATGGTGTCCAAAATTTTTTTGTACAATTATATGAAAGCGTGATTTGTTTAAAATAAGTATCATCTATTACTTGGTTCTTTTTAATATCTGCCTGCAATTGCTATGCTTTCATATTTATCTAAAGCATTGTCAACCAGAAAGCTGGGGATTCATTGGGAGCTCTATATATACGTTAAAGGAAAAAGGACATAGCACAAAACGTATTCTTTTAAATTATACTTACTCCATTTGCAATACTGAATACAATGAAATCTTTATTTCTTTTCCTGTAATTGTAATCAATATTCAATTTACATGGAAATATGTCTATAAATTTTGTCAATATTTAAAAAATATGTATAGTTAAATGGAACTTAGCAACCGATTCTTAAATGAAATTCAATGTTTGTAATTTAATACAGGGAAAAAGGCTTGCAATTTTCTTATAAATAATATTATCCCGATCAAAACAAAAATGGTTACAAAAATAAGTATTTCATTAATTTCTCTTTTTAAAACTTGCTTGAATACATTAAACAACTTCGTACCATATTCAAAATCATAGAGTGACAATGTTCTGCTGAATGTCTCAATTGTGATATTTATCAAATGATTGCATCTGTCAAAATCTAGCTCGTAGAAAACTCGTCGTTGTAAAATGTCGGACTGCATGCAGCACGATATTCTCGAACATGTGGCAGATAAACTGCATTTTAGCGGGAAACTGGGAATGATACCACATTCTAGAAAATAAATATTAATTGATAAAGAAAATGTTCATTATCATTTATAATATTTAATAATAATAAATAACAGCAATGACAATACTAAGGATGATGAATTATTAAAAGAATGCCATTTTGAAAATCATAATGTTATATATGAATAATGGCTTAACAAAAATTTTGTTTAGTTATACCTTGAGATATAATGCTGTTTATCACTGCACACTCCGTTTCCATCATGTATGGATAAACACCCAAATCTGTCATCAGTTCTATCTCTTCCACTTGATCAAGGGTGCCAAATATAGATATGTTTCTATCTTCCTTCCACTGGGTCAGTGAAAAGTCTGAAATTACCGGGAAAACATGATACACTCTCGTTCTCTCTGACATTAAAACAAATGGTACCTTAAAACAACAAGACAATTCAACTAAGATATGTTCCTATCTTCCTTCCACTATGTCAGTGAAAATTCAGAAAATAAGTAAATAACATGAATGCCCATTTTTGTTGATAAAATAATATCTAGATTTTAAGTGAAACAAAAAAATCATCCCGTTGTATTTTTTATTCTATTATTGTTTTACTTTACATTGTTCATTAAGTATTTTTCAGATATTGTTAAAAACAATAGAAATGTATCATATGGTTAAAAAAAGAGAAATATTGAAAATAAATCATGGATGATAGCGATTTATTATGAACATTTATAGCTTTAGAATTATTTAGGATAATATTTTCTGCAATATCATCATGCACCTCACACAAACACCATCCATTTGATTATAATTATTTCATGTTCTGTTATCAAATTTGAAACCGCATGCTATTAACTCAATTATTTACAGTATAACAGACCTACCTATGGGGACCATTTCACTTCAATCAAATATTAACATTTTTTTTCAAAATAATTGTTTTCGACTAAAATATGTAATTTTCCTCGTACCTTTGTTTGTGTATTCGGGGTTCAATTCACAAATCGGCTTCGGAAGCATATTATTTCTAAGAACTTCAACTTCGGTCACACAGTTTTCTTGGTCCAAACAAATACTAAGGTTTACACTTGCAATATAGAACCGCTGTACTGGAAGGTCTTTGATCAAATAGCTAAGAAATAATAACACAATTCATCATTGTATACGTCTGTTGCGAGTAATCAGCTGTTTAACAGATTTAAAATGAGGTTTATTTTCCAACATTACTAATTTTTGCTAATTTATTTCTGGAGTTAGGATTAATACTGCTATTGTGGTGAAAACAAGACAAAAATTCAATCAATCTAGTTTTAACGATAAATCTATTTTCATGCGCCTCATTCTTATATTATTCAAAGGTATATCTTTACAATTATGCGACAATATTATGAACTTCTCAAATGATGAAATATTGCAGAAGCTCGCATTTGTTATCCTTTGGTTATTCTAGTAACTAGTTTCTTTTTAAAAGTGGACACATGCCTGTTACGCAAATCCAAGTAATGTCAATAAAAGAATGATTCTTCGACGTGGTATGGAGACACCATTTTTTTAATTTTCAATTTATCATGAAATGCAACCTTAAAATCAGTTAAACATATAAAACTTAACTTACTCCAGTCTAATAAATCCATTCACATTAAACTTGTTGTGTGCACCAAACTCAAACTTTGTCAAAGAGATGTGCTTCAAAATGCGTTCAATTCCGATTGTTAAAGTTTGACTGCAGGGATCAAGTTTAAATGTTATATCAAATGATCGTTGTATCATGTCAACATAGGAACAACATTGAAATCCGGAGCATGTGTCGTCCATAAAACATCTTGTGTGATCTGGTAACGTTTGAAAGCTAACATTGCTTCGACACTCTACAAAAACGGATACTATTTTAAATGTCAATACTATACAAATGTACAGTATTTCCACATCTAAGACCGTAATATAAGTATGAAAAAGACTATTTAATATTCACTTTTGACCAATGTGCATGCTTGCTATCTAACTATGTGTGTTTTATTAAGTGTCTTAGAATAATGCCCGAAGTAACAACACATTTGTGTTACTATGACAACGTTTTCTGCAGCTTTTATCATCGCACATACAACAAGAAAACAACTACTCACTGTCATTTATTGAATTCAAACACTCGACAATTTAACAATATTCAAATAAGAAAGAAATTATACATTCAAAATAAAAAAAACTATTTGAACTGGATTATAAAAGGTTTTAATTTTCGTAAACTAAATAACTTAAAAAATCAATCTTTATTCGCGCAAAGAAATGTTAAAGTGCTAAGCTTTAGCGAAAATATGTTCAATACCTGATGTCCAGCCGACAGCAGATGTTGGTATATATGGAAGCGCCGTAGTGTCACATTGTGTAGTCTTCAAGTAAGGCTCGACGCCAATTTTTGACAAGTAAAATTCAACACCGGTTTCTGGAAGCTGCGTGCTGTCGTAATGTGATTCATTTCGCCACTCCTCATATTTAAAACCTTAAACAAATTGATTTAAACATCATTAATACTTTCTCATATTTCCGTAAAATAGAATCCTACCCTTTCAAATACAGTTTTTCGAGCACATACAATTTAATTTTTCATAATAATGCTAATAATTATAATACTTTTGATAATAATAATAATGATGATATTAATAATAGATTTAAATCAGGGCTCCATCATTTTAAATTTTTTATTGAATAATTTTATATCTATTTGATACAGCTATGTTAATATCTTTTTATTCTGTTCTTATTTCTATATAAACTTGCGTTATTGTATCGTTAAAAGTCAACTCAGTTCGTCACTTTTCGAGACTAATTCAAATTTGATAAGCGTTGATATGGGCGTGGGCAACATAGTTATCTCATATAAACGCACTTTTAATATAAAACAATGTACATATACAGAGAGTGAAGAAATTTGCCAAACATATACAAAGTTGTTTAATAGAATAGCTAATTTGGCATTTTAGAATACAAATACTCAAATCATGAACATCTTCATAATGTAAAGGAAAATATAAGAATAATTACTTTCGTCCAAAAATCCTGCTGACCAATCACAAGGCAAGGCAGTTAGATATTTCTCTCTAAGAATTTGAACTTCTGTACTGCATGTTTCATTTTCGTCGAGACATATGCTTGCATTTAAATTAACAGTGTATACCTGTGATTTAACTGGCTCCGATATTTCTAACCTGGAAGTTTTAATCGTTTTATTTATGATTTATAAGGCTACTTTGCTTAAAAAGCATACCCTAATACTTAATCATACATACAATATATAATAAATTATTTAATCAATTAGACGATTCATCGTTTAATTAAAAGCTGACCGGTTTCAAGTTTTGGAAAATATTGCTTCTTTTGTCCACTAGGGACTTTTAATCGAGTTAGGAAACCTTCAAAGCAATACAGCGAAGGTTTCTGACATCTTGTCTCCTCGATGCCATGGGTTTTTCTCAGGTTCCCTTTATCATGAAAGGAGGTGTACCATGGTTGAAAAACATGCATGACGACGCTTTCCATACACCAAGCCTGATGTGTACCATCAATGAAACGAAATGTAGTTTTAGAATTATAGTCTATCGTTTACAGATTTACGTATACATAAATTATGTCTTCATATTTCACTTAAATATATACTGCTGCTATTCCATTTCATGATATAAGAAAGATGTCAGATAAAAATAACACTAGAACTACTTACTCAATCTTAATTACCCCATATAAACTAAAGGTTTGCATTTCACCTATAACAGGAAATAAATCAATGCGTTATACAACATATTTGTTTATCCAAAAATGTATACATGTATTGATACATACAATAATGTTCTCTCAGCGTACAAACACTTGTTCAACTATCATTTTAATAAGATGCATGACCCAATAACACTTACGTTACGCTCTTTACTTAGTTAACGCTTTTACTAAGTTAACGTCATTAGTCAAATTTACTTAAGCGTATCAAAGACCAGAAAGTTTCTCATACCTTTCCTTTCACCAAAATGGCTTTGACTATGCAATGAGCAATCATAATGACATAAATTTAATTAAAAAAAGAGGATAAAATCGTATAAATAGTTACAGAATATCTAAAAGTTCTATGCCACTACATAATAGTCCTTTAAACATATTAATTTACATTATCTACAGTGACAGATTTAAAAAATACGTGTAACCGTGGTGCATCACATTAAAAACTTTATATTAGCATATTTTGCTCAAACTTATTTATAAATAACTCTTACCCCACGTAAAGTTTCTGAACGGTATTAAGTGTTTCAATTTTTCCAAGCCTACCGTTATTTCTTCCCTACAGGCATCTATTTGAACCTCGATTTGAAAATTCACCGGTATTTCAGGAGATTTTAAACAGCAAAGAATACCGGAACAAAGTTCAGACAATGAGCATGTTGCTTGACCGTATACGTGTAAATCGTCAATATTTAAAGTACAATGGGTGGAATCTGAAAGTATTATTTCAGATTTCGTAAAATGGAAACGATCAAAGCAAAGCATTAATAAAGTATACATAATTGTATCTCTTACAAATCCAAATAACTGAATAAATGAGAAATAGTACAATATGGAACGAATATTTCATTAGAATATCCAAGTCATCATAATCGAATACATTCAATTTTTCGATGTGATGAGATTTAGGCATTCATAGAACAAAAGGCGGTATCTGTAAGAAAAGTCAGTTTAGATTGTGTAAACTGAAAACCATCAAAGCAAACAACGTGCAAATTATGCATAAATGTTAATCATCACAAATTCAATCAATAGTTTAAAGAAGAACAGAAAAAAAAGTTTGGAAGGGAATTCAGGTCTTTGTCCAAAACGTTTTTGCCCGACTGTTGACATATTATGTAAATATCATTATTTGACAAATAGAAGTATGTTTTCTAACAAAGCATTATGCTGAATGACACAACATCAACACCTCTTTAAGGAAAAAGTAGATTCCTAAAAAGAAATAAAATACAGATAACTTCTTAAATTAATTTAGTCTGCATTTACCTATTTTCGAGTCACTGTGCATTTTGCATTCGTTGGAGAGCATAAATGGTGCAACCGCAATGTCTTCTAGCAGTTGAACAGCTTGGTATTCGTCAATGACACTGACATTGCCAGCTTCCATCCATTTGTCCAGCGAGAAGTCTAATTAAAATGGTTACAGGACTAATTGAGATTCTGCATGTACATTGGAGATATACTGTCTTTAAAGTATTAACAGTAAGAACTTTTAACACATTCGTATGTTGCATAAAAATCATTGCAAATGTATCATACCACTTTATCGGTGAGTATATGGGAGTTAAGGCTAACTTGCCTCTTCAAATCTGCTCGAGCGCTCACATGGTTAATCGATCTCAGGTACTTAGAACATATAAAGTTTTCGATCTATTGCAAGACAGTATCAGATCTGCAAACTTCGACCGTTTCTGTGCCGACATTTTCTTTTGAATAGCGAATTACACAGTTCTTGATTTGTATAACAGAAAGTAATACCGAGTCGTTAATAGTATATAATAGATGAATTGTTTGATATTAATTTTACAGTACCTTTGGCTATAAACCCAGCATTGACCTCACATGGAAACCGTGGCACTATCACATCGTCAAGAACGTCCACTGACAAAACAGCCGGTTTGTGTGCTTCTAAATGTATATCTACTGCCAAATCTAACATGAATTTGTTCTTGTACTCTAGATTAACAACCATGAACCTATGATGGTAATAACGAATGCATTGACAAAACTTTGCATATTGATATTCTAATAACAGTTTCAAAGATGTTTAGACTATATGGTACGTTATATTAATGCAAAAAAAATTCTCCAATTCTGACGGCTTAAACACTTTGTAAACGATACCGTTTCAACGGTGAAGAACCGAAGTGCATACTAATAACACTGATGTTTTACATAGTGGTTTTCATACAAATTTACATTATGTTTTGTTCTTTATGGCACTTTTCTCGATTTCAATATTTATACTTTTTTGTTCATTTCTGAAGTCACACCGCTATGATGACTTTATTACTGAAAAACTTTTGCACAGCGTTTGAGTAGCAATGGAACGGTTGGCTTCATTTTACGAACATGTGCCTTTCTTGAACATGCAGGGGTTTTTAATGAACTTGTCGTAAATTAAAACTTGCGTTATTATAAAATAGGTGCAGACATTGCTGACAGGATAATAAAGGGAATATAACCTTGCTGACATACATAAATACTTTCCCTAACTAGCGTCTTAGGTCATATTTAATTCAAGTAATATTTCCCGTTTATCCCGTCACCATCTTGTATAACAGATAGTATAAACGGTTGAGTGCTAATATTACCTGACGAATGAAAAATAATGAACTTAAAATTTATAGCAGCCACGAACATACAAGGTAACCGTCACGATTATTCACAACGTTACAAATGTGCAGTATCATAAATATGAATAAATTTTTACTATATCATAAGATGGATGGTTATTCTGTAGAGAAACTAGTTAATAACCTGTATGCGACAGATAAACTAAATCTATCGCTGAATGTTATTCATACCCCCACCAATGTCCTTGACAGAAGACGACTTTGAAAGGTGTGCTAGTTTCAGAAATATTCAAGTACGTGTAAAAATTTAAGAACATTTTCTACTTCAATTTTTGACCATCGAGTGTGACCTTGTACTTAAGCCGGCACAAAAGTAACATGGGTTCGCACATAACCTTGTTGAGGTGAACATTTGAGTAAAGTTTGAAGAAAAATCTTAAAATCTTTAAAGCGGACACGACATATTGTCTTATATTTGATTGATTGATATTTGACCTTCAATTGTGACCTTGACCTTGAGCTGACACATGGGCAACAGGGGTTCTGCAAATCCCCTTGTTGAGGTGAACATTGAAGCCAAGTTTGAAGAAAATCCTTCAATTTGTATAGGATTTATAGAGCGGTCACAATAATGGAAACGGATGGACGGACCGACCGACGCGATAATTATAGCCCCCTAAACACATATTGTGGTGGGAGTATAAAATAAGAATGAAAAGAAATCCTATGAATGTTTATAGCCGAGAATCTTAAATTAATTTTTTCTATCTTATATATAAAGTTATGAATAAAATGCATCAATTAATATTTATGACTCTCCACACGGTATTACAGAAATAAAATTATCGAATGCAAGATATTTACTGTAGCACTATAAATCCATCCATGTCAAACACCATCTTTTCACCTGCGAACCAAAACAAGAATTTATGAAACATATACATTCAAAATCCTTTGCTATGTAATTATTTTTATTATTGTAAATAAAGAATAAATATAATGTATTATGTTTATGCTGAGTCATTATATTACAAAAACTATGTACGCACAATTCCAATGCCATTATGAACTAAAAAAGATATTTTTTTAACCTTAAATATTATAAAACCGTTCAAATTATGTTAATGAAACAATTGAAACTACCAAATTCGAAGGCGGACAATTTCCTCTCCATCACCAGGTTTTCAATGCTAGCTGATATCTGGTAGTCACAGTCGTCCACTTGTAGGGAAAAGCTAAACTTTCGATTCAGCTCATTAACGAAAACGCAACAAATGATGTTCAAACAAGATGAGTCAATAGAACACTCAGCGTTGTTTGGAAGTGCAGGTAATTTCAATTTCAAAGGGCACACTAATGGAAAGAAAGACATTTTAATTCGTCTTCTGACATTATGATTAAAATATTGAATAGTACATTATGTATTTCAATAGCAACTTTTAAAAGCATGAAGACATATGGAATAAAACAAGAGTACCGCGTGGGCGGGGCAATGTACGCCTGAATGCGGATTTGTCAAAAAAATCAACTTAAACTTTCTTTAAACTTGTGTGAACATATTCTACATAAATCATAAATTATTAAAAATAATTTTACTTACAGTTTGCCCAACCATCTACAGGTCTTGCAGATGACAATTGACATTCGTTATCTTTAAGGTATTGACTTATTTCGAGGGTATTTGCAAGTACATCAAATTGAGTCAGTGAAAGTGCAGCTCCTTTGTTAACACCATTCTCGAGTTTCCAAACTTCCAGAGAAAAGGCTGAAAATAGATAGGGGAAAACAAAATTATAACACAACTGTTAATTATAAAGTTTAAAATTTTAACGTTTATTGAAAGTAGGAGGAAATTCATAATGCCTTAACGGATTACTTTTTTGCGCTTGACAAATAAGAAGTATATTCAAGAACATAACTGCTAAAAATGTTTGACTTTTCACAATTTATTGCATTGAAGCTGATATTCATTCATGTAACAATTATAATTATTGTCACCAAAACAAATAAAAAATTTTATTCCTTGTACCTGCATTACTGAATCCATTTACCCAACTGCATGTCACTTTTGGCAAAACCACTTGTTTTAGAACAGGAATCATATATGAACAGTTTCCATGACTTTCAAAGCAAGCGCTTACGTTCATATCGACGACATATTTGCGACCACCTTGAAAGTTTTCAATCTTGAAACTAGATGAAAATGAACGACGGATGATATATTTAAATAACTGATGACATTAAATCAAACATTCTTTAACCATTCACAACCTGAAACCTTTGCAATATATAAGTTTATATAAGTTTGATGATTTCAAAATGTAATATAAAACACTATATCACACAAAACTGTGTTGTTTATTCAAATGCACGTAATAAACACCAACACCACTATTGGCATTTTAAAAGTTTGTGGTTTTTGGAATTGCTGGATTTTACTTGAATTTAGTACTTTTTTCAAATCTTGTTACATGTCCACAAAACTGTTATAAACTATGTGTTGATTTATAATATTTGTACTGTATATAAATCATTCTCTTTATTCTAAAATGTAAATGTATGCTCACTCTAACTTGTAGACTCCGTTCAAATAGAAACGATCCCATGAGCCTGCAATGTAATCAGAATATATAGTCATCAAAGAAAAGCATTTGCTTGCAGAACAAATCTTATGCTTCAAAGAATTATGATGATAAAGTCTGTTTTGTATCCTAAGACGTCTGATATTTAAAGAAAACATCACTTTTAGGGAAAACGTTTATGTTTCAATGTGATGTCAATGATGCATTTCTTTTCTATATGAGTTAAAAAGTAAATGAATAAGTTAAAGTTTTTACCAAATTTGTAATTACTGATGTCCTTGACCGTGTTCAGTTGTTCAATACCAACTGTAATTTGTTTTTCGCATCCGTCAATGGTGATGTAAAACTGAACAGATGTTTTAATGATATCGACTTCAAGACAACAACGAATTGCTGTACACAAGTCAGAAATATAGCATCCTATACCTGACGGAAGAGGTTCTAATGTTAATTCTGCTGGACATTCTGAAATCAAATATATATCCATGCCTGTAAATAACTCCGTATTTTGATAATGAAATATCAAAAAGATATATTTTCAGTTTTGGTTTACTTAAAATATTTTTATTTAGGATCAGTTGTGAAGTGAGTTCGTACCACTTAATAACATAACTTTTTAGGCTGTTATTGCAAGTGTCATATGAGATAACATAATCATGATTCGAGTAGTATTTGCGGGAGTAGGTCGGGAGGGAATATCATTAACTATTAGGTCACATACATTTTTAAATACATAGCTTAGATCATCTTCGACAAAAGCAGCACGACACTTATTATATTTAATTGATAAAACATTACAAGTATTCTATGTAAAATGGTTTTGGTACACTTCATCCTTTTATATCTTTATAAACTACAGCTTAATATTCATATTTTACTTTATAATTTAGTAACATATTTTGGCAATTAATTTAGGTGACTTTAATGCAAACCATGACTTATGTTATAACTTCTTAATACATTAATTTATAGTTCTACATTAAAATACACATATTTAATACATTTATAGTCTTTTATTAAAATCTATATCATTCTTATTTGCTACAGTAAATTATTGACATTTGGCTAATACTAAGAACGAAAACACTTCTGGTGACAAAATTTCAAATGTTGATCTGAAAATAAGGTAACACAACATAGACAAATCAAAAGTACCGCTATTCCAGCCGTTCTGTGATGGCGAGAATGGCGATTCATAAAGATAGCAATTAATGTCTTCTATATACGGCGCCACACCAAGTGTTTCGAGCAGTTGGTCTCTTTGTACATCTGTTACATCTCCTTTTGTGATTCCATGATCATCTAACCATTCGTTAAGAGAAAATGCTAAAAATAGATAAAAGAAGTAGTTATTTCAATTCCACTTATAAAATTGCTTTCATTTATATTTAGTCGAAGACTAGAAATATAATTACAAAGTTGTGTTCTCTTTGTGTTTATTTTCGATAAATGAAAAGGAACTGAGAAAACATCCGAATCGCTATAATAATATTTGCTAAGGTAAAGTCTCAACTAAATGAAAATATAAAAAAACAAATATACATTGGTTTCTAAATCCCATATTCCAGGAGCATGGCAATTTCGGAAGTACTGATCGATCGAAAATTGCATATGATTTCTCACAACTGACATTTGTGAAGCAAATGTTAAAATCTAAATCAACGACATATACTCCTTTTGTTGTTAGGTCATCAATGCGAAATCTGAAAATGAATATAGAAATATCTTAATTGATATAAACGCCCTTTTATATGAGACCTACATAGACTGCTATAATTTTAATTGTATCAAATAACGACGTTCTTCACTCATACCATTAAACGAGCTAGTACTCGTCTCATTTATATGTCTGAGGAAAATGATCAAAGTATCACGTTATCGTCCAAAATTTCCATTTTAACAAAGTATCAGTTTTCAGTCGAGTAGTCGTCTGTAAAATTCGTCTAAACAAAGTACCAAAGTATGGAGTACTCTGTCTGAGTAAGAATCAATGTATGGAGTATTCGTTTTAAAAAAGGACCACAGTATAGCACATTTTTCTTAAATATCCGTCTAAGCAAAGTATCGAATACTGTCTTGAATATCCCTCTAAGCCAAAACTCTATGTATCAAGTACACGTCTTAAAGGTCTAATTGAGTAAAGGATCAAAATATGAGTACCCATCTTTATTGTCTGTCTGAGCAAAAGATAAATATATCGAGTACTCGTCTTTGATATATGTCAAAGCAAAGATAACAAATAATCGTCTTAAATATCCGTTTTATCATTGTATCAAGTATTGAATACTTCTCTTTAGTAAAGGGTCAAATTTTCGAGTACTTTTTTTCAACATCTATCTTTGAAAAGAAACAATGTATCGAATGGTCGTATCTAATCTATGCCATAACAAAGAATCGATGTAGTGTGAACTTACTTCAGCATGAAAACATCTTTGAGAACTATTTCACGTTCCTTTCCTGAAGTAAACAAGATTCATTTTAATAAAATATTATCGAAAGTATTCCATTGTACGTTAAAATAACAGCTTAAATATCATTTTTTTCATATATTTCAAAAAGAAAATACGAATTACTTGAAGAGGGTTTATTTTATTTTATTATTGAGCACGTCTATTCTTTGCAACAATTTAAATGTTTTCCATTTTTATTACACAGTAATGTTGAGAAAAGTGTCAAGTAATATGAACAATTTATATTTGAAAACAGAAGTGTATCATAACTTCTATACGTTTTGCAAATATATCATCTGGAACAATTCATATGTTTGGCTTTCTTATTAATAAATATTGTAAATTAATAAGGATATCAATTATTCAATATTCAAAAGAAAGAAAATTTCCTTTTTACCGATGGAAGATGTCAAACTTGTTAAAAATTGCAAAGTTGGAAATGAAACATTTTTATTTACCGAATTCGTAGTCAAATAATCCCACTGAAAATGTGAACTTTTCTATACCAACTTCTAGCAAGGCGTCACATGAATGGAGTCTAAGGTAGGCATGGATATTCCGATTGATAAGTGGAATGTAAACGCAGATGTCAGCAGCTGTGCAGTAGTCAGGTATATGACAAGACAGGTCGTAACTTATTGTCACCGGATTTTTTAATGTCAACGGGCAGTCTGGAGAAGAACATATCATTTTTCAATATATTCAATATGCAAAACGTTTAAAATATACTGCATACATGTAAAGGACTATCATGATATTTACATCATCTATAATACAACAATGAACTAGTTTTATTGAAGAAATAAATGATAGCGATTGTGCTGTACTATGGTTTAATTTCGATATTATCGAGTATACACGGTTGTTTGCTAACTAAACATCGTCTTGCAACTCGAGTATAATTTTTACAGTAACATATAACATGTAAAATATCATATTAAAAAATATCAACTAATATGCTGGTTTAGTTTGATGGAACTTAAACCCTTAGCATCAACGAATCAATCGTTAAGCCATTTAACGACATAGCTATAATGCATGTTACAATGAACGACAGATGAACGGTAACATTTTCTAAACCATTTCATTTTATCAAATATTCAGGAACAGAAAAACGAACAAAAAATATTGATGAACAGCAGCAAATGTAAAAACGCTTAGTACATCTATCAATTGTCAGTCTAAGATTCAAGACATTTAAAACTATACTGATGATTTTGATAACTCGTCATGTCTACCTGATGAACAACTGGATGAATTAGACAGATATGGTGCAGAATGTCTATCACATTCCTTGTCGCCGAGATAAATTGACAATCCAATATCATTTGCAAGTATAGTAGCGATGTAAGATGGAAGCGTGCTCATGTCTGTAAAGCCTCGTTCAGAAAACCAGTTCGCCAATGTGAAGTCTGAAAAGAGTGAAATCACTTTTAATCATTTAGACAAACGTTTCATACACTTACGATTTGCATTATGCTTTGTTTCGAGACCAAAGAAAAGAGTTTTTTTTTAATAAGAAGTTGAGAAAAAACATTTATCATATAATTTGCATATCAAATCTAAATACAAAAATATGTGTTGACGTTTTGAAAAGGACGAGCTTTATGTGTTAAACAATAGAGCTACCGACCATTTGATGTATGCTACCAGGTTATTACACATAGATGAACACCTTGTTTTCAATGTTACCGATTTCAAAGAACTATTTCATTACAATGTGCATGCAATATAGTTTAACTTACTTCTTATAGGATTCACACTTTCCCAGTCACATATCTTTTTCGGTAAGACAGCCGATTTGAAAATTTGACTTTCAACATGGCACGATGATGATGATTCGAAACAAACGCTGATTTTTAGATCGACGATATAGGTATTTGTCCAGAAGAGATCTTTTATCGAATAGCTACAAACAATTGCATTTAACAGTTTTTAAAATATTATGTGAACAATATTTATAATAGTACAGTTGACAATCCTTCAATAGGTACACATTTGGTACGAAAGAATAAATATATATTAATTAGTCTCATTTCCCTTTTACTCAGTCAGATGATTAAACATTGTATTTCTAGAAATTATTATTACGCGCTTTTTATCGTGAACGTTTATAGGCAGAAAAAATGCCTGTGTAATCTGCAATCAAAGAAAATAATTGTCTCCTTATTCATAAACTTAAACGTAGAATATCATATTTTTCATGCATTTGTACCTTGGTATCATTTTCGTGGACGTACTTATCCATATTATGAGGTATAAAAGTTTACAGAAATAAAATGACCGTCGACATCTACACTGTATAATTTGTGTGACGTCAATAACAGCGTGTTACAGGGATTAAATACAATCATAAAAACTCAAAATACGTAATGTAAAGACAACGTTGTATTTACATTTCTAACCTAACACGACCAGCATTCCCCCTTTTTAACATAAAAAGACCAAAATTGTGTGTAAATATGCAATAAAATCACTGTTGACGAACTTTCTATAAAAAAGTGTTCATAGTTCGTATGCGCACCATTATAAACTTTTACAAGCTCAATCGGCGGTCAGTTTCAGTTAAAGATACAAATGACGGTTAACATCATTTTACTTTTTAAGAAGCATACCAAAACTGCACTTTATTTAGTCAGTTCTTTTTTAATGTTTTCAACTTCATCAATCACCGGTCTAGCATTTTAAATTTTATCATCTACAATTGCACCATTACAAAACTACTTCTGCAATGAATCAGCATAAAAGACAGTGAACAGAAGCTATATGTATGATACTGCGCAAAAGTTTTCTCTGCGAAGGTGCCAACCTTTAAAAAAAAGCAAAACACTGTATCTGGGAAAGTTTCTAAGAAAAGTATAACAATTATGAAATGTCTTAACTTACTCTAAACAAATAACTCCGTATAAGCAGAAACGTGACTGAGACCCTGAAAAAACAAGAACAACTTATTAAACCATGTCATTGTGGTTAAGATAGGCCTTACTAAACCTCATGTAAGGTAATAAATTATATTAGTAATATGCAATTACAGTGATCAGTTATATAGATATTATACGTAGTTTCGTCTGTTTATTTTATTCTAAATTATTACTTTAATAAAAACAAAACGACGAATTTATGTGATAAGTCTCATGTATTTGCACAAGTCTTTCGATACGTACCAGAGACGTAATCGTCTAAAGAAATATCAAACTGCAGCCTTTCGATGCTTAGATCTAATGTGTTTGAGCAAGGGTCTAGACTGAACTTCACGTTAAAAGATCTTTCCAGCAAATAAATGTCCACACAACAATCAACAGCAGAACATGACTCTTGGAGGTTACATGAGAGTATATTTTCTAGAGGACTTACGTTAACACCAAGTGAACAATCTATACAAACGAAAGGAAAAAGTTATGTTTTCATAATTGATGGAATCTGAAAGTTTATTTAAAATTAGCTTAAAAGAAAAGAAAAAAGCAGCGTGACCCCAGATGCATAGGATTTTTAACAACAAAAAAAAACAAAAAAAAAAAAAAACAACAACAAAAAAAACAACATATGATAATAATACTTTGCGCCATGTGTTAAAAAAGACCTAAGATGATTGAGGCAAGACTCTTAATTATCCGTACTCGTAGATGTTACCCACAAATGTTAATTCATTCACTTTTTGTATATGAATTGAATGGGAAGATGTCAAATTTATTTGAAATATGGATACATTTGTTAAACTGCTCTATATCTATCTTTTATCAGAATTTTGGAAATTTTGTTTGCTTATCTACATGCAATGGCTTTAAATCATATCATATGATTAATCAAACAAATACGCTTGAAATAATTTTAGACAGTTTGTTTATTCCTTGAACTCTGATACATAAGAAACTATACGACAAGCACTGTACTGAAATAAAAAGTCATGGTATATTTAACGGCCAAATTCCAAAACAAAATTATACTAGCAAACAAACAAAGAAATTCCCATAATATACCTTTTTTCCAACCATAAGCTGACGGTTTATATGTTGGTGATTTCCTTATACACTGTGATTCGTTAAGGTACCCAATAATTCCTAGAACTTCAAGTAGTTCAGACGAAACGTCATAACCAAGGTAACTTTTGAGAAGATATCCTTTTGTTGCGAGCCAAGAGGTAAGTGAAAAATCTAAGGAAAAGAAAGATTTTCATTTAATTAATGAAAATCCAAAACATAAAAATAATAATACGTTGTTGCAAATTTAAGTCATTTATATACAAATTCTATGCATTTAAGCATATACAAGAACCATGTAATCATTGAATGTTTGATAGTTTATGATAATATTTTTTCAATATCTCATATTGACATATACATATGTATGTTGTCAGTTTGAAAATGAAGTTATCTTTTTTCCAAATATATTAACATATATTATTGTAACACTTAAAATATATTACTAAATTTTAAACTATTACTCTGAATGACAAATCCTGGATCAAGGTCACATGGCATTTTTGTAATGAGAGTATTATTAACGACCGTGGCAATTGATTCACATTTGTCGCTAGATTCCAAACATACAGCCATTTGGACATTTAAAAGGTACATTCCTGACACACGCAGATCATCAACGGAATATCTGTAAAAAAATAATCATGTTTTGAATAATTGAATATTTGCATCTGGAAGTACATGCATTCAAAGCATGTTAAGCGTACATAAATATTTTTATATACATAAGTTTTTTTTATCAGAAACCTTCTCAGCAGAAAATATTTAAAGATCAAGGAAGACATTTAGTGTTACTTTCATATAATTTTCAATGTTTGTCATGATTTAACTATTTAAACTTTACCTCATTCTTATCACACCAAACAGATCAAATTGTGTTTCTTTCCCTGCAATGTATTTAAAATAAGGATGTTAAAACATACATTTATTAATGATTAAAAAATGTAAAATAAAAAAAAACTTTCCAATATATGACACGAATGTTCAATATGTTTTCAAACGCAGATCCAATACAGCTATTGCATCTCTGTTGTTTTTGTGTTCATTCTAGATAACATTTGAAAAAAAAAGTTTTAATCCTATTTCTTTATGCTTACCCCAAGTATAATCTAGCAGTGATATCTGAAACCTCAGTTTCTCTATAGTAACTGTCAATGTCATTTTACATTGGTCTACTTGCAGACTCATTGCAAAATTACGCTGAAGAAGTGCGGAGTGCATACAACAGTCAATGGCATTGCATGTCTTGCTGAGTGTACAGAAAATGTTATCATGTAGATTAGGTAAATGAACATCGAGCGGACATTCTGAAAATAGAGATACAATTTAAGAATACGTTTCAGAAACACTATTTATATCATTAGTTCTTACTGTTTGATCAACACTGGTTTTAATCAGAGTACAAAGCAAACTTTCTCGTTTACCTTTGTTCCAACTTGTATTTGTATGTATTTTACAAACGTCTTCTTTTAGGTATGTAGATATGCCTAGTTCCTCATATAACATAGACATAGGCAAAACCTCGACATGCTCTGCAACTAGGCCTTTGTCTGCTAGCCATTTCTTCATCGAGAAGTCTACAATAAAATATAAAATAATTATTTACATGTGATTTATTTTCAAACGAAGACATTTTACATTTAGCTTACGGCAAATTTTCTCGAAGCAACTTTCTACATAAAGGTGTTAAATGTGTCAAAATATATTTTCAACGATTTTTATTGTACTGCTTGCTTCTGAGAAATTAACTTATTTTCTCAACCCTTTTTCTTAACACATCATTTAACATTTAAATTTTGTTCTTTTCTTTATTTTGTGTAAATGATGATATTATCTTCTATGTTTTTCACGGTAAACTACCTTTGATTTTGTATCCGGTACTCATGTCACAAACAGGCTTCCTTAGCTTTGTATTTTTCAGAATATGTATAATCTCCGAACAGGTTTTCTTTGCATAGTAACATATTTCTATGTCTAAAGTCATCAAAAGAACACCTTCATTTCTCAAGTCTTCAATCAGAAAGCTACAAAACAATTAAAACACATCTTTCAAGTAATCATTCATCTTGTATAAACCATGACACAAATACAGTAGAATTAATAGAATCTTCGTTATTTTAAAATCGAAACTGATTTCATATTATATATTCTACAGTATTCCTTTATATTTTATAAAATTGTATCTTTCTATATCAATAATTGTTTTCACTTTCTTTCAACATCAGAAATTGTGCTATTCAAATAGTTTTACCGAAGTTTGAACACTCCCTGTAAGCTGACGGTTTTCTCTATTCCAAAGTCAAAGTCATTTAAATCCAAATTATACTTCATCTTTTCTATTCCAATTTCAAGGCGATTCAGGCAAGTGTGGAAGAAAATATATGTATTTAGTTTTCTTTTGAGAAGGCCAACTTCCGAACAACATTCAATGCCTGTACAAAATGTTGGGACTCGGCACTTTGTGGAATCCAATAGTTTAGGCAGATCAATTGCATAAGGGCATTCTGTAATATATGAATTATTTTGAACGTAATAATAGCAGCGTTTGTATTAAATGGTACAAATGTACATTGTATTTTCAACGAGATATACTTAATTTATAATTTGAAAATTATCTAAATTGAAAATCATTAACATCGCTCTGTTGTTTTTGTTCATTTTAGTTCATGTTCAACCTTGTTGTAGTAATGTTTGAACAATATAGATGACCTTTTTTCAAAGGAGACTACATAGAGATAAATATATGTATAATCAAGTGTTACCGTTTGCCCATCCTAAGCTAGAAACGTTTAATGAGCTGTTGGTAAAGAGGCATGGTTCTCCGATATATGGTGACAGATTAAGGTCGTTGTACAGTATATGTGTGTATTTTTCTGTCAAATCCTGGTCTTGAGAAAGTCTTTGTGCTTTATACCATGTATCCAAATCAAAGTCTGCAATAGATATTGTTTTAAGTACTGATCTTTCATTTATAATAAAAAATATCTACAAAGAGCAGTGGAGCTCATCCGACAGCAAGGTAACTCAAGTATGTTTGAATTAGTATTTTTCTACAATTATAAGAAGAAACATTATCGTACAACTTAATGCAAAATGCTATAATAAGCGTAGATGATTTATAAAAAAAAATTAAAAACAAAGGCATTTCATTGCCAAATTTATTTATTTCCGATAAAAATTACGAAACACTGAAATAGAATTAGTTGCATTAGGACTTACTTGGGTCAATAAAGTCAGCATCCCAGTCACAATTGAGCTTTGGAAGAACAGCATTTTTAAGGACTTGGACGTTTGTTTGACAGACAGCATTGGCTTCTAGGCAAACGCTTAGGTTCATGTTAACAATATACTTTCCTTCTCCTCCAAGATTATACACAGACACACTATTTAAAGGAAAAGAATAGCGTTTATACAAAATCAATTTTTTAATTTCTTGTTGATGTGAAAATTGAATTTAAATAAAAACTCACATTGCAGAGAGATACAATATCGTAAATTATGACGTTATTATTCATATTGTATTTGCAGCTGGGTACATGTCTAATTAAATAAGTGCGGTTCTTAGTAATTTATGATGAACTCTTTCGTTAAATAAAAAGATAGATAAATATGCTTATTCAACGATTCTCATACAGGAATCAGCTAAAATATAGGATTATTTCTAAATGAAAAATAGAATCACTTCAAGTTTACCTCATTCGAATGACTCCGTATAACCATAGATGCTCTGTCTGACCCCATGTGTAATTAAACAGTTGTTTTGAATGTTTAAACTTTTCAATTTCAAATGTAATTTGATGTGCGCAAGGGTCAACATTTAACAGAGTTTGGAATGTTTTATTCACTGTTTCTACTTCAACACAGCATTCGACATCGGTGCAGCTCTGGCCAACAGTGCAATGTACGTTGTTTGGCAAATTCTGTAGACCGGTAGCAAGACTTTTAGGGCAATCTGAATTAGGATATATAGGCAGATTGAAGAGGAAATAGAGATCTGAGATTTGCCTTTTTTGGTCGAAAATGTGTCAAATATTCGCAAATAACTATTGATTTATAGAATGACAGTAGTTTAGGCACTATAAATACTTAAGTTGAGCATAATGATTAAAAACTATTAGATTAGATTGGAAACTGACAGATATTAGGCTCATATAGAAAAATATTTTCTAACCAATGGTCCATGAAATATTTCTTGACATATTTCCTTGACACGATGCTTCGTTTAAGAACGGAGAAAGGTTGAGTGAATCCAACAACTTTGAGGAGTAATATGAATCCAAAGGCTTGCCGGCTGTTAAACCCTCGTGTGATATCCATTTTTGCAAAGAGAAATCTAAAAGCAAAATTATACATAACAGATATTCAAAAAGACCAACGAGTAATTCTGCATTTCAAAACTGCATACCATATCCCCTAGAAATTCTAAAATATATAGAAATGATAAAAAATTATAACTCTGCTGTTTACCTATAAAATTACTTGTCTTCTTGTTCATTCTTGACCTTATGGCTTCAGATTAATTTCTTAATTCAAATTCATATCTAAAACTAGTACATGTTGTTAACACATCAAAATGTGTTACGGTGTAATGCAATACTGAGGAGATGTTACTATGTCTTTCATTTTTGTTGTGGTTTCTTCTAAATCTAAACATTTTGTCTAATGTTACAAGATTTAAAGTGAATTGACAGATTTGACATTTACTTTACAAAACAAAAATCTAGTATAGATTCTTAAGCCTATTAGTATTTATAGAATCCCCAAAAAATTATACTAAATTACTGCTCATTGCAATTATATTACATAATATTAAAAGCTGCAGAGAAGAAAATTACCTTTTGTGACAAAATCCCGATTCCATTTACATGACTGTTTAGGAAAGAGAACTCTATCAAGAATGGTTGTCTGTATGTCACATGATGAGGACGATTCAAAGCAGACACTCAGTTGTGCATTTGACATGATCTTCTTTTCATTTTGTAGGTCGAAAAAGGCAAAGCTATAAAAAGTAGATACAAAATTAATAAAGTGAAACGGACCGCACCGCCCACACTCCAAAAACAAATGAATTGCCAAAATGGCAGAACTGAACTGCTACACTGACAGTTAAATTCTGCTATTCGATTTTATTTTTCAATATTTGTAGCCATTTGGGTAGTATTTTGAAAGAAATTCTACAATCGATTCTATCGTTTACCATACTTTTATGCTTCTGCTGACAAATATGTTGTCAAGTTTACCGCATTTTCCATATAATTATTTTTAATAAAATATTACACCATGTTGCAGATATTACTAATATATAGTAAAAGATATCTTACAGAACAGTGTTACTTACTCAAAACGAACGATCCCTCCAAAGTTCAATCTTTTTGTCTGTCCTGTTAAAAAAACACAAATATTAGCTGAGCTATTGTCAGCGATATAAACATTTTGTAAAGAATTAATGTGTACATTCATCAATAATTGTCAATAAATGTTTCATACAAATCTTCATAAATACAGTGTATAACGAATTGACATTTATAATACAATTACGTGTAATGTCAATTTTTGTGTACTGATAACTGTAGAATAATAACTTGGTAATCGTAAAATGAATAAATACCACACACATAAATACATTAATTAAATAAAACAATTGTTTAAACTGATATGTTAAAATTTTAACATTTTGTTTCTAAAAATTACTCCATTTTATATATAGACAGATTTATTTACGATTAACAAAGTGCATATTCATTCAGAATATAATATACACATGTATCACCTCCACTTTTAACCTTGATAAATATATACTGTTATTTAAAAAATGCTTACCATACGTTGTTATTACTTGTACTATCTCTTTTGATATCTTTTTCAACGACTATCAAACTATACAATTTGTTTACAATTTAAATTCTAAAAATACTAATTACCCCATAAAAAGTCGAATATAGATCTTCTCAACTGTAGTTTTTCAACACTAACTTCCACTGTTGACTTACAGACATCGATGTCATATTGAAATTGGATATTTCTGTTGATTGCACTCACAAACACACAACATTCAAGTTTTGAGCATGCACTATTGAGAGTACAAGACATACTTGACGGCAAAGCTTTGGTATTTGTGAACGGACAACCTTTAGAGAGAATAAAACCAATCTTATTAAATTTAGAAAATTGCTAATATTTTTCTAAGGGATGATTTTAGATTGAGTTCAATGGGTATCTTCTTTCCCATCCCAGATTTAAGGCAAAACTAGGCATAACAAGTTAATGAAAATATATCATGCTTTTTTTAAAACGGGCGTAATAACTGTTCATTTTCAGCTATCAACATGAAATTCATCATGTTAAAACAAATATAAATTTCAAAATATTTGTCGATTCAAACAAACAAATTTAAGATTCAAGAACCTTCTATAAGTTCACTTAAACTTTTGTTATTATTACAAGACTTTGCACTTTACGTATGTACTGCGCTAAAATTTGTCATTCCCATGGAGTATATTGTCATAATTTTCATACATAATATTGTATATATGTTATAATAAAGGTATCTTATTAGCGGTTAGGATAGTTAAATTGTTTTCTTCATAGAAGTTAAATGTAACTTACTATTTTCCCATCCATAATTTATTTCTGAGTTGTTAACTTTACATTGTAAATCATTTATGTACGTTGACAGGCCTAAGTCGTCAAGTAATACATCGGAGAACGGCTTTTCAAGTGGCACGTCTGTTTTGAGTTTATTATGTAATTTCCATTGTAGTAGTGAAAAGTCTGCAAATCAAATCAGTGAATGATATGTTTAATGCAACCATTATATGGATTCTTTCTTTGTTAATACTTATGTTTATATTTCTTTATAAAGGCCACGTAAGAATATGTACTATCTATAATTGATCTTAAACAAATTTTGTTGGTACCAGTAATTAAAGTACTTTGTTTATGTAAATTGTCCATTGGAATGAGAAAGGGATTTCGTCTCTTTCAAAATGATTTGACTTTAATGGCTACAAATATATGTTAAAGGAAGTTTCAATAATGATACAATCTAAATCTTAGATAAATATACCCTTTATAGGGAATGCCTCCATAGCCGAGAAATCACAAATTCGTTTGGAAAATTTCGCCCTGTTGAAAATGTTCTTCTCAAACAAACATGTGCCATTGGATTCAAGGCATGCTTTTGTTGTTAGCGTCAGAACAAAGGCATTTTCTCCGTCGAGGTTTTCCAAAACAAATCTTTAGGTAAAAGAAATATTTAAAAAATTCATAAAAGAAAATAAATATTTAAAGAATAAAAAATTGAATAATTTTTATTTTTATACACTCAGTCTACTAATAATCTAACATTATTTCATTATTACTATTATTAATATAAAAATAATAAAATAATATATAATGATAAATGTATGGTGTTATAAATCTTATTTTTACATTTTATTCATTAACAAATCTTTTCAGACAAATAATAGAAAATTTATGCAATGTTTGGCAGGAAAAAACTGAGACAAAACTAAAATGATACTTCTTACTTTAATCTTATTATTCCTTTCAAGTAAATTTCTTGCTCTTTGTTCCAGTTAAAATCTTGCAAAGACATTTGTACTTTGAACTCTTCAATCTCCACAATCAATAACTGCTGACAAGGATCAACACTGAATTGTATATTGAAGTTTCTGTTGATGGGATCCACTGACAGGCAGCAATTTATATCGTTGCATGTTGACAAATAACATTTCAACTCACTTGGAAGACTATGGAGAAAGTGACTAAGGGCACATTCTGGAATATTAATACATTTTCTAGTCATTGTGTTCCTGATCAAATATTTTTGTATGAAATCACTACGAACTGGTATTTGTTTATAAGAAAATAACATGTATCAATATGTTTTTATTTTTTTGTTTCCCGTTTCTAATGTCATCGAATTACATGTATAATTTTCAGTGTTGCAGTATTCAATTGAAGTTTATCTAGTAAAATCTGTGAATGAAACTCATTTGCTGAATACCTATTATACAAAAAATAGATAAATACAGAATACCTGAAGAAAGCCCAACACGACAAAATTGAAAATGTTGCAGGCTCGGTTTGATTGAGCCTGTTCATGGACGGTACTGGAAAGTGCAAGTTACCGTCCACGCCCCCTAGCACCGGCTTAAGCAGAATTCAACATTTAAAACATGAAATAGTAGAATTTTGAATTTAGAAACATCCGCAGATGTGTCATACGGCGGTTATCATGAAACCTTCAATGTGACACTTCCGTGCCATTCCATGAAAAGCGGCGTATGGTCCCCAAGTAATAAAAAGCGTGTGCCCTAAACGAGAAAACAAAGGGCGGAACTAAATAAAATGGAATTTTGAAAGGGGATCAGAGGTTATGAAGCCTGCGTATCACAGATAAGACGTCAAAAGACAAATTTAAAAAGCAGGCAACAAATCCTAAGGGTGATTTAACATTATTCATAAGTAGGAATAATGGAACCACCGAACTAGAAAATGCCGAAAAGTTGAAACTAAAAATACCACAAGCACAACAATAATGTCGTGCTGAACGATCTTTAAGGATCGAAAATATAACATATTGATTAAATGTACGGGGAGAATTTTTACAGCCGCCACACGGCACAAATAACACGGATGTGATCATAAAATAGATAAATACAGAATCCCTGAAGAAAGCCCAACACGACAAAATTGAAAATGTTGCAGGCTCGGTTTGATTCAGCCTGTTCATGGACGGTACTGGAAAGTGCAAGTTACCGCCCACGCCCCCTAGCACCGGCTTAAGCAGAATTCAACATTTAAAACATGAAATAGTAGAATTTTGAATTTAGAAACATCCGCAGATGTGTCATACGGCGGTTATCATGAAACCTTCAATGTGACACTTCCGTGCCATTCCATGAAAAGCGGCATATGGTCCCCAAGTAATAAAAAGCGTGTGCCCTAAACGAGAAAACAATGGCGGAACTAGATAAAATGGAATTTTGAAAGGGGATCAGAGGTTATGAAGCCTGCGTATCACAGATAAGACGTCAAAAGACAAATTTAAAAAGCAGGCAACATATCCTAAGGGTGATTCAACATTACTCAAGTAGGAATAATGGAACCACCCAACTAGAAAATGCCGAAAAGTTGAAACTAAAAATACCACAAGCACAAGAATAATGTCGTGCTGAACGATCTTCAAGGATCGAAAATATAACATCATTGATTAAATGTACGGGGAGACTTTTTACAGCCGCCACACGGCACAAATAACACGGATGTGATCATAAAATAGATAAATACAGAATCCCTGAAGAAAGCCGAACACAACAAAATTGAAAATGTTGCAGTGAGCATGTTCATGGACGGTACTGGAAAGTGCAAGTTACCGTCCACGCCCCCAAGCACCGGCTTAAGCAGAATTCAACATTTAAAACATGAAATAGTAGAATTTTGAATTTAGAAACATCCGCAGATGTGTCATACGGCGGTTATCATGAAACCTTCAATGTGACACTTCCGTGCCATTCCATGAAAAGCGGCGTATGGTCCCCAAGTAATAAAAAGCGTGTGCCCTAAACGAGAAAACAAAGGGCGGAACTAAATAAAATGGAATTTTGAAAGGGGATCAGAGATTATGAAGCCTGCGTATCACAGATAAGACGTCAAAAGACAAATTTAAAAAGCAGGCAACATATCCTAAGGGTGATTCAACATTATTCAAGTAGGAATAATGGAACCGCCCAACTAGAAAATGCCGAAAAGTTGAAACTAAAAATACCACAAGCACAACAATCATGTCGTGCTGAACGATCTTCAAGGATCGAAAATATAACATCATTGGGAGACTTTTTACAGCCGCCACACAAACTTACTTGACATTGCAACATCTATAGCTTTATTTGCCAAGTCCGGCAGAGTACACTCATCTTGTGAGAGATATCTCGGCAAGCCAAGATCTGACATCAGGGCTGAATAATCCAAGTCCGAAATACTTTGGTCAAGTGTATATCCGTGGGTTTTAAACCAGCCAGAAATGGAAAAATCTAATAGCAAAATAGAAAATTTAAAAATAAGAAACTTAAAGAAACTATCAATAAGCTTAAGGTAGATCAACATTAAAAAAATATGGCTCAAAACAACACTGAAATATACATATTATAACCTATTTAAATATTATAACACAGACACAATCAAACAAAAATGGCAACATTTCAAATTTTTGCCACTTAAAGGTTCAAATTTTGACAATTTTCAGTTTCTTTTACACAAAATTTTTTCTCAGCTATCGTTAAAAATATGTGTAACATACTGAACTATCTTAATGTTTCTAATAACTTACTTTTCTTTTTAAACCCTTCAGCAAGGACGCACTGTGGTCTGGGTAAAACTGCTTGGGATAATACAGTCTGTTTAAGAGAACAAGCACCTTCACTTTCAAGACAAACACTGACTTCAAGATCAATAACATATGCTTCTTCCTCTTGTAAATCATAAAGACGGAAACTGAAATAACACATGATACAATTTTCATTCAAGAAAAGAAAGGATTTATGATCAGTAGGTAATAGTTTTATTTATTATGTCATATCATGTTGAACATTTTTATTCATACGTTCTTATGTGCATTTTGTTTCATATTCACTTAGTACATTATGCCAAAATTTATTCATGACTGAATGAAAATATTTTGAAATATCTATTAGCCTCTAATTGTTAAATGGAAAGGTATGGACTTTATCTAAATATATTTTCACACATAAATTACGTATTAACGGTCCGATCATTTTTTAATTCATGAAAGAGTTATGTGCATAAGGTATGGTACTTACTCCATTCGAATAATCTTTTGTAACCAAAACTGTTCCTGTTCGCCATAGTCATAATTGACTAAATTCAATTCAAACTTGAATTTCTCAATACCAATAGTCAGTTTTTGCTGGCAAGCATCTATCTTCAGGAATGTGAGAATTGTTCTGGGTAGAATGTTTGTGTCAATGCAACATTCTATATCCATGCAAGTAGAGCTAAGATGACATGATATCGGACCCAGTGGTTGCAATGGCCAAGAATATCCGGTACATTCTGCAAGTAATGGTGGACATAGTATAAGAGGCTCTCCAATCATTCGGATATTATAAAAACATATTTATTTTGTGCATAGTTTACGTATGCCTCTTCCTAATTACAAGTATGAGCAAGTTTTAATCTTAATCATCAGGTATATTTTGATGCAAAATTGTGGCGAGATATAGAGTTCTATAATGTGAAGACGAATTTTAACAAAAAAGAAACAAGACGGCCATGATTGTCTTGAATCGCTCACCAGAAACAACTGTTTTTTAGTGTTAAAACTTTTTTTTTTTCAAATGAACTTGCCGAAAGGCAAATCCAGATCAACTCTAGATATTTAGTTTCACGACGCCGATTGTTTTTTTTTGTTCTGAAACCTTTCACAAATGGTCAAAGTTCATTGTTACTGTAAGAATTATAGTTCTTAATTGCAAATTTATTTTATTATAATCACATAATTTTCATAGTTTGATTTTCCGATAGTATTTACTATTAAAGACATTGTTTGACTCTTTCAATTTAACATAGCTTCACTATTTCCGCCAACGTAACGTCTTATTTTGTTTCCCGTGAAAAGACGTCATTAAATTATTTTTCGGTGACGTCATTAACCGTTACTTTGATTTGTTGTTTTGTCTTGGGCGGAAGTGATTAAAATTGTTTATGTATTTTGTTTATTGATGTTTTCCAATGGAATCATAATCGGTAAGCTAGTTATTTATTATGTATGAATCTCAATAGTAAATTCAATATTGTTTAAATGATGATGAACTTTACAACATTTGCCGTGAATTAAATTATAAACGGAATTATTTGCGGAAATATAAAATAACAATATTATTTGCATAGATTTAAGTTTATAATTGTAAAGGTAATATCGTATATTAACATTATTATTTTAGACAATATATTGTATTTTATTTAAAATGCGTTGTAATCAGTATTTAAGTTGTTTATTTTATTATTTTCAGAGAATCGCATTGTTGTATCACATTGATATTATTCCATGATGAATAAAGAAAAGTGTTGAAATCTTATCTGCGCATTCTTGACTATATTTAACGGAAAACATTTACAGTTACTGTACATCTGAGAAGAAAAGCTTGTCAATTTAAGCTTTCTAATTTTCTTTTCATACTGAAGCCTTTTGAGGAAAGACTACCTAAGAATGCTATAAACAAAGTTTGTTAATCATCCATCAATTAGTTTTATTGAATATATTTAAAAGTTTTTCTATTTTTTAGATGTAGAGGCCCCTTAAAGGGGCCAATCAAATTAATATGATCAAACTTGATAAAAGACTACCTAAGAATGCTACACAAAGCTTGGTGATCATCCATCAATAAGTTCAGTAGAAAGTGTTAAAAGGTTTTTCTATTTTTAGCTTTAGCGGTCCCTGAAAGGGGCCAATCAAATAAATATAAGCAAAATTGATGAAAGAGTACCTGAGAATGCTACAAAAAAAATTTGGTGATCACCCATCATATTCTTAGTTCAGCAGAATGTGATGTTTAAAGGTTTATCTATTTGTAGCTCTAGATGTCCCTACATTGGGCCAATCAAATTAATATTTGCAACGTTGATAAATCACTAAGTATGCTACAGACAAAATTTGGTAATCATCCATCAATTAGTTCAGTAGAAGATGGTTAAATGTATTTCTATTTGTAGCTCTGATGACCCCTAAAAGGGACCAATTGACATGAAATGAGCAAATTGAAGTGTGACTGCTACAGACCAAATTTGAAGTAATTATGCCTAGCAATTTCAAAGAAGAAGACGAATGTTGACGCTTGACGACGGACGACGGACTACGGACACCGGAGCATCCCCCTTTGATATACTAATAGAAAGAAGACACAATAAACAATAATAAGTAATAAGCGCATTTTTCTACACCAATAGGTATAGATTGGCCGAAAACAAAATGATACATGATTAATATGACAACCTTGGCAAAAAATAAAACCACTTATTTAATTTAAACATTAGAACATCACAGATCATAAATACCATTATTAATGCGACCTCGGTCAGTAAATGGTTGTAAGCCGACAACACATTGGCTTTGAGAGAGAAAGCCTGCAATACCCATATCGTTATAAAGTATATCATAAGCGTAAACCGGCAGACTGCTAATGTTCTTAAATCCTCCAAAGTTATCCATCCAGCTAGCCATTGAAAATTCTAGTAACAAAGGAAGAAAATACATTTATTAACTCACAAGTATGATTATTATGTTTATGTAATGTCTTTTAGTGAAAGAATGCAAATCTTAATGAAATGGAATGAACTTGCTCAAACAATTCAATTATCCATTAAGTATGTGTGGCCACTTAAGAGTCTTTAGCTTATTTGAACTTTTAATTATGTGTGTGTATCACATATTGTATCATCTTATTTGAGAATAAATATAATGTATCATGGCTTTATTAAAACTTAATAATAGAATAACAATGATACAGTAAAAGGAGTACCTTCTAAAGGCTTTGTTACTAGTCCCCAATCGCAAAGAGTTTTATGCAGTCTAGTATTATCAAAAACCTGGTAAACTTTGCATGGAAAATGAGATTCTGTGCAAATGCTTATTTCCGTAGACACTTGGTATTTCCTTTCTTCTTGTAAATCGTACACTTGATACCTATTATCAGATAAAATGGGAGTAGTATTTACTTCTGTAGTTATTATTTCATATGGAAAGATTGGAAAGCAAACCTTTTTTTTGCACATTAGTATGTACAAAGACGAGAGAGTCTTTGTGTGCCTTAAATTTAAGTAATGTAATGTTTATGGATAGTTTGTGACTTTGTCCGTTATGAAATGTTTATTACTTACAATGTAGTCCGCCTCTTGAGATCAATAGGGAAAACAAGAGCGATCAGTGAACACATGTGTCGCCTCATGATAGCCAATTGCATGTTGCACGTACTATACTGGTGGTATAAGAGGAGTAGCCCGGATATTTTTTAAAAATCAAAACCATTAAAGTGCCATAATTTTGAAAAAATCATTGAACTATCAAAAACCGATTACATGCACAACTCAATCAAAAAATTGATTTTGTAATATATTTGACTCATTGGAATCATGCAGTATTAGTGGCTGATCACTCACTTGCGGAGAAATGGGAAATGATTGTCAGCAAAGACGGCAAAGAATGAAAAAAAAGTTTTGAAGCGTGTTAAAAAATGAACTAACAATCATCTAAGCGTTCAACAAATTAAAAGACATAAACCAATTGCCTGAAATAAAATCCTATGTAGTCTGAATTTAAAAATGAAGTATCTAACAAACATCAGAAAAGGTTAATACGTATTTTATAAAAGTAGGCGTTAAACGTCACCTTATCCGTGCAATACCAAACAACCAAAATTCCTCAGTTGTACCATACGAATATTCTAATAAGGGAATTTCTCTTTTGAGGCGTTCAATTTGTATTGTAAGGGTATGCAAGCATGGGTCTATATCCAGGCCGACCTGGAGGAAATATCCAATCTGATCCATAGATACACAGCAACTGACTGATGTGCAATGACCCTGAAGCGAGCATTGTATGCCACTTGGTAGCGATGATAGCTGTGTAGATTTCAGACATTCTGCAAAATAAAGAATTCAAAGTTCAGTAACATTTGAATCGCTTTTTTATGTCAACATCGTAAATACCATTCGTTCTTTTAGCGACAAATCTTTGTTTTAATATGTACAAAAACAAATCTTTATGTGCTTTGATTTTTTTTACTTACCATTGATCCATCCGTCTGAATTCCCTGCTTGCTTTAAAGAGCATTCATTTTCATTTAGGTAAGCATCAAGTCCCAAATCAGCAAGGAGATCATTTCGTATATGTAGCTTAAGACTTTCATTTGCGTTAATTCCATGCTCGGACAGCCATGTAGAGAGTGAAAAGTCTAAAGTACATACAAAACATAAGTGCAAGTAAAAATGGTTTAGTGTTTATTTGTTGTTTTAGATGAAAAAATTTAGTATCATGAAAATTCATAAATGTGATTATCAGGTTTTATGATATAATAAATGTTACAACCTATATCAAGCAAAACTACATACTGTCTTAACACAAAATAACATTTTTTTTTATCAGTGTTTAAAGGGTTAAAATATGAAGAGAATTTCAGCCTCAGTTAGGGTTTTAAATGCATACAAAGAAACAAAGACATACTGGAAACTTAAAAGCAACCTATTACTCTGGTGATAAATGATTAAATTTGTTGTAGCTACCTCATACTAACTGTTAAAAACACACAATGACAGCATGTGGTACCTGGAATATTATAGCTTGTACTAAAGTTACAGATCTTTTTTGGGAGTCGTTGATTTTCTAATAATTTCCACTGTTTAGAACAGGCCCCAGCGGATTCCCAGCATTCTTCAAATGTTAGAGACACAAGAAATTCGTGTTTACTTGTTATGTCATGTACAGTGAACCTGAAAAATTCCAGTAATTGAGGATCAATAGCGCTTTGTCCATTAAAATAATTGAAACACATATCTAAAAAACATACAAGTACAACTAATTGTACTTGCATTGAGATATTATTCTATATTGTGTGCGAGTAATATTCATCTATTCGTGCAACGTAATCCGTACCTTTTTCTTTAGTAAAATCTTACTCAAGAGTTTGAGCGCAAGCAAGGAAAGCGTCTTAACTCGTATTGAAATTCATATTTGAATAATTATTTTACGATACCTTTAAAGAGTCTCAATTTCTACATAAATGCCACATTCTGTTAATATAAATTTTAATCTTGGTGTCGGCATTGTAGAATAGATGCTACTTTTTTAAATTAATATTAGGTTAACTATATTTTCTATCTAGGGAAAAATCGTTTCTGGAACACCTTTTAGGCAACACTCAATATCCGGGTCATTCTGACATGCATTGCTATATGATACTTTTAGGAATAATTCGATTTACGTACGGTACGGGTGTCGAGTTTTAGTGTACTTGTTACATTACAGTAAGAGCATCATAATATGGGTGCGTTTGTAAACAAAGGAGATGTTGAAATGAAACTAATTTGCACCGTTAATAAATAATTGCTGAACAAGATTTAATGTTAAATTCGATGCATCTTCACTTTTCTGGTTTTGTCTTAAAAGCAAGATTCTGATCGAGAACTAACATATTTCATAATCAAGTTTGGCACGTCAAAGTCGTTGACTAACTGGCATATATTGTTTACACAATAAAAGGCAACGATGAAATAAAAGTACACGCTTAAATGTTTTTAGAAAGATAATGTTTAGATACTAAGTCTCAATAAAATATTTGCACTACTTACTTTAGTCTTAAGACTCCTGAAAGCCAAACGTATTCTGTTCTGCCAAACTCATAATCTATTAGACTGAGTGAGTAGTTGAGTCGTTCAACACCTAGGCTCATCATTTGTGTGCAAGGATCTATATCTACATGAACTTCCACGTTACTATCTAGTATTGGAATGGGTATGCAACATGTGAGTAAGGTACAGGATCCAGTTATCGTACATGAAATTTCTTGCAGGCTATGATCCGATATAGAAAAATTCGAAGGACAATCACCTGTTCAAGATAGTTGTAAAATAATTGCTATTGCTTACAAATTATATATATCAGTTTAATTCAATGATGAACGTTAGGATAAAGATCAGCATAGATCGGGAAGAGTATGTCCGAGGTTTACGGTTTTATTGCATACAAATGTCGTCATTTGCTCAATTATATGGAATACTTCTTGAATTTCGTTCAGAAAAAAGATTCAAATAAAAATGTAACAGTAAATTATTACAAAATCAATAAAGTCATGACTTAAGAAATAATGACTAAACTCCAATAAAAATGTAACAGCAAACGATAAGAAATAATGACTAAATTATAAAGTGTGCATATGAATAATTCATTTTTTATGACATAGGTTTTTATAAAAATTATAATGTTTAAAATAAATACAATAGAAAAAGTTCAGCAACCTAATATAAACTAATAGACCTTGACTATATCAATAGCAAATGTAATGATCTATTACCACATAATACTTTAAATAACAACAAAGAACAAAGACAGGTTTTTAAATGGATTCATATTCAACATAGATACAACAACACTATAACATTATTTGAAAATGCCTTATTTGCATGATTGATCAAATGAGGTGTTAAAATTGAATCAAAACCAATTTATAACACTTTATTTTCTGAAATCAAGTATCTTTTTTGTGGCGACATGGCTGAGTGGTTAACGTGTCAGACTAGTAATCTAATGATCGCTAGCCGCATTGGTTCAAACCAAGTCATGGGCAAGTCGATGTTTCCTTGAGCAAGAAACTTCACACTCATTGCTCTGTACTGGTTGGTGCCAGGAACGGATTCGAAAGCGTGTCTAAAAGCTCATAGCTTCTTACACAATCGAACTTAAATAAATTCTGTATAAACAACCAAGTATCTTTAATAACAGCGTTTTGTTTTTTATAAATAATTTTTACCCAAGTTCCATCCTTGATGTTGGTAAGGATGGACTCCTTTAGCACAGGCATTTGTTTTCAAAAATCGGGAAATGCCTAATTCACTTGTCAAAATTGAAGCAATGTCCCTTGGAAGAGGTGATACTGATACATTAGAGTTTAAGTTGCTGATCCACTTTTGTAAAGAGAAGTCTGAAAAAGATGGCATAGTTCACAATCAACTTTCACATAATGAACACAACAAATAGAAAGGCTTTTTCAATGTGTATTGATTACTTATTTTACACATCTGCACAAGTAGAATATTGCCGTCTGAAAAATGTAAATAGATTAAATTGTTCATTTATTATATTCACTTTTTGAAATGATAATAAATTTAGTTATTTTTTATAACTGTTATCATTAAAATTGTAGTCATTGTTATTATTACTTATATACTTTCCCTTTAAATCGCGGATATACACAACCTATGTTGATACATAATTTACATACACCCTCCCTGAAAAATTACCTTTCAATTTGTATCCCTGTTGAACTTTCATAAAGCAGTTTGGCTTTGGGATTAATGTATCGTTTAAAATTTGAATATCCAATGGGCACGTGTTTCTATCTAAACAAACTTTAATTCGGAAATTAACTTTGTAAAGACCATCTACAGTCATATCTTCAACACGGTATCTACAACAAACGAATTTACGAGGTTATGCTAAAGATTTGATATAATGAAAGGCTGCCTAAGTAAAATTAAAATCACTTTTAGAAGTATTGCACTAATGCGTACATATTCATTTAAATCGAAAAACAAATCAACAAAATTTGGTTAGATCATTATCACTCTGAATATTTTTAAAGTAATTTCATGGTTTTTTCTGTATCTAGTATTTACTTTTATATCAAAACATAATTTCATGAATTCAATTCAAATATTTATTCGACAAAAAAGCACAGTTTTCTTAAGACATACGTAAAAACGAGTGTCATGGGTATAATAAATGTGCAAAACATGATGATGTTAAATTATATTGTGTTAAATATGAAATATTCAAGCTTACCTCGCTGTCAACACACCGCGTAATGATATTGTTTGTTCCTCTGATATATCCACGTTAATTAAGTTGTTTTCAAAAGAAAACTTTTCAATGTTGATGAAATATTTGTAGTTACAAGGATCAAATATAAACTGGATTTTAAAATGTCTGTTTATGTCAGGAACATCCAAACAACATTCTAAATGCATACATTCTTCAAAAAATCTGCATCCAGCCGCAGGCATCAATGGGGTGAAAATATCTTTTGGAGAACACCCTGTTACAAAATAAAATTTAATGTCATTACCACCATAAATATCCCAAAAGGAAGATATGCTAAAAAGATCAAAAATGATTATTACAAAATATGGTGTCTATAAATTTCACCATTCACTTACAGTTTTTAATTTTTTTATTTCCTAATTTTACAACCGAGAAATGGACATTTACAATTGTTTCTATCTCATTTAATACAATATCACCCGTATATAAAATTGGATGCAGGAAACAGTTTAATCTATTCATAATATGTAATGATTATGTAAGATTTTTTTATTGTAAGATTTCTTATTGGTCAACAATGAAAGAAAATATGTTGAAAGGAAACACAGTAAAAATTTAATCAAAATAACATTATTTATGTCCTTATGTTTTTATTTAACTTTAAAAGTTTCTGATACCGATTCGACTTATAAAGAAAAAAATTAAATATATTTACTGACCTTCTTCTAATTCCTCTGATTTGTATATATTATCGTGCAAATCACACATCGGTTGGTATAATACTGTATCAATTCCTAGTTCTTGCATCAGATATTGAGTCCCATACTTTGAAAATGATCCTAAATCTAAGTCTTTGAATTTCATCCACTCAGCAAAGTTAAACTCTACAAAATATAATTCACATTGTTACAAATATGCTAGTCTGTTAGTCTGTCAGTGGATAGAACATTTCATCTTTAGTGCGAAGCGTGGTCACCTTTTATTCACGTACAATTCATTATGATATTCAACATTTCACAAAACCTTTCAAAATGATGTTGAAGGTTTTTTTTCTTTGGTAGCATGTTCTATCACAAGTTCCTCATCGCAATATTTATGAATTTTTATAAGCTGTAATGCGTTAACTGTATTTACTTTATGGTATTGACATAGTACCCCTATAATCTTTATTATAAAACTTTTAAATACTGTATCGTATTTTTTTATTTTTTTTATTGTCCTCGTTAAATGATGCTGAAGGGTCGAGGGCATGCCAAACAGCACGTACAATGTCATTTTATGTATAATTATAAACTGTATACAATTACAAGAAACAATAATATAAGATACATAAATATAGGAAAGTTTCTTAATACTAAACAAAAAAACAACAAAAAAACCAAAAAAAAACTTACCCACCTTTGTAACATGAACCAAAAAAAAAAAAACAACAAAAAAAACTGTATCGTAATTTAGTGTATCACAAGCTTAGTATTTTACAAATACTTCTAATTCAATCATAAAATTGATTATATTAATGATATTTATTTGTCGTTCTAGATATAATAATCTCCAAGAACATCTGATACTAAACCTGGTGCAATAGAAACGTGTTTCAAGTCGCATGGATCTTTCTTTATTCGTTGGTAGTCCATCACAATTTCGTTGAATATACATGGAGACTTTAGTTCAGGACACACAGATAGATGCATATTGACTATTAATGCATTTTCCTCTGATACGTCATAAATTGAATACCTGTGTAGTATTTAAAATAAAATAGAATCAACAAAAATCAAAAACATACTAATGATAGTTATCATTGTAGGCCATAGTGTATCAATGTTTTAGCAGATTGATGGCTAACATGGTAAGTTTTAAGCAGAATGTCAATGGTTGCTACGTAATACACGTAAGTAAAATTAAGTTTATATATAAATTTAACATGCAAGCAAAACATTTCTTTATCAGTCAGTCTGATTTACATGAAATAAAATGTTTTAGACTGAATGACTATTCATAGGAAGATGGCACTTACGTAAGGGTTACAATACCAAACAAACTGACTGTCTCGCTTGTTCCCCAATCATAGTTAATCAACGATATCTCTTGTTTGACTTTTTCTATAGCAATGACCATTTTGAATTCACAAGACTTAATTTCTACGTTGATTGTGAAAGATCGTCCAAGAGGTTTTGCATTAAGACAACATTTGATGTTAGTACACGAGTCAAAAAATCCACATACAAGATCATCGTTGTTTCCAAACCAATGTGGCAATTTCTGAGAACACTCTAAATTAAAAGGAATCAATTTATAATTCAAACCATGCGATATATAAATAAAACATATTGCATTTAATTTACTAAAAGTTTCAGACTTACTTTTGATAAAGGTCATAATTATTGTTTCGGTAAACGTAAAAAATAGCAAAAAAGATATTATGCGCATACTTAAAAGACACGAAATTTCTTTGTACCTGCTGCCATTGAGAAATTAACTGTATTAGATGTGTTGCATCTTGGAGATAAATATTGAGCGATTTTCAAATGTTCAAAAAGTTGATCCGACAATAACCCTTCGACGATTTCAGTTGGTCCTAAATTGTGTTCCAGCTTCCACTTTTCAATGGAGAAATCTAAGAAAGATTAATTATCTCGAATAATTCTCAGTATCAAAAAAACGCCAAGAATAGCTGATGAAAGTATTCAAATGCACTGCTTTAATGGTTGCTTTTAGTACAATTACATTTGGACCGATAAATATCAAGATAATGAAATAATAAAAAGATAATAGAAAATAATATCACAAAATATAAAACATGAAATGAAATAACACATCGTGCACTGCATCCGTACATATCTACTAGTCTAAATATACAAAACAATTTCAAAATAATTTTATTACTATGCCATTTTTATATTACAATAGATAAATATATCAAGAGAGTATACTTGTACAAATCATAGTCACTGCACTGTGAAAATTGCTTCGTTTTACTATATATTCTATATCCAATTCAACAATTAAATTCTAAACGATCAATGAAAAGTTTTGTTTTTATTATCTCAAAATTAAATACTTATTCCATCATCATCATCATCATCATCATCTCATCATCATCATCAATATATCAGCAATCTCTCACCTTTCACAATGAATCCTTGATCGAAATTACAAAGTGGCGTCGAAATCTCTGTTCTGTTCATTAGAGTTGTGTCCAGAATACAACTGTCTTGGTCCCAACATATCTTTACGCCCATGTCCATCACAATCAAATTGTTCACAGTGATATAATCTATCTTCATACTGAAAGAGTCCGATTTTGGTAATACATGAAAATAAAGTTAAGAAGTTAGCAATAAAAAATTATGAAATAAAATCGAAACTTTTATTAGTGTTTGCAAATTTATTGATGATAATAATTTAAATTGTCATTCAAAAACATTTAAAACTATAAAACTGATTACAATAGAATTGCTCGCATTGTGCATCTTTGTCAAAATAATACTAATTAAAAATATTGTAAGACAAGCTGTAATGTATAAACTGGTAAACCTTAGTTTGACTATCCCCGCCAAAGCAAATGAATGTTCTTTTCCATATGTCATTTCACTTAATTCTAAAACGTAAGTCAATTTCTCAATGCTTAATGTCAATTTTCTACCACATGCATCTATATGGATACCGACAGAAAGTGTCCTTTGAATGAACGGCGCGTCGAAACAACAATTAACCATGCTGCAATTATTGTCAAACGAACAGCTAAGAACACCATCAAGTAAAGGCAGATCACTATTTGCACATTCTGAAATTATAAAGAAACACCGTGCTTATCAGTCAGATTTGTTTCGTTAAATTACAACGCATATCGTGCCGGATAATATCAAATCTGAGCAAACTAATGCAATTTTAATCATAAAAGGTAAACTTGCAAAGTTCCTATCGTGATAACTGTTACTGCTGATATAAAACAGCCGTTAAAACTCATTACTTGTATAATTCAATGTGCCCTGTTTGATTTAAATTGACTTTTAAACTATATAAGTATTTACCGGAAACGATTTCAGAGTGCGAGCGTTTCGGAGACCACATAATGCACGCGTCATCTCCAATGAAGTTTGAAAGCCCAGTTTTATGAAGAAATATTGGGATCAAATCCTTCTGTAGTACGTCTGCTTCATCAAAGTCCACATTTTTGAAGAACTCAGTCAATGATGGGTCTGAGAAAGAAGCAAAAGATGTCATTGAAAATAGACTTATGCCCCGAAAGGAAGCTTTGACACAAAATTACCATTAGATATGTAAGTGAATAGTCCGAACAAAAGAAATCCAGAGAGATTTAATCTTTGAGACTTACACATAGCTTGGTGACGAACAATCCCTGAAGTTTCACTAAAATTCCCCAGCGGTTTTGGAGATGAAGCGAGGACAAGCTTATTTTACTAAAAAAAATTAATAGGCCATAACTGTACAAAAAAAAATCAAGCAGAATATCAAGAAAATATGTACAACTAGGCTTGGTGACAAGCAATGTTGTGAGGTTTCACTGAAATTCCCCAGAGGTTTTGGTTACGAATCGCGGACAAGCTAATTTTACTCGGAAGTTTACCATTTAGGCGCCATAACTGTGAAAAAAAAATCAAGCGAAGAATCAAGAGAGTATGCACAACTAAGCATGTTGATAAACAATCCTGTTAAGCTTGAACACTGAAGTCCCCCAGCGATTTTAGCCATGAAGCACGGACAAGCATATTGTACTCGAAAATTGACCATTAAGGGGCCATAACTGTAAAATTATCAAGCAGAAAATCAAGATACTATGCACAACTAGGCATATTGACAAACAACGCTGTGAAATTTCACTAAAATCCTCCAGCGTTTTTGTGAGTTGAAGCGCGGACAAGATTACCGGATGGATTGACAGTGCAATTACCAAATGCCGACCATCGGGGGCAAAAACAACCATTTCAAACAATATAGATAACAATTCTAATAATATATAAGCAAATTTCCAGTAAAACAATTGCAATAAGATGCTTAAAGGTATTCAACTTGTACACATAAAATATATTATGATATTTTACTTACTCATTGGCAAATGTAACTACATGTTATTTAGATTTTAGTACAATAAATTAACATGTAACAAGTCTATGATCTTTTAAACAAACCACATAAATAATTATTAGTTTGACTTACATGTTAAAGTGTTATTCCATTCGCAGACTGACTTTGGTATTTGTAAATTTTCAAACAAAAGCGTTTCGTTTGGACAGTTGTTTGAATCTAAACATAGACTGTACTTAAGTTCGATGGAAAATATTCTTGCTCCTTGTAAGTCAACAATCTTGTACCTATTCAACGTAACATATTGTGTTTAACTTAAAGTTTTAAGATCATATCCAAACATATTGATACATAGTTTTCAATTATATGATCAAAAACAAGAGATGCATCAGGTTTTAAAGCACTGAATAGCGTTTATTTATGTAATTTCCTTTTTTTACAATGAATAAGTTTTTTTTAACATTTTTGGTAAATAAAAGGTTTCAAAATGCTTTTTAATGAAGCACTTACTTCATCTTAGAGATGCCAAACAAGTCCATTGAATGTTCTATATTGAAGGAGAGGTCAAACAGCGATTTTTGCACAGTCATCTCCTCTATGTTTGCCGTGAATTTCATGCTACAAACATCAAGGTTAATTCCAAACGACAAAGTCATTTGTAACTGTTTTACTTCTAAGCAGCAATCCAAACTTTTGCAATCTTTGTCCAAAATACAGGAGATACCAGTTGGCAAAGTTATTTCGCTTTTGAAGGAAGTACATTCTGTAATTACAAACAAGTTGCATTGGCATATTGTTTTACATTTATTTATTGTTTCATTTTAATTGCTTAACATTTAACATTATCTAAATATGTTTCAAACAGGAACAATATGAACCAGAAATTTAAGTTTTTAATAGCATGCCAGTATCATATATAATATATTTGGAATTTTAACAAAGTTATCATTAACTTCATGTTGTTTACCCTTCTACAGGCAAGCAAATGTTACTATGATAGCATATTTGCAAGTTAAATAATAACATTTATATTTATCATCTATCTTATATTTTGTTATATCATTTATTTTCTTTTTAGCATTATTAAAAGTAACTTCATTATCAACGTTTTAAATCATTTAAAGCTTCATGTCCTTTCTATGAAGACCTTTATACCTGATGTCCATGCAGGTGATGAAACAGAGCAACTGTCTCGAAGTATGTATTTCTCCACTCCTATATCTGTAAGAAGGTCTTTGACCATATCTTTTGGTACAACAGATTGTGAACCGCTAGAACCTTTATCTTCAAGCCATCCAGAAAGTGAAAAGTCTTAAACAAAATAAAAAAAGCCACATTACCATCTTATATCAGTCACAGTTTGTTGCAAACGGTTTTGGGAAAATTGTCTGTTTCACTTTGAGGCTGGTTTCATTTATACTTAAATGGTAACAAAAGCGGAAAATATTTACTTATCGCATAACAGTTTTAGTATATATTTAACGGAGCATATTTACTTATCGCATAACAGTTTTAGTATATATTTAACTCTAAATAGGTTTTTATTCCTTACTTTTCATATTGAATCCAAGTTCGTTTTGACAAAGAGGCTGAGGAACTGCCTGTCGCTCAAAAATGGGTATGTGCAGGATGCAATCCTCATGATCCGAAAGACACAATTTGACGCCGGCATCAATTATCAGTAAACCTTCCTCAAACATATTGAACATCCGATATCTGAAATGTTTTAAGTACATTAATATCATTCAGAACATCATCTGTTATATTAAATATTAACGATTTCTTTCGACGCACGTGATCAATTTTTAAATGGGTTCAATTCTGAAAAAAGTTAGTTCTTTCTTCCTTAAACATCGAACATGATTACCTTAATTTCAAAAGTCCTTGCAGTTCAAATGTTCTCCAAACACCAAATTCGGATGCATCTAGCAACAATGTCGACTTGTATGATTCGATTGTGAAATCAAGAGCGTATCTGCAAACATCTATTTCGAATGCCAATTCAAAAGACCTTTTCAGGATATCTGAATACATGCAGCACGCTACGCCGAGGCACTTATCTGTTATTGCACATGATAACCAATCCTGCTTTGGGATATTCTTGTTAAGGGCACAAACTCCTTAAATATGAAAATATATCTGACTTTTTTTTTAGTTTTGCATATAAATACCTATAACTCTTATAAAATCATATATTTAATATTGTTTAAATTTGAAGACATACTATACATCAAAACGAGTACGTAAGCTTGATACCTGGCTCATCGTTAAACAACATAAAATTCAAGTATGCCTTGGTAATTTATGTATTTTAGTCCATGAAGTATTGTACAAATACTGACCATTCACCGCATCAAACTTGCTATCGCTGATGTTACATTGCTGGGACTGAAGATATTTATTAAGATCATAAGCACTGAACAGATTTTTTGTTAGATCTGCGCCAATATCTTTGGCTGAATGAATTCCGTTGTCTTTTAACCATGCTTCGAAGGAAAATCCTACAAATGATAAACAAATAATTCACTTCACCATTCAAATATACGAATGAAAACGTAAACAACTTTTGCAATCTACATATGAAAAAAGATAATAAAGATAGTACGAAAACATAGCTCTTATAAGTAAAATATCTTTATTCCAACATAATGTAAGTATGAGATTTGCAATTACATACAGTAAGAGTAAATTGTCGATAACAATTTAGTCATTCAGAAGTGTAGCTATAGAAGTAGCAATGAGTAAGCAATGACCTGGTATCTGAAATCCTGTTCCATGTGAGCAGAACACATTTGGTACCACGGCGTCTTTTAATACGTCGGCATCAAATATACATGGCTTAGAATGTTCAAAGCAGACCTGAACAGCGGCGTTGATACGGAATGATGTTTCATCAATCTTTTCAATTTTGAACCTTTAAAATTAATTATAATCAAAATCAATTACATTGTTTTGTTCAAAAATATTTAATGGCTCGTGATTAAATAACAATCAAAACATCGCGCATGTTATATATCGTGTTTTTCACAACCAAAATTCAATTTTTAAGTATCTAGGTTTTGACAGTTATATCTAAAATCATTAGAACAAATAAAAGGTTGTACCTCAATCTTACAACACCTAGTAAATAAACTTTACTCTCTTCACCTGTAATACAAGGCAATGTTAATAAAGTAATGTTCTGTGATAAAATCGTCGTTAAATAAATAACAAAAACATCTCGTTTGAAACACACAGTTTTACTAAGAAATATGTATTAGTAAGAATCTTTCGTTTGAATTTAAATAACGGTTACTTTTAACACTTACTATCGATAAATACAAATTAATTTATTTTCTAAATTTCTGCCGAATAAAGATGCTATATACCAACAACCATTACTTTTAAAATTGAAACCAACTGAAATTAAATTACAACTCTTACCAAATTTATAATCAACAAGCGCAACATTTATTTTCAACCTATCAATTTCCACCTCAAGTTGATAACGACATGTGTCAAGTTTTAAAGTTATCTCAAATGATCTCTTAATGAGACTAACATCAATGCAACACTTGACATCTGTACACATGTCAGAGATATAGCAAGACATTGTCGATGGTAGGCTTGGAAGCTGTAATTCTGTGTGACAGTCTGAAAGTTAAGACACTTTTAATAAGTGTATGATATGTTTCTAAACAAAAATATGGTTTTAGCTGTTGCTTAGTACCTTTTAGTTAACCTTAATAATGAAAGCTTAAATATCATAAATTTGCAGCCATATAAAATCTAACTCGGAAAGTGTATTGAATGTTTATTCGTTTAATAAACTTTATTCTGTTTGTTTCTGTGACATATAAAACAATTTTGAAACCTTATTAAATAACAAAATAGTATTATACGCTAAACAGCTGTGAGTAAATATCTAACCTGATCGCCAGTTGTTCACGGACGGGGAATACGGTAACGCAGTCCTATCACACTGATCAGCATTCAAAAACTGTTCTAAACCGGTTTCCTTCATCAGTTTATCTCTGGCATTCGGTAATAGGTTAGTAATGTCAGATATGCTGTTCTCGCTAAGCCATTGTTCAAGGGAGAAATCTAAGGAAATGATACAGAAAAATGATTTTTGTGATAGCTTCAGTAAGATTTTAAGCTTTGAGATATCTATTTAAAATGATGGCTAACTAGCAATAATGATAACTTCTACGTGAACAATCAATTGTATCAGTAATCATTTATATAAATAATATGAAAACAACAACAACAACAACAACAACAACAAGAACAACAACAACAACAACAACAACAACACAACAACAACAACAACAAAAAACAACAACAGACGTAATGATTTTCTTTTCTTGATTTAACTAAATCCTTTTGAAATTCTATCTGAATTAAAATGTTATTTTTTTCTTCAAAATTTTGTATTTACATGGATTTATTGAAAACGATATGAAAATAATATAATACAAACAATGTACAAATGTGTTTGTGATGGAATAAATATGCTGTTATTGATAGATAATACCTGGTATCATAAACCCAGAGTCCCACTTGCATAATGGCTTTGTTAACGTTGCATTGTTCAATAGCGTTATTTTAAAGTCGCATTTATCATGATTTAGACAGACTTCTAGACCCAAGTCCACACCATATTGTCTACTTTCCTCATAGTTGCGGATGCTGTATCTGTTTGGGGTTAATATGTATTTGTGAACATGCATAGATACAAATATTTGAATTAAATATCTTTACCTTTTGTTTTTATAAAGCGAAATATCAATTAAAATGGAGAAGGTATTGCTACGTTTGAAGGCATTTCCGCAACATTTTACGAATAAAACACCAATGAATATGAATCTATGTGTACGCATCAGGTAGATACAAAAATACAGACTACGAAATGCTTAAATGTTTACATTATAAATCCTTTCAAAAATACTAAACATGAATATACGACTTCAAGCAAATCAGATGCAGAAAAAATGTCTACTTTTCATTTCATAACAACACGCATGAGTCCACTTTAACACTTTTAAGCGATATCTAAACAATATAAAAAGAAGAGGTATCATAGAATCATATTTACGTAATTTTGACTACTCCAAGTAATGACAATACTTCTGCCGAACCTGCAAATATTCAAATCAAATTTAACTAATGTCCAACAACAGAAATATCGTGATTACAAATACTTTAACTTTTTCTTGTAGAAGAATAAAAAAAATATCGATATTGATATTGCTTATAACAAGGATATATAATACATTTCCTCTCAATTGAATAGTTAACAAAATCAAGTATGGGCTTATAGAAAATAAAATACGTCCATTCAATGTATATTAATGGTATCAACTGTAATATCTTAATCTAAATAATGCAAAATATATTTAGCGTACCCCAATTATAATTCAACAACGTAACATTTAATTTCAGATTTTCAATGCCAATAACAAGTCTGTTTGAGCAGGCGTCCAATGACAGTATGGTATTAAATCCCCTTTTCAGTACATCTATGTTAAGACAACACTCAACTGCAGTACAGTAACTGGGTACATCACAACGGACTTGTTCTGGAAGCGCAGGTAAGGTAACGTCCAAAGGACATTCTGGAAATAAAATCATGATTCATGAATGTTCACATTTGAAAGGCATGTAAATACCTTGAATGGTATTTAACAAAACTGAATAAAATATGTGACAGAAATAACTATTTCCATTTCCGGACAAGTTTGGAAAAGAAATTGTCTAAAATTTAGCATATTTAGAAGGCTTTATTAGCATATTTTGATTAAAAATTCATCTGAAAGGGTAAAAAGGAGATAAAATCATTTCAAAGATTGTTTTACCATAACTCAACATAGTTTAAAAAAAAACAAAACAAAAAAACAAAAAAATTCGTATTTGCTTAATCGCATAAATGATATAATATTTGTAGATATTTTACATGTAGTCTTAAACAACCCGACATTACCTTTAGTCCAACCATCAACACTATCTTTGTAAGGATACTCATCATGATTACATCCGTCTTCGGTAAGATACTTGGATATACCAAGTGAATCTAAAAGCTTTGCAAGGACTGCTCCCTGTAGTGAAGATGGTGTAAGACCATTGTCTGCCATCCAATCGTCGAGTTTGAAATCTAGAAACAAACAATGAATATTTATTTAACTATTCAACCTACTTTAAATACCATACTATATATTTGAAAGATAATAAACTTTTTCATTTTTAAAATTAATTAAGTGTTATGTTATTGAAATACTTTCGTAAGAAATTTATAAAGCAAAGGTTATAATGTTTTAAGGATATTGATCCCCAAAGACAAATGCAAAATATCCCGTTGTGCTGTCAATGATTACCTGGAAGCTGAAATCCCATGTCCCAGTTGCAAAGTGGTTTTGGAACTGAAAATTTATCAAGAAATGGTATCACAGGGTTACAAGGACCATTTGAATCCAGGCACACACCAACATCCGCTGATAATTTGAAAAGTGAGGAATCCTTGTCATCTACAATCGTGTAGCTGAAATAAATATTGTTTGTTAGGAGTATTGCTTAACTTTGTAAATGCTTTCAACATAAAAAAGAAGAAAAACAACTTTCATGTAGGTGATGCTATATATGTTACAATACAGCGATTAAATCAGAAAACGTAAAATAGTAAAAGATGGTTTTGACAAAAGATTTTAAAGACAGTACGGGCTTGCAGACTAAGGTAGTCCCGATGCTGTTTAAAAAAAGTGTTCATTTTTCTTTCAAATATTGTCTGACACCGAACTCCTGTCAAAATTAGTTATTGCAAAACGAGCGTCATCGTTTTATATGTAAAAATAAAAAGATATAAACAAACCTGAATTGAATGACTCCAAATAGATCAACCTTGTTCATTTTTCCTGTAAATAGACGCACAAATGTTTTGCATTGAAGCATGCATTATGGAGTAGATTAAATAGCAGACCAGGAAAATAATTATTTTAAAGCAATAAATATCATTAACTATTCAATGATATTGTAATTGATATTATTATTTAAAAGTTATTATAAATAAAACTTGAGCATGTATCTTAGACTGTTCCCCAATTCATCCTCTCTATGTATCTATTTAAATAACAAGAAACTACACTGAATTAGTTAAGTCAAGATGATTGCAAAGTAATGTAATTAAAGAATGTTTTACCAAATTCATAGTTTATAAGTGACTGATTATATTCTAGTTTCTCTACTCCCGCTGTAAGGGCAAAATTGCAGCTATCCATGTCAAAGTAAAATGAAAATGATCTTTGCAGCAATGGAACATTTACACAGCAGGTGAAACCAGTGCAGTGCTTAAAAAGATGGCAGTTCATTTCATCTGGTAGTGTTGACAGGGGGTCATTCAGTGGACATTCTAAAAAGCAATTAAGATGAATAATAAAGGGAGTTATTACAGTTTAACATATTTCTAAATATCTACCTTTAAAGAATAACTATAAAATCTAGTAGAAAGATAACTTACAAATTATAAGCCGTACTGAAAACTTAAAATAGCGTGGGGCGTAAGTGGCAGAGTGGCATTCTTTTATGTGAGAAAGCCAACATTATGTCAATGTTGATGGGTCTATTCAGGTGCCCGTTTGTCCCTGAAATGATATGAATGGATGGGCACCTGAGGTCTTCCTACATCAGTAAAGCAGGAAAGACGCCATATGATATCTATTGAGTTAGTGCGATCCAACCAAAAAACTAATATTGATAAAAATAAAACAAAACTTGCACTTGCTAAAACATGAATACTTATACTAGCATATCATGTTCCTCGCTGATTGATACACCGTTGTACGAAAGCTAATTTAAAATCCAAAAGGGATATCTTATGAAGCCCTTTCGTTGGTTTACAATATTTAAACTTAAAAACATTCACATTTTGTGTAGAGATGTTTATTTTGTAGCTTCATGACATCATAGACTCAAGTTGTAGTAATTTTTGGACAATAACAGTTTAAACATCACCTTTGAAATGTTAAACATAATCAAAATTTCAATTATACCAGATGTCCATCCAGATTCAGCACAATGTCCAGCATTGCACTTATTATCCAGAAGATACGGAGTTATACCCAGCTCCTCGAACAATTTAGATCTCAGGATGTCTGTCAGTCCATCTGTTAGATTATTGGCGTTGTCATTTATCCACTTGTCCAGTGTAAAATCTGTTAAATATGTAATGAAAACCAATAAATATAATTAAATAATAGCATAAAAGAAAATATCGTCTATGAATAAACGAATACATCTTAAGTTTCAAATTGTAAGATTATTGGCGTTGTCATTAATCCACTTGTCGAGTGTAAAATCTGTTAAATATGTATTGACAACCAATAAATATAATTAAATAATTACATAAAATAAAATATCGTCTATGAATAAACGAATACAACTAAAGTTTCAAATTGTAAGAATAATTTTAAGGAGCGAATAGTCTTCATTGTAAATGTAACTTACAATGTAATAAAATTTCAAGTTTGTAAAAATTGATACAAACAGAAATCAGACCATAAAGCTCTCATTTCGGCAACTACAGAAGTTATTTACAAACATTTCAGTAAAAAAGCAAACAATTAATTATTTTTTCTTACCTGCAAGTTTGAATGTCCCATTGAAGTTACATAACGGTTTTGGAAGCAACAAACTTTCAACGATAGGTCTGTCCAAGATGCATTTGCTACTGTCGAAGCAAGCAAGCATACGTACAGATATAACAAACTGTTTGCTTGATTTCAGATCATCAATCATGTATCTGTAAATATAATATAATTAGAAAATATTTGTGAATGATGAAATTAAGAAAATATGATTATTTTTAAATCTGCTAGCATCTGAAAATTGCCCATTTATATGAAGCATAAACTAAAACTAAACTAAATGAAATATCAGCAAATTAACTAATCCGGAAAAACGTCTTATAAATTTATTTTTTGCTTCAGATGTTCTATACAAGGTAAACTTTCTAAATACAATATCAGTCTACAATGACGTCTGAAATTATAGTGGAGCGTAACATGACTATCTAAACTTTTTTGTAATACATCATGACCTGATCACTATCTATCCTTACCATTATACCATGCATAAAAACTGAATAAACTTAAAACAATAATGTACTTACTTCAGAATAAAAACGTCTTTTATGTTGATTCTTTGCCAAGTTCCCCATTCGTAGTCGAACAGCTGTAAATTGCTTTTAAATTTTTCAATCGTAATTGACAACTGATATGCGCAAGCATCTAGGTCTACAGCGACGCTCACAGATCTTCCTATCAGTGGAATACTCACACAACATTCTATAGCTGTACAATGTGTCGGTATAGAGCAAGTCATAATGTCAGGCAATTGGAGATCAATATCGAGCTTGCTGCATTCTGAAAAGGGAATTGTATTCACCTCATAAACACTGTAATTATTTTCAGTTCAACACCAAAGTATGCCCTTTTCACATGATCTATAAATGATAACGTACCAACAACAAAGTATAGCAAGATTTTACAAGAAAATCTACAGATTATTAAGATCTAAATGTTAATATAATTTTATTATTTTTTATTATATGATTAATGTTTTATTATAACTTATGTGTACGTGTATTCACAAAACTTAACCAAATTTAACGGCTAAGAACCGCAAATGACTAGGCAAAATAAAGTAATGTCATACTGTTTTCAAACTTGTTGTTTGCCAGAGCTGAACCGTTACACCTGTTTTGCAGCATAAACATAGACACTCCAAGCTTCTCAAGAAGTTTATCAGCAACAATAGCCGGTAAATTGTCTCCAATATATTCTAGCTGTTGACCAATACTCTCCAGGTACTTATCTAGATTGAAATCTACAAATGCAAATAGTAACAGGTTTTAAGTTAGTATGAAATTGAAGACAATCCCTATCTAGAACTGACGAAGATGATGGCAGAATATGATTTTTTCTCTACATTTTCATATTGTACAAAGTCGCGTGAAATATAAATAATAAAAAAAGATAACACTGTCAGCCGCTAAATTATGTTTAAAATGTCTACGCAAATAAGAAAACTTAATCGTAATGAAGTTATGCACATATGTTCTTTTATATATCATATTAAAAAAACAATGACTGTTAAAAGTTTTGTTTATGAAAATTGTCCGAAGAAATTTATTCAAACTCTTAAAATTGTAAACATATTTATATACCAGAAAGGGACGTATTCCAGTCACAGCCTATTTTTGGTATACGGGCATCTTCTAACAGAACGAGATTGTCTTCGCAGCCAGCTGATTTCATGCATATTGACATTTGTAAATTGAGGACGTACTGTTCTTCAGCTTCCAGATTTAAGATGGAATATCTTTAAATATTGAAAACAACATATAATTAATTTGAGGTAGTAAATTTTCTCTTTTTAGATAACTAACTTTTAGAACAATCACTTTCAAAATGCCAATGTATTATGACAAAAAGTGTAACACATAGCTCCCTTTTGCTCCATTGTGTAGAATGCTTAAAGACTATTGGAAAACCATCAATCTGTTTTCATAACCAAATAGTACTTCAATATGCGATGAGTGTAAAGTTTCGTCTTTAACTAAACAAGGGCTTGAACCTGATTGAGTTTGAACCTATGTGACTAGCAATTTTTAAATTATATGTCAGACAAGTTGACCGGTAATGTCATCTTGGTAACGTTAATGAAAAATGTAAGCGCTTACCTTACGCGTAACGCACCCATCATGGAAAACTCTTCTGTTTTACCCCATTGATAATCAAGCAATGATACATTGAGTCCAAACTTTTCGATACCAATAGCAAAGATATAGTTGCAAGCATCAAGGTGTAGATAAACTTTAAATGATCTTTTTACTAAGCCAACGTGGACACAACAATCTATTCCGGTGCAGTATGATGGTACGTGGCATTTTATATATCCTGGAAGCACAGCGCTGTCTATGGACTTTGGACATTCTAGATAAAACATAAAGATTATATTTGAACGATAATTTTTTTTTTATTCATATTATTGTATAAAAAAATATAAATCAACATAAATACATACTTACATTCCAGATACATGCTAAAAGCTGAAGATGATCTCTATTTTCACATGTACCTTATACTTCAGACAAAACAGCAAATGAAATGCCATTATATTATGGCTTCATGTCTGTCATTATTGTAATGAAATAAAAAGCCTACCTGATGTCCAGCCATTTGTAGCGTTCACAAATGGGTATCTTGTACCACTGCATTGATTTTCGTCAAGATATTTTGCAATGCCGAGTGCATCGAATAACTTTTCAATCATAAAGTCCTTCAAATTATCCCCAATCACATTATAGCCTTGGTCGTTTATCCAGTCAGTTAATGAAAAATCTGTAAATAAAGAGTACTAGAGTGCTTAAATAATAATTAACATGAACGAGGAAAAGTTAACTGAAATCAAAATATCTAACACTTGCCACTTTGAAATATTGTAGGTCCATATCATTACTATTCTCTATTACTGCGTAAAATCCTGGACTGAAAAATCGTTAAGATATAATTTATCATATATTAGACTTTACATAAAATTAAATAATGTATTAAAGATATACATATGTTTTCTGTCATTGAAATTCGCTTTAAATAACTAGTACCTGGTATCGCAAGTCCAGAGTTCCAATCGCACAGTGACTTTGGCACATATGCATCCGTTAGAATATCCATTTCAAACAAACACCCGTTATTTTCGAAACATATTTTAAGCTTGACGTTCACTATGAATTTTTTCTCACTATGTAAATCATCTATTTTATATCTGCAGATGGACAAATATTGCAGGTTTTAAAACAAATTAATGTTAACTGATATTATAGAGCGGACGTTTTCTTCAATACAATTATTTCATACAGAAAATGTATTGCATGTGCGTAACATAAATTGTTTTATATAGTAAATAAACACGAGTCATTATAACAATTGGAATATGATTTTATGAATTAAACGTTTTGAAAAATATATTGTTTAACTATGCAAATCCATTACACAAGATATTTGAATAATCAATCATGATAACTTTGTTCAAAAATAATGTCAAACACTTACTCTATTCGGAAGAAACCACCAATGGAAAATTGACTCAGCTGCCCTAAAATTAGTTCATTTCATTTAAAAATGATTCACATATCAAAATAAAAAATAGCATGTAAATGTTAAGATAAGTAAATTTCAGTATTAATTTTGTCGATTAATAATATCAGATGTTTTTCTTTTTTCTATAAACTTAAGATACTTTTTACACTATATTCTTTTTTTTCAGAGATTTTGAATCACCAAAATATGATAAAGGGTTTTTTGTACATAAGAGCCTTATTTTAGTCTTAATAAGGGTACATACGCCCTTTCAGGCACTGAAAGTGCGGTCCCCGGACTTGTTACCATTCATTACTTTCAAGGTTATAATCTGCCAAAGGTGACCTTTAAATTTTTGAATTCAGTGATTCACTGAATAATACAAAAATGTATGTAAGTCGGCAGTAACAGCTTTTGTAAACTAACCCCATTCATAGTCCAGCAAGAGCACTTCCTCTTCCAATCTTTCAATTCCCATGGTCAGTTTGTACTTGCAAGTATCAAGAAGGAATTTGGCATGAATTGTCGTTCTTAAAATATCCACGGTTAAACAACAGTCAACACCGGTACAGTAGTCAGTCATGTGACAAACAATCTCTTCCGGTAATGCAGGTAAGGTAATGGATGCATTACATTCTGTAATTGATTAAAATATACACTGATATATCTGCGTTTGCAAATTTATTTTAATATATTTTTAGTTCATTTTGTGCCAAATACTTGTTTTTACGAAACGGAGGCAATGGTTAAATTTTCCATTTCAATTACATCAGAAAAACAAGAGCACCGCTAGGCGGAGCATTATATGCCCGAAAGTGTTTTTTTTCTTTACTAAGGATGATTGTAAGACATTACATAAATTAAATAAAGTATTACCTCCTTCAAATAGAAATCCTCCTATAAAGTTTGAATATTGTGGGCCAAATGGAACTTCAGTTCTGCTCTGGAAACTGTTTTTAGTTTTGAGGTAATAGCTACCTTGAACTTTGACCGTGTGACCCCAAAATCAATAGGGGTGTTCTACCCAATATGGACAATCATCCTATGAAGTTTCAACACTATGGGCCAAATAGAAATTAAGTTATGTTCTGGAAACTGTTTCAGTTTTAAAGTAATAGTGACCTTGACCTTTGACATTGTGACCCCAACATCAATAGGGGTATTCTACCCATTATGGACAATCATCCTATGAAGTTTGAACACTGTCGGCCAAATGGAACTTAAGTTACGTTCCGGAAACTGTTTTCAGTTTTAAGGTAAAAATGACCTTGACTTTTGACCTTGTGACCCCAAAATCAATAGGGGTCTTGTACCCAATATGGACAATCATCCTGTGAAGTTTGAATACTGTGGACCACATGGAACTTAAGTTTATGCTCCAAAAAGTGTTCTCATTTTTAAAGTAATTATGACCTTGACCTTGTGACCTAAAATCAATAGGGGTCTTCTACCCAATATGGACAATCATCCTATGAAGTTTGAACACTGACGGCCAAATGGACCTTAAGTTATGCTCCGGAAATTGTTTTCAGTTTTAAGGTCACAGTGACCTTGACCTTTGACCTTGTGACCCCAAAATCAATAGGGGTCTTCTACCCAATATGGACAATCATCCTATGAAGTTTGAATGTTGTGGGCCAAATGAAACTTAAGTTATGCTCCGGAAACCAAATTGCTAACGGACGAACGGACAGACGGACGGACGGACGGACGGACAGATAGACAGACAGACAGACAGACCGAACGGACGGACTGACGCCAGGGGGTATAACATAATATGCCCGAAATTTTTACGGGCATATATAAAAAGAACATTTGGCCCTGTCAAAATTAAAGGTTAATTTCAACAATGACTATTTTGAAATATTTGAAGCTATGCAAAGCAAGAAATCAGTAAAATGATTTAAAGTTACATTTAATAAATTTCATAAAAACAGAAATAACGACAATTCATTAATAAATTGGGTTTCATATCGAATCCAGATCTTATTTTGGTGTCCAGACAACCAAAAGGAGTTTTATTGGCAAACAAATGTGCAACCTCATTGTGGCGAATTCGGAAGTACAATTTCTGTTGGGATACGAAACTCCGCCTTCTGATCATCCGTACATCAATGTTAATTCGACAAACATGCCTATAAGTCGCAGTCCTAATTTAACGGTATATTTCCGCATTGTAACGGATATTTTCATACAAATTTAATCTTTTTTATGAGATGATTATTTTTTCTGAACCCCAGGCCTAGTGCACCGTGAAGCTTTAACGGTTAAAGTGTGTTTGCACAAGAAAATCTTATATTTGCTGTGTTCCGGATAGCAACTATAACACCGTGACGTAGCATACACGAGCTGATATAGTCTTCATTTGCATGTTAAAATTCGTATACGAACTTTAGTGTTACCGTGGGGTTTTCCATTTAAAATCCTTATTTATGAACAATATTTGATGAGATTTACAACGATACTGTTAAAAAGGTTAATGAAACTGTAGAATGCTTGGTTTTTAGGCCGACGGCAAAAATATTTTTACATATTTATTTAATGTAGCTTTAATATCAGTGCAGTTAAGTGCATAATATATAATATGGATCATATGAAAAATTCAACTTAATATATAACAGAGATGTCAGACATACACGAAAAGTAACAAGCAAAAATAATGTGTCGAAATTATCTTGTGTTTCAGATACACTTATGTTCTTAAGTGTACTCAATCAAACGAAGGGACGTGTACAATATCTTAATGATGATGACTATAAAATTGGATGATATTTCAATAAATGTAATAAAAGCATTGCCTAGGATTACCTGACGCCCAACCATCGATTGCATTATAATAAAGTTGATCTGATGAAGCACACGGAGGTTTCTGTTGAAATTTATCAATGTTCAATTGACTCAGGAGTAGTGTAACCAATGACGACGGGAGATTATCGTCCAATGTATGACCGACATCATTTAGCCATTTGTTGAGTGAAAAATCTAGATATAAACATAGATGTGTATACTATGGTAACCAATCATCAGGATTAAATTGAGATACAATGCGCGATTCTGATAGTATGTAAAAGCTTAGTATTGGAATTTAGTTTTTGTTAAAAAATATCTGAATGATAACGACTTTAACAGTATTTGTGGATCCGTCATTATTCTACAGAGAGACTTAAACAAATCTAAGCATCTATGTACAGCACCTTCAATTTAAACATTTTTTAATCTGTGAATGAAGCGATATTGGCAAAAGAATCTCCCTATCTAAGAATATTATATTTGAAAATCGAATTAATTCCATACTTCCTAAACTTAAGCCAGCATCAAGATTACAAACTGGAATGGGAATCATTGTGTTCTCAAAAATGTCTGTTGAAAATTGACACGGAGCGTTTGAATCCATACACACGGCCACAGAAAGGTCCACGACGAAGTTCTTCTCTGTTTTGTCAATTTTGTATCTGTAATTGAATTCATAAGCATATATTAAGAACTGTAACCATGAGCGAAAAGAAATATTACTTCCATTTGATATACAAGATATTGATATCTCAAGATGAAAAGACACCGTTTAAATATAAAATTTCATTATGCAAAATGTAAAAATTTTAGTTACATACTTGATTTTAATCAGCTCTAACAGTGTTTCCTCTGCTTGTTGCCCTAGAATGCAAAATGTGATTCATGATTACTTTTCGATCGTAAATAAAATACGCACAAACATAATGTTCATATTTCTATAATTCTTTACTAACTTCCTGAAAGCCCATGAATCTCTTGGTCTAAATCAAGGTTATCTTATTTAATATTTCTGTTACTTCCTTATTCTATTTCATGCCCACAGTTTCATGAATTTTGCTACAAAATTCAAAATGCAAACGGGAAAGTGAATACTAACCCCATTTGTAATCCATAATAGTAAAGTGAAACGATGTTGTTTCCAAGTTTCCTCGGATAGTAAAATTGCAGAAGTCAATGTTAAAGGACGCTTGCAACGAACGCTTTAGATAGTCTACTCCAATGCAACAATCTATTGCTGTGCATGATGATGAAATGTGGCAAATTGTTGATCCTGGTAAACTGGGTAAATCGAGTTTAAGCTTTGGACACTCTGTAATATAGTTTGATAAAAATATAACAGTATATATATTTTGTTTCGATCAAAACAGTTTCAAATTAATCATTACTTTAAAGCATGATTATAACAGATAAATTATTTATTTCAATGGCTACAAACTAAAAAGCGTGTTTCATACTTCCTATATAGAATTTTTGATAGACGTGACAGGTAGCTTGTAAATAATCGGGTTTCAAGTGTTTAAAAAAATACATATTAGTTAACAATAAACATACAAGTATAAGTAAGCAAAACAAAAATTATCTGTAGAATGAAAGTTAATCTTTTGTCTTACCATTATTCCAACTCACTGTTGCATTTTTGTAAGGTTCTTTGGATACATCACATTGCTCTTCAAGAAAATACTTATCAAGCCCAATAACCTCTGTAACAAACTTAATTCCTTCTCCCCATAAATCATCTGTTGGACTTAAATGTCCAAGACCGTTGTTCTTCAACAATGATGTTACCGAGAAATCTGTTAATAAAAAGGTAGAAATGTCCGTTACGAAAAAACATGAAAAACTCTAGAAAACTTATTTAAATCGTGATGTATTTTTGATTAAAACAAACATTTGCTTAAAAGCAGCATTCCTTTTCTTAAAGGTAATGTGAATGTTTGCTTGAAACCAGTATTACTTTTTGCAACCAGACTATTCATTGTCAACATTATTCCGGAGACGAATTGCCACGAAGCTCTCCCACATGGTTTCAAAGTTCATTTAGGAATTACCTCAATATATATTTTAATTGTTAAGGCGAACATTTCCTTTTAAAATCTGACAACTAATAATATGATTAGACAATACTTGCTTGAAAAGTTAAACGACATATCACATCCAACTTGTGGGACCTTTGTTCCGTCTAGTAGTTTCTTTTCGAACATGCAGCTGCCATCCTTTTCGAGACAAACTGCTAGTTGAAGAGTGATGATAAACACCTTTTCGTTGTTTGGCTTTTTTATTGAGTAACTAATGAATAAAACGTGAATAAATCGATACAATGAGAATAATTTTTATATTATGTAAATGTATGTATTTGTATAAAATAACAATACGCATCACATTGAATTTCACATTTACTATCTGACAATATTCGAGCAAAACAACGGCATTATTTCTTCTTTGTTTCAGTTTCTTTGGTGACATATTTGTAATGTAAGTATTTACCTCACTCTGAAAAAATCTTTGATTGACTTCGTTACTGTCTTGCCTGAAAACCATATTGTTCATGTTATTTATCTATTCATGACAGGCAGTTAATGGTAAGAGTATTTTAATAGTGTCTGTAACAGTTTTAACTATATCTAAAACACACATTTATAACATTTTAATAAGTATTTAGGTGAAATAATTAAAAAGACGTTTGTTATGCATGACAAGGAATTCATGAAAAAGACAAATTGTTACTAAATGAACAGATAAAATCTTACCCCATTCGTAGTTAAAAAGTGAAAACTTGAATTTCTGCGTCTCTATTCCGCCCGTTATGATGTAATTGCACATGTCGACGTCAATAAACGCGTTAATTGACAAACCAATCTGTTCTACGTCTAGACAACAGTTAATCCCTGTACAGTAATCGGGAACGCTACATGAAACAATACTTGGTAGTGTCGGTAGATTCACAAAACTGAGTGGACACACTGTAACACAAATGTTGTAATTAATGTTGCAACCACACTTATATAAGTGTAATTTTATAAATATATATAATTATGCTTCTTAAACAAATGTCAAACATCGAAAAATATGTAAAATATGTACTGCAAATATTTGTCCACATTATATGTAATCATTGAACTATATGCTTTAATTTCTTATTGAAAAAATTCGACTTAGATTTTATAGAAAATAAATTTCTTATAACCTCCCTTTATTTACATGAAATATAAATTTGATAATATCTTTACAAATAATGCTTTTTGAAACTTACAATATTGATAAATCTTCCTTTGAATATTATATTTACATGATATAAAACCATAAAAATGGGTTTCAGGATCTTTAATTATTGTAAAATGAATTTCTTACAGTTGTTCCATCCTTTTAGTGACGGACTGTAAGGACTTCTCTTGCGGTCACATGGTGGTGAAAGTAAAAGGTCATTTAAACCGAGTAGGTCTACCAGAGCGTCCCTTCCAGCGTCAGACAGTTGATCACCAATATTCTCTCCTTTAGCTTGCAACCAGTCGTTGAATGAGAAATCTTGACAAACAAAAGCAGACAGCAAATTACACAAGAAACGGTCGACAAATAACAGTATAAATGGTCAACAAAATGTCAAATAAAACGCTTCTTAGCATATCTTGTTACTAGCATTATCGTGAAAATGTTGATGTAGTTGTGGTAACATATAATACAAACACATACATGCACTTAGAATAGGGAAAATCCCTTATAATATACAGAGATAATACTACACATTATTCTATTTTTTTCATAAAATGATCAATGCAGTTAAAATAACATAAAATAATAACTGAAATATTTTTCTAAAACTTTGGTATTTACTTGTTATATTTGACCAAGCGGTTAAGCTGCATGCAGGTATCTTTTCCTTATCCAATAACACCAAGCCATCTTTTGGAATACAATGCGTTTCATCACCAATAGGTATACATATGTCGACACGAAGATCTATGATAAAGCCATCGTCGTAGTTGTCTATGGCATAGCTGTTATATAAATATATATGTATAGCTGTCAAAATGGGAGATATACAAAAAATCATCTCTGCAAAAACTATCTTCAATATTATGATTATTCAACTATAAATTATTTGATAATAAAAATTCAGTTCGATTCATATATTTTATTTTATACATCAATCATTTATTCACTTACATTATCTTTATCGGTGCTTCGTTTCCTGAACCTATTGGTATCATTGACTCTTTACCTGAAACACATTCAAGTAACAATTAAAACCAATTGTATTGCGTATTTGTTTTCGGGTTTGATCTTTCCTTTTTTCAAAGCTATAATTAAACCGTTGAAAAACGTTGACAATAAAAATAAGGCAGATATTTTTCTCAGAACTGACTTATCGGTACATAATCCATGCAAACCCAATTTAACCCAACCAGCAGATGCATTCAATGTCGATATCTATTCTGGTTGTAATGAAATTTATAATATAAATTTAAGCAAAATATATGCTCCTTCGCATCACAAAAAATTATGGTCGGTGATTATTTAAATCAACAATGTACTAAGTTAAATCGTTATCATCAGCATGATGATGTATTTCTAAGATGAAATACTATAGAAAGAATTCAGGACCTAGGACAAATACTGCTTTAGAAAGCGCAAATCGAATTCATGCATATCGGTTATGATTATTTTTATATGTATTTGATAACATTTTCTTTTGTATTTAACGTTCAGTCTTAAACAAACTGTCTTTGTAGTCTGATGCATATGGAATTTAAAACGTCATTCATATTGTATTTTGTGTTTATCAAGGGAAGGAAAGTATAATCTAGTTATGTTGAGAAATTAAGAAAATTATTTAGAAGTTAATTACCCCATTCGTATTTCAAAAGTTGTTCCTCAAATTGTAACGACCCTATTCCAGTGTCTAATCGAAAATCACATGGATCCATCTTAAACCACATCGGGAATGAAACGGTCATTTCAATCGATGAAAAAGGTATTGTGAAGCTTAGGCTAACACAACAAGATACACCAAAACAGTTGTCAGCCAGTTCACATTGCAAAATATTCCTCATAAATGACGGTATCATATTTGAAATGTCCATAGCAGGTGGACAGCCTGGAAAAAAGTAAACAAAAAGCTAAGATCAGTACTGTCCCGAAACAAATATCAAAGACCTGAAGACCATAATGGCTAATGCAGAGCTCCAGATATTTTTTCCAAGCAACTAGTTTTAAATTATATCATGGCGCAAAAAAATCCAAATCCGTACCAGCTTTTCATATTGGTTGTCCGATCTTTGAATATCTTTTCATATTACTCTTAATTAAATATAATCTACAAGTTTAAAATCAGTCAAATTTACTTTTTATTAAAAACAGAACCATTTTTAAATGTAATAGATTGTGTTCAAGTGGTTAAATATTCTTTAAGCAATACACTCGGATAATACAAAAAGATATTAAGAAGTAGGAGAACAATTTTGGAAAACCGTTACACGATCGAAAATATGCGTCGCACTCTGCGGTTCCGTTCCCGAGTTCCTATTGACTTAAGTTACTTTTCTGTAATCATAGTAATTTAAAGTCCACTTAGTTTTCCCTAGAATAGAAACGATGACATTTGCTATTAACACGGACTCATTTCCACGCACGATCTCCTATATAAAAAACATTTTAACAATGCCTTTCAGCTTTCAATGTCTCTCACTGTCCTGATAATGTTCACTCTCTCAGGTCTTTACTTTCTTTTTTCATCTTTCACTAACATATCCGACGTGCACTATTCTTGCCTTCAACACTCGCGAGAGGGGTTGGCAGTCCTCAGAGATATAAAAGTAAGCCATAATAAAACAACGACGGCAACAAAAATAACAACAACATACCCAATACCTGTTTGAAGCTTTATTAACTTTTGAGTACTCTTAATTCAAATTTCAATTTGTATTGCATTATACAGAGTATATTTCAAAAGCTTACAAACATGGATCCTTACCCATTCCATGATGCTCGGTCAAAATTTTGACACATTCCGCCCTAAAGCCAGGAGTGTTTCATTAATAGCACTCGTATAAAAATGATATTATGATAATTTTAATATCATTGAAATGAATGAAAATGCAATAGTGTTTCTTTTAATTTTTGATCATTTCATAATATATACTTACCAGATGGAGGTGGTGTTACTTTGCAATAACTTTCTTGTATAATACCATCGATTCCGAGTTGTTTAAGTAAAAGGTAAAAAACTTCTTTGTTAATTTGACCACCAAGAGCATCCTTTATACTCGATAAGCTTCCTATGGAAATAGATTTTCATAAGATATAAAAACTTATGATTGTTATTAATCGAGTAATAAATATATAAATTAAAATAATCAATTCACATTTATTTATAAGACTAACGAAATATTCTTAAAATACGAAGAAATTCTAAGGTAGATGTACATAAAAAACTGTTTAAATTCAATCTACATTGTATTTATATAAAGTTTAATTATGTAAACATTATTTCTATACCTTGTAATGAAAAGTCGTCGTTGCAGATTGGTATAGGTATTTCAAAACCTTTCAAAAATTTCTGGTCGATATTTGCAGCATCACATTTAATGCCAATATCAATTATAAATACTTTGTTGATATCATCTTTATCAATTCTAAATCTGAAAAGTTAAAATGAACAAATTTGCATCCGTGTAATTTAAGTACAATGTATATATCATACATTCTTATCAGAAAACAAACTGATGTCATTGGAATACATTTATGGGTAAAAGCTAGTTTTATAAAAGTAAACAACATAACTGTTAAATATTTGCGAAGGTATTGTTGAACATTCCAAATTAGTTAATATCAAAGATATCCAAGTCAATTGTTTCCTTTTATGACTTTAAAAACTACTTACTGGACATATACATCTTCGACCAGCTTTAGCATCTCTTCTTTCCCTAACAGGTACAGTAAATAAACATTCGTTATTTTCAGTGTTGGAAAAAAAAGAAAACACATTGCTAGATAGATAGAAAAGAGAAAATTATGTTTAACTTATTTAAATGAGTATATCTAAAAGAAATTCAAGCTGATTCAGTAAAAAGTACGTTTTAAAAGTAACTATTCATATTATTACAATCAAATATGAACTTATACCCCAATTGTACTCAAAAAGTATCAACGTGATATTGTATCTCTCAAATGCAGCTTTGATGACGTAACGGCATGGATCTAGCTCCACGTAAGCGGAGAATGTTCGGGTGTAATCGATTGCGGGAATTCGAATCTCTGCATATGCGTCAATACGCATGCAGTCGTCTGATATTGTGTAGTGTAAAAAGTCAAACGGAAGAGTAGGAAGACGGATTTGTTTTCCATTAAGACTGCAGCCTTAAAAGAAAGAAAATGCATTTCAAAATTATTTAATTATTATTATTATTATTATTATTATTATAATTTATAATTATTCTGTGGAATAAATGTAGTTTACGTAACTTAACAATAGGTGTCATTTAGAAATAATGTTTAAGTTAGATTAAATAAAGAGAAAATGCAAGAATCTGGTTCTATTTTTGTTTTAAAACTACAAATTGAATTAAAAACGTATTCAATTTTAATTATCTTATAATCTTTTATTTTATATCATACTAAGTTCAGAATTTTTGTATCTCTCTTGAAGATCTTGTAGTGACCCATAAGTAGGAAGATTTTTGTCCTTTAAATATTCAATTAACTCATTCATTTCTAATGTGCTCGCTGCTTGATATGGATCTCCGTCAAGTAGAAGTTCCTACAAAAGTATATGTTGAAAGTGATTTTACTTATCAATTTAATTTTGAATCGTAATAATAATAATAATAATAATAATAATAATAATAATAATAATGATAATAATAAAATAGCAGTGGTAAAGAAAACAAACTTCAGAATCTACAAGATTGTTTTTTTTTTAATTGCAAATGTTGAATTAAAATCCATTTTTTACATTTTTTTGTACAGAAGAAGTTAAGAAGGACGGACTATAGTCTACAAGGGAAGTACCCAACTTGACAATAACCTAATTCTTCTTAATTTGTAAGGGGAAAATCAGACCATTGCCTAACAAGAAGAGGTTCAAAAGTAATTAACAGATACACGTTTTGTTTTTCTTTTAACTGCAAATGTATCTGAGCAACGTTTTTAAAATCTATATGTCAAATCTGATGAAATATATGATATTTATCTAAAACATTTATATCTATTACAATGTTTTTTTATGTTGAATATCAGGTGTAACTAAATTCTACTAGTACATTTTAATCAAACAAATCTGATGTAATATGGTATATACTACAATTTATATAAAAGTGAGTTATTGGCATAGTTGCCTAGTTGTCTATTACCTCAGTGGGTATAACTCGAATTTCATGACATTAAATTGAGATTTCTGTAAATACAAAACGTTCAACTTTGCTTACATCTGGAATACCAAGTGCATCAAGAAATGCCTCAATAAGTTGATCTGCCGCAACCTCCGCCACCTTTTCACCACCTTCAACCAAGTTCCTTTTGGCGTCTTCGTATATTTCTGAAAAATCCGCTGCAGACGAAAGAATTATAACTGATTGTATTTCGTATTATACGTTTTAAGTGATTTCCACACTATTCTGTGATAGTCTGATATTAAAACTCTTACGACTTTTGTTTCATTGTTTACATATTCAATTTGGAACGAGAGGGCTCCAGAAATAAACTAGAACTGTGTCCAAATGACACGGATGCCCCCACCGACAACATATATATGGTATATAGTGAAAAAATTAACAAAGGGCCATAATTCTGTTAAATTTGGTCGCAGCAAAAATTATTTCCTTTACTACCATCTACACATTAAGGTTGTTCATCCCTGGTAGTTTAAGCAAAATCTGCCATCCGGTTTAAGAGGAGTTGCGTTCACAAAATTTCTACATAGTATATAGTGAAAAAATCAACAAAGGGCCATAATTCTGTTAAATTTGGTCGCAGCGAAAATTCCTTCTTTTACTGCCATCTACACATTAAGGTTGTTCATCTCTGTTAGTTTAAGCAAAATCTGCCATCTGGTTTAAGAGGAGTTGCTGTCTGTCAATCGCCGTACATTGCAGTCCTGCTCAAACTGTTGGCAAACTGCCTTTGATAGAAATTACCCCTTATAATTTTCATTATTAGCCGATATTAACAACAAATTTTGAAGACCTTTTATGAAACTTTCCAATATATGAAGCACGAGGCAGATTAATTCGTGCTCTTACGAGTACGTTACAAAAATACCGATAAGAACTACAAACAAAACAGTTTATGTCGTACTCAGTTTTTACAGATATGTACCTCTTTCATTGTTATTATTGTGAATGCGTTTTACCTCAAGGAAAAATATTTAAGTATGCAAGTTCAATCAAATCAAAATTTACTAAAATGTTTATAAATGACAACGCCTTGTCGATACAAAACACCTGAATCACAGCATTTGTTACATCTTTAGAAATAACAAAAGAAACATAAAATAAAAAAAAAGAACCGAAAGTAAGCTTACGAATAAAAATACATTTGACAAACATTTATGATAAACATCCGGTTCACTTGTTAGCGGTAACATAACTCTTCCACGAAAATTACTGATCATACTCGCCAAATTCGTTTTTTTATGTATTTTTTTCGCTATCTTTATGCGCATAGGTAAACGGAATCGTGAGCGTAATTGTAAATGGTGGTTTCGTTAATGTTTGACAAAATTTAAAAGTCATTAAAGCAGCGTAAAATAATCTGTAGGTGAATGCACGGTAATATAGAACTTTTAATGAGTAGGAGAAAGCATTCTGATCAGATTTTGAAATTTCAGATTGTACTTTTAAATTAATCAATGTAATTTATACGTGTATTCAGTTCTTCCCTGTAATTTCATAGGAAGTCCAACAGAAAACAGACGGCCTCCGGTCGAAAAATGCACAAGTAAATTGTAACTGATTACCAGAAAACTCTAAACAAAGCAACGAATAATAGTCTTAAGACTTCCGTGTTACAACGTTCAATTGTTTGTATGGTCACATTTTATATACTAGGAGCAAAATTCAATTAGTTAATGGTATATGTGCCAAACAAGTAAGGAAAATCTAGATGTTAACTTCATTATACGCACCCAAAGATGGTTAAATACAATGGTAATTATATTTACGCATGTGTCAATATTTCCTTCTGTATTCAAGGTACATTCTCCCCTTCATAGTAAACTATGTGCATAAAAATGCAAAATTAATAGAATCTTGGACGATGTCATTATCAAAAAATACGGTTTTCATTCTTTTGAGAGGTACTTTATCGGAACCGTGACCGAATACTGAAATAGGTATTTGTTGCCATCCTTAAAACGAAATCAAGTTCAACTTAGTTATAATAGATAAGTAAAATGAACACTCACGCGATTCAAACGTAATTGTTCCATCGGTGTTAAATTTCGGGAAACGAAATAGTGCTTCCTTCAGTAGATCTATATCAATTATACAGTCGTCTGTCTCATCTGGATCACAAAGTCCAATTGCTAATGACAACTTCAATCCTTTTACATTGGCGAAGATCTTATACCTTATAAATGAAAGGAAGGAGTTAAATGAGAAACGTGATGGAAACAAATGAAAAGCTATTTTTGTAACCATTGAAACGAAAATAGCGAATACAATATCTTTGATTGAGAACAAAATTCATAATATAATTAAAATACAAGAAAAATGCGTATAATTATGCGATTAATTCATTTCTCACTGCCAGAATGTTTGTACATCCACACTTTTTTCTAGTGTGTTATTCGTATGATATTTTGTTTTCCTTTATGGAATGCTAAAATAACATCCTACAGACACTAAAACGACAGATTTTATTTTTTTTATCGTGCAACTGCCATGGCAACGAAATTGTTCTGCGTTGGAAAAATAGCGTTAAAATCTCTCTTTTTTGTCTTGCTAAATCGAAATAATACAGACTCTATACCTTGAGTGTTTAATACCTAAGCATTGAAACTACAAACCGGCGTATAATAATCGATAAACTCCATTAAGACCGGTATCATGTTTTGATTAATTAAATGAACATTGTTAACAGAAAGGGTTTATGTCTAACCGTATTCAAAATTTTTCAATAATTGTTTACAAAGTAATTATTTATTGTCTTACCTAAAAATGATTTCAAAACCGTCCAAAAAGTCAAACTTAATCTTTGTATGCAAAACATCGTCTATTTCTGTCGATCAAATAAAAAGAAGTTAAACTCTTTTCGTGTTCATGAAATACAATATTGAAATTCAACGCTGAAGTCTTATATGGCGTCATCGGATCGAACTTGAGCTTTCGAATTTTGACTTTGTTATATCTTTCAATAGACAAAACTGCATCATTTTATATTTTTCTTGTCTCAAACAGTGTGCTTTGTCCTAAATATATCAAAGTTAAAATGATATCAAACATGAATTATATTCCTTATCTGAACAGGCATACATCAAGAGTAAAGAGTAAAATTATTGATTTTTTACAACCACAGCTTTGTTTTTTAGTCAGCATTTTATTTTCGTTTGTAAAAATTATGTTTGTGTAATTGGATCATCCTATCTAACTCTTATCACTAAAGACAAGTTGGTAAAGGTTTACCTCCCGCAAGATTGCTCGAGTTCAGAACATATTTCCATGAATCCAATCCAACAGAAAGCGCTAGTGGATCTGGATCTAGTCTTATATAAGCTCGGAATGTTTTCTGTAGGATATCAAAAGCTTCAAGTGTAAGACAACACTCCAAACCCAAACATTTCTCGTCCAGTGTGCAGTATAACGTTTTAGTTGTTGGAAGTGTGAATGATATAGAAGAACATTCTGAAAACGAAAATAAAATATTTTATTATATATTCATAAATGAAAAACATTGTATTTAGAAATATTGATAATAAATTGCGTATTTTCATTTTCCGTATTTTCACATTAAAACTTTATTTTTCACTGCAGTGAAACATATTTTTCGTATGTTCACTTGCCAGACTACTTCTTCTAAATTCTGAAAAAAAATAGGAAAACTCTTTCAAATTGTATATAATAAACAGAAAATTCAAGTTATATTTCTATAAATACAGGATATACTTTCATCTTGTGGTATGAAATTTATCATCATTCACTCGTGGCTATCGTCTCTCATGAAATATTTATTTTCATACCACTCAATGAAAATAAATCCTGTATTTAAAGAAAAAAACTGAATATCCTCTATATTTTATTGCCAGATAGTCTTGTAATGTTTTAAATTACAATTAACATAATCTATTACTGAATCAGATAAAAACGAACACTCTTTAATCTTAGTTGCTCGATAATAAACATAAGCTAACAAGTATAAATGCAGGTTCTATAATTTTTGTTGATGAAAATATTTGTGAAAAATAAGATAACGTGCATAATGCAATTTGTTTTCTTTGTAATTATCAAGAAGTTATGTTTTTCTAAATATTTGTACAAAGCAAAATACTTCAAGGTTCATAACATACTATGTTCAAATTTCAGCAGCTCTTTTATCATTTCATCTCTGTTGCCCTTTGCTTCTTTTCCTCTGTTCAGTAATTTAGTTTCTAAATCCTCATCTGACATATAGTATGGGCTACCACACGTTTCATGGTCGACCGCTCGCTTGATATTAAGTACAGAACATAAGGACACATTTACATTTGATACAAAATTTCTTGCAAATATTAAGCCTGAAAGGTACTGGACAAACTGTTCGATAAGTGACAAGGTATCATATGATAATATACAATGCTGTAAAGTAATTAAGGGTTGTAGACTGTTTCATCGCATTTACACATACAAGCGCTATTTTACTCTAACCATCAACATTCTTTTCTATTAAATACAAAGTATTTGATACATCTATTAAGTTTGTGATGAAAACGATCTAACCAAACTAAGATAAACATTCAATTTGGATTTCAAAATTGTTTTCTGAGTATCACAATTCAACTCTGCATTCACATAGTACATAAATTCAATTCCGTGTTATCTATTTTGATTGCTTTGTTGATATAGTGATGAATGATACATAATATCATAACAAATACAAAAAAGGGAGAAATTATAACACGAGTTCGAAAATAAAATTAAAATTCTAGATTGTTTCAAGAATACACGCACGCACGCACACATACATAATCACACACACGAACGGTTGCACGAACGCAAAAAGGATCTTAGAAGAAACAAAAACCTTGACTGTTTTAATAAGCTGTGCCATTTTCTGTGTTGAATCGTCCATTTCGAGATCATGTAAAAACTGTATAATGTGTCCCATTTTGATTCGACGGATAGAAAACTGTTTTAGAAAGCCCTTAATATTGTCTATAAACGTTTCTAATGATGCCTCTGAAAAATAAAATGTTCACTTGAACTAATATTTAAACTATCTTTTATAAATATTATTTGGTAGAAATGGAACATTTCGCTAGTAGTACAAGTTCAGACCGGTTTAATGGGGATTGTTCTACAATGGGTACTTTTTCTTAAGTATATATTGATAATAACAATAATAATAAATCATTTGGATATTTTGTAAATTATTTCTTTATAAAATGTTAATAGTGATTTATATGATGAATAATAACATTCTGTTTTTGAACAATTTATTATCTGTTGAATATAGATTGTATCAGATCAAATATCTTACACTAATCAAAACATAAATATATATAAAATTCGTTGTCCGTTGTTTTGTATGGTTCTTAATACCATCTGCATCCCGCATCATTATTAATGGTTTTTATGGTATAATGGGCCAAGTCATTGTATAAAACATTAAAAAATAAAAGTCAATTATCAACATTTGAATTTATTTATTAATATCAATAATTTATAAAGGATTAATTTAAAAGTAAGAATTGGTCGATTTGATAAGAATGAAATTTTCATAAAAGCATAATGATTACAAATTCGTTACAATTAAGTTGTAAATGAAAAACAATCTGATAAACCGTTTTGATTTAGTAAGATAACTGCTGGTAGCATTTTACAGATTAGTGTTAAATACAAGGTTATTAAAAAGGAAAACATGCAAGCAAATTGAGCTGGCTGTTATTGACAGATTGGTTGTTTAGTTTGACCGCGCATTCAGGTTTTCTTGTATATACGCTAACAATTAAAATTGGCCATATCTTAGTATACAAGACTTTACATTTTGTTTAAATATAACTATATGGACCAATAGTTTATTCACTTGTAAGCATTGTGTGTTTCAAATATATATCATGCACATTTGGGAAAGCTATAAGTGCAATCCAATAATATACATACAACATGAATAACTTACGTAGTGTTTTCAGAACATCTCGTTTACGTCGGCGTTTAAAAAGTTGGCTATACATCCCGCCAGGGTCGTCTGGAATATAAATTACAAATTGACACCTCTTCATATACAGCATATAATTTCAAAAAAAGGTGATAAAAAAATTGAACAAAAAAATGGGATCCTAATTTCAAGATGAAAACTAATTAAGTTTCATATTAAACAATAACTAAATCATGCACTGATATGTTTGTTTAATTAGAGTGATTTTGTTAAACGTCACACCTTTGTGTGATTGTTAGCACAAACAGGCACCTTAGTAGAGTCAGCGACGTTCCTTAACCTAGCTGAACAGTTTTCTAACATGAACGAATCCAAAGACGCTTTCGCAACTCGAACCTAAGCAGTGAGAGCAAGAGGTTTAGAGTCAACGACCTTAAGACGCCTGATTAGCCACACATGCTAAAAGACCACTCCCGTTTGTTTAATTAATTAGCCACACATTTGAAAAAACGTTATGTTCTTATACTCGCAAGATTTTTGAGTAATTTTCCTGTTTACTTTTAATATTATCAACATCCTGGCCCGGGATATCATTTCCATCCATCGGATCTGTAGCTAGTGATTCATCAACTGGAACATCTTGGGATGTATCATCTTCCTTTCGCCCACTTGGCCCAACTATATATCCATTCGCTACCGTTTCATCCTAAATGTATCATATTTCTATTTCTTAAACTGGTAGTCTTAACTGTCATATATCAACATGTTGTAATTTTGTTCATGTTGTTACTTTATTACGTTGAACAAGTTTTAAATCTTACGACGCTATTATTTACAGAAACTGACTTTATTAATCATGAGAAAATTAATATTTTCTTTCATGTTATAAAAATTTAAAAAAGGAAATCGCAACATACCAAGAAAATATGTATAGCAAATTGTGTGTTTCTATTAATACCTTAAAAACAACTTTATAGTCATCGCAGAGTTGTTCCCATTTGGGAGTCTCTACAAGTCTCTGGGGAATGTAATTGCTTGGATCAACAAATCCGCCTTCTCGTCGAATTGACAAATGAATATGATTGTCGCATGGAGATTCCGTTGTTGTCCCTATAGCAACTCCAGCAGCTACCTTTACAAAAAATAAAGAGATACATTATAAATAAAAAATACACGAACTGTTCTATCTATATACTTATCAGCTACTGAGTACTAATATAACTACATGTCATCTTCTACATGTAATCATGCATCAAATAAACAAAATTACCATAACATACACAACAAATGTTCCAATAAATCGTTCAAAAATAACTGTAACATCAGAAATGTAAAATTTCATAATCTAGACGTTGTGTTAGGATTGAAGAAAAAATGAAAAGATGTTGCTAAATTATTCTAAACCCCGAAAATAATAAATTTAGAACTAAAACAACACTGATTTCAAATATTTTCAATAAAATTGGGCAACAGTGCTCATAAAAATATACTACCATTTTGTCAATGTAAGTTGGGTCATCAGGGTGTAAAATATCCTCCTCGGGTTGTACATTTGTTATAACTAGTTCTGATCCTGGAGGCAGTTCACCACATTCTAGCATGATGATTTCATTTGGTTTGTTAGAGCGTATCACCTTACCAGAAAACGGTGCAACAACCTGTTTTATAAATTTGCAAAACTTAATTCATACATGAAGAGGAACTGTAATTTTGAACACAAGTTGTTTAACACCTTACTCATCCTTTTAATAATTAGAATATTTAGAATAATTTAGTAGTCCTAGCATATTTGAAACTTCATATGCATTTGCCGCCCACATCACACCTTCCCCTTCTTTATTTTGATAAATTCTAAATCACAGTTCTTTATTTTCTGTTTCATTCATTATTTAATAAATAAGAAAATATAAATCGGAACTCAATTTATCCTAGTATTTTATTCATGGCTAAAAAGATATATGACTGTTGAAACAAACTTCAAAGGCGCGATTACTTATTCATTTGCGTTTAAGTACTCTTTGTATTTTAAAAATTAATTAGAAATTAAAAACAAAAATAATTATAACGTTATAAAACAACATCAACTTGAACAAGCTGTTAAAACATTCAAAAAGGTAATATGCCTATTATTCAATTTTATCATATACATTACTTGATCGCCAGTGTTGTTTAAAAGATCTATTCCGTCGTTTTCGTATTCAGTATGCCCATTCCCGAGTACTGAAGGATAAAATCCTTCACCACTGCACCCGCCACCGCTTACACGTTTATTACGTGGGAAGTCTTTGTGAAATTTTGGTCCAAATATACGATCTACGAGCGATCTTGCAAATTCATACCTGAATTAAGAATATGTTCTCGCAACTACGTAAAAATGAAAGTTAAAAGCGTAAGATATTTTGATATAAAATTAAACGTCTATTCTTTGAATAATTATTGTTGTTGTTACTTTATTGATAAGTTTGTCATTAAAATTCGTGCAGGTTAAATTGTTACCTATGCTTTATATCAGATATTATTAATCTTTAAGCCAATTTCAAGTATAATGGAACATTCAAAGTAACGTAGTCTTTATCAAACTATTCATTATAGAACGTGTCACTTTGTTCACGTATCTGGTATTTCATACCCTTTCTTTAACGATTCATAAGCCTCTTTGAGATCCATGAAAATGTCAAAGAAAATTGTAAAGTTGCCCAGGTAACCTCCCCCTATATTTCTCATTGCGTCAAGTTGGTCCCTCAGAGTTTTTATTTCCTTTTGAACCTCTGTATGAATCATCTCTTTTATCTGATGCTGTGAATATAATATCATTAACATAGCATAGCATATTGAAAGGAACCTTTTTATCAAGCACAGTTATGAACATTCTAGAACGAACTTGGAAATCTGTCGAGAGAAAAAATAAAAATAAAATTGAATTAAAGCTGACTATTATACACATAATTCAGCTAAAACAAGACCACTGTCTTATGTTTAAAATATTTATTAAAGAAGAATTCCTACAGAACGTCAAAAAAGGTAACATTTGGATAACTCCTTACCATTGTTGTCTTTCCCTTCGTGACTTTTTTTGCGACATCATGCTCAACTGTTTCCCGGAGCCAATCTCCGCCTTTCTCTTTGATTGCAGTAGCAGCGTCCTTAAACAGTTCAACAAGATTCTCAACATCCTCTGTAAGGTCACTCCAATATGGTCCAATCCCTTTAATATTTCATACAGATATCGTAAAGTATTTTAGTATCAACAACTATATCAATCACGTTTGTTTTTTTCCCCTTAGTGTAAGTTCTAGAAAAAGAACCTTTTTAGTATTAAGTTACAAGGCAGGCCAAGAGGGCGTGTTATCAAATTTAAGGCAAGCAACAATAACAAGATAATTTAAATTTTCTTCCTGTCAAGAGGAAAAATAAAATATAGACTAATTTTAGAGATAGCTTATCTTCATATAATTTCAAAATTCATGCTTAAAATCCTAAGAATAATTCTCTTCAAGGTGTAATAATAAAGAATAAATTTTGATTTAAAGTTACCTTCAGTAATGAATGTATGGCCCATGATTTCGTTCTTTGTGTCATTCAGTAAGATAATATTTGTATAAATACTGGAAGAATAAAACAAATTCAGATTGTTACTTTAATTTGCATCGTCTTGCACCACCATACGGTTCAGTCAATGCGTGCATTACTAGATTACTAGGTAATATAAGTAATTCAGTAAACACTTATCATTTTACAAGGTAATTAGCACTACAGTCAGAACAATAAATATTTTTCTATAAATGAAGAAGCAATTTTAAGGCTTATACTATTTCATTTTAATTGGTAAATTACATACGACTACGACAGAAAACGACGCTAATCATTTTCTAAAATCAAACGACGGAACTATTTGCACATGAGCACAAATTCTCAAAAAAATGTTTATAATTCACAAAAAAAAATTCAGGCATTGCTACCTTTTTCTGTGCAAACCGCTGCAGGCTCTTGTAACTTCACGGTCATCACAATTAAACTCCTTTAAAGAATCGACGAGGTTTTCTAAATGTTGGAGTTTATGGACACGCTTGGCGACATATGCGTTTAGCGATTTGTTTTCGAGTATACAAAGATGATATGAAAATATGTACGTATTGATAATCGAATCCGCTTTTTCAGCTATCTATATAATCACACATATTGGTTCGGATTCCACGACTAGCGAAAATAATTATTCTTTATTCTTTTTAAGTAATATACATGGATAACAACATTAACATAAAAAGTGTAAAATATTTAATATTGATTTAAACTTTCGTCTCGTCGAAAATCTTTTAAATTAATTGAACTACTATCAAAGGGTATTTGTGATGTACCTAATTACACCTGATCCTATCTTTAACAAAGCTGTTTTGGGATCTCTAAATATACTCATGAAGCCAACTAGTATGTCTTGTACCGCTTTGAACACATCTTGAGCTGCTTTGGGAATTAAAACTTGAACGGCCTGGACAATGGCCTACAAATAAAACAATATTTGCTTGTAACATTTCATATTTCTATTCTAAGAGTATTCATAGTGTATGTCTGTTATTAAGTATTACATTTAAATGAAACATATCTCATCAGATGTTATTTGTTGTGAATCAAATTCTATTTTGTTTATTGATTTTGACTCTGTAAAAACGATCACTTTTTTAAGAAAAAAAAGAAAACAAAAACAAGCAAATAATCAAACAAACAAAATATTAAACTATAACTGCCGTTCATGGCTTTATAATACAAAATGCACTTAAGATCTCATTTAAGTGACATTATTCTCATATTTTTTGCTTTCAAGTGAATTAAGAATACAGTTCATAAGATTGACTATTATAATGGTGATTAACCAATAATTGATAATGAAAATTTTCATGATACAATATAAAAACGACCTGGATTATAAAAAGACTACTCCACTCCTTTAATATCTGAACTGATGCCTTTTAAATATTTTTAGAAATTTCTTTTGATCACGTTGAGTTTTGATAATTTTTTCATGGTAAATGTTTATACATTTAAAATTAAACACAATTATGACAAAATAATTAATTCCTTAAGATGTTTACCTGTTTACTGATCTACACTTGGATGTGTATAATGTCACCTAATAAACTAAAAGTCAGTTATGACCTACATTTTTGAAATCAACTCAATATAGATACATTTGTATTTAGCAATGTTTTGTCTGTTAAAAATGTCATCTTATGTGAATATTGCCTACATTATCACTTTTACTGCCTTATATCAAGTTAATTATTTTCAAAACAAGGAATACGAATTCATGCCAAAACATTACTTAATTTCTAATGATATCATTAAATAAAGAAGTATTGTTGGATAAAAAACGAGCTTCTGTTTGATTAAACAGCTTTGTTATAAGATAATTATAATTAAAATTAATGACCTTTACAACACTAAGTGCATAGATTTAAAATGTATTTTTCTATCGAAAGTTTTATCTAAACCTACATTATAAAGCTTCATTACATCCCCTTTGACCTTTTCATACAGATCAACAACTGCATTGACGAATTTCATTACAGGCTTTACAAATGATGGAAGACTATCTAACTTGAAGGTCGCAAGTTTTTTCGACACCCTGTATATACCGCTTGCCAGTTGTGTGATCTACAATTGATTTGAAAAATATCCAATGAAACTACGTGTTGAAAATCTCATTTTGAACTCAAAACACATATCATTTCCATTTGTAAAAAACATATTTATTATAAAATGCATAAACATGTTGTTTTTAGAACGGCAGCATAAATAAATTTAAATCATTATATTTTTGAAAGAATTGCAAGTATTTTTTAAGTCTAAACATTATCTCAAAGAAATGCAGCAAATACCAGTACGTTTCCTGTCGATTATGTATACATTATCATTGTTATCTGTACGAAAACATATCCGAAATTATTGTTAAATAGCTCAGCTCAAATAATTATCTACACGTTAACAAGTACTCGTATTTGACAAGGTTGCTCAATGAATAAGACTGTGGTCTTGTACTTATGGATGTAGGAATGAGACAACCATGAACATTCAATTTGTTTATTATTTTCTCTCTCTTCTTTTGATAAATTTAAACTTCAATGATTCATAACAACCGTGGACCATCGTGCACCGTTTTGAAATTGCAAAACGTCCACATAATCAAAACGTACAATTTCTGCTGTTAAATTCTAGTCTACAGGTGTAAATAAAATTATATTCATTGCATGCTTCAATGATAACATTTTAGTTTTTGGGTGTTTTGGAATGCAGTATAAGGTCAAGAAACGGAACCAAAGTCTCCAGGACGAAAACTGTCTTCTGTGCTATACATCTCAATATTATGCACGAAATACTTCTACAGACTTAATTGTCTATCTTTGCAGTACATGTTATGGATACTGAAAAATTCCTATCGAAGATTTTATATTCTGTTCACTAAACATGCAATCTGCCGGTCAATAAAATCGGTAAACAATATTTTTTTAAAATCAAAACCTTTTCTGGAATTTCTGTCACCGATTTAACAAAATCAACAACAATGTCATTAAATGACAAGTCTGATGAAAAGATTTTCTTGAACGCCTCTACTCCGTTTTTAATAGCACCAACAACTTTGTCAACAATGCTCGTAAACTGTTTGATAAGGTCAAAGCCATGTTTAGGGTCAAGCTCCTGTAATGACAAATGTGCAAATTGCTTTTATGAATAAAACAAGCAATTATCATAGTATTGCAAGCAATCCATAAGTCCCCTACCGGTAAGAGCCCAAGCAACATTTCGAAGGGCCATTGGCCATTCACTTATGTTCCTATTTAAATAAATTTGTTGAAAAAGTTCTCTAAAAGTGATCACAGGAAACAGTTTTTATGTACAGACAGACAGACGGACTGAAGGACACTCTAAAGTTATTTTTTAAACATCCCTGTTATCAAAATATAACATTTTTAAAATCCTATCATGATTAAAGAAGTTGGAGTAAAAATTACCAATTTTTCAAAAAAAAGTCTAAGTTCAAAAGGGTCATAATTCTGGATATAATCTTGCTAGAGTATTGAATATTCTAAATTGTTGAGTGAAAATAAGAAACATTTATATGAAGTTTGAAGTACATACATTCAGAAAAAGAAGTTATTAAAAAAAAACAATGTTTTCTTCATGAAAATTTAATGTTCAAGGGAGGTAATTCTGATAAATTTTGTGCTAGAGTTGTAAACTTTGTCACATATGATATGGTTGATGACAAGCAACTTATATTTAAAGTTTGAAGAAAATACCTTAAGAAATAAAGTACTTATAGTGAAAAAACTTAAAAACTAGAATCAGAAATCTTGAAATTCAGTCTATTTGTTGCCATAGCAACCAGAATTTTTAACATAGGAAGATAAGAAAAGGATGTGCATAATTTCCATACTGCCATCTACCCATATGTCAAGTTTCATAAAAATATTTTCAGTACTTTTTGCATTATCGCGGGATCCATGTTATGTGTAAAATTTGCCATATTTTCAGTCTATTTGTTGCCATAGCATCCAGAATTTTCAACATAGGAAGAAAAGAAAAAAACGTGCATAATCTCCATACTGCCATCTATCCATATATCAAGTTTCATTAAAATATTTAAAGTACTTTTTGCGTTATCGCAGGATCCAGTTTTGTGGACGGACGGACTGACGGACGGACAGACGGACAGACGGACGGACGGACTGACGGACGGACGGACAGACGGACGGAGGGTAAACCTAAAGTCCCCTCCGGTAAACCGGTAGGGGACTAACAAGACACGTTTGAAAAAATATGTATACAGCTATTGGCAGCAAATAAATCGTGTGGCCATGAAATTATGACTTACTTTTGACATTGTGACCAAAAGTCAATATGGGTTATTTTCTGGTCATAAATAGTCACTATGTCATTGTGACCGTAAAGGTTGTGTGCAGCAGTTTTATGACAAATTATCACAAATCTTACCAAATAATATATGCATGCATTTTTTTAATCATAAAGGACTCCTTTATGGCATCCAAAGTGTTATATTACATAAGACCTTGACATATGTATACCAAAGCATTTTTAGTTTCATAAAATATATCAACTTATTGAGGTATTTGTCGGTACAGTTTTTATGTACAAGGTAAATGTTACTTTGACCCTTAAATCGATACGGGTTATTTACTGGCCACGACCAATGTATCCATGAAGTTTGAAGGAAAAGAGCCCATGAGTTGCTGAGATATTTTACTTACTCTTTGCCTCTGACCAATTGACCTTAAAAATCCATAGAGATCAGACGAAAGTAACGCATGTGTGAGGTTTGAAGGTCTGGGACTCATGATTTGTTAAGTTATTGATTGGAAACCGTTTTTACCTACAAGGTCAATATTACCTTGACCCTTGATTCCTTGACATCAAAACCAATAGACACATCTTCTTTGCAATGTACCTACGAAGTTTGAGGGCCAACCACCTATGGATTTTCAATTAATTTGTCGGTTACCGTTTTCTTCCCAAAAAGGTCAATGTGACCTTGACCTTTGACCCATTGGCCCTTAAATCAAAAGGGGTCATTTACTGGCCAAGACCAATGTACCTGTGCAGTATGGTGGCGAGGGGCCTATCGGTTGCCAAGTTTTTGATCGGAAACCGTTTTTACATACAAGCTCAATATCACCTTAACCTTAGTTCTAAAATTATGAAAAGAAGTCACTGAAATTCCATCTTTTTATTTCATAAAATTGCTGCAGAAAAATCGTTGAACGCTCTAAACATATTAAACACCAGTTAATTAGGTAGAGTTTAAGAACGAAATACTTTTACACATATTGCACTTATATTTCTAAGTAAAAGATCATTCGTAACAAAAATTTTAATCGCAGATCTTACCTTTAAAATGTTCAGAACGTACTTTGCACCGCCTTTGAAACAAATTCGTGCAAGGAAAAAATCCATATTTTTATCAATGTAACCAAGATGTATTCTTACGTAAGCTTCATCATGAACCCTTACATCTATACTTCCTTTTATCAGTGCTGCAAATAACAATTCACATGTTAAAAATTAGAAAATTTATTTATGCACCGTCCTTACGCAAATCAATTGTTTCGGCCAAAAAGCGATATTCCTGGCAGATTGTAAATACATAAATACAAGTATGTGTGTATATGAATCACTGTATTAAGCGGTATTGTTTTATAGCAAATCTTTTCTTTATCAACCATATCTCAAATTTTTATATGTAGATCAACAATAAGTATAATTATGTTGTGTATTGTTTTATATCATATTTTTAGTCATGCTGCACATGATATCATCTGATAGGCATAGTAAGAAGTTGCAGATATATACATACATATGTGCAGATCTAAAAGATTTTCCATCGTGACACCAAAGGAAGCGCCAATAGATTCTGACCCAAGCATTTTGCGCCAGTCTACACCAGGTGCTGCAAGTTGGAAATCAAAATTGAAATCTAGTAGTGATCTTTTAGAAATGCCCGTGTGCGCAAGTCCGGTTCCATCTCCAGTGCTGTTTACAAAATAAGTAAGATGAACAGTATAGTCTTAATGGGTTGATTATTTTTAACTATATTGTGTCATATTCTGGTTATCTAACCAGTAATTACCAATTAACCGGGAATAGACTACTTATTCAACATAATTTCTAAACCAGCAGTGAGAAACAAATGACAATAAACTCAAGATGAACCCACGACCCCTGGATAACAATTGCTCCAATTTTAGTTAGGTCATTTTGCTGACTACTGTAAAAAATGTAATAGAAAGGTACTTAAAATTTCAGTTACTTGAACAAAATTTAACGAGCATTTCTTAATTAAAGTGAAGATAGGCGGAGTTTATGAAGAGTATACATGTTTATATTTTGCGTGTCAAACGATACGTATCTAACTCAAAGGCGTTTGCTCACTTGCCTACTCATGCTAATTATGAGCAACACAATTGTAAGACAAATACTTCGGTGCTTTCTTTTTATTATAAAATAATTTTTTATTACGATTCTACATTCTTTGGTGTGTAGATTAACGTTTTACGTACGTGTCTATTTTAGCTAATGGATGTGCTCTGTATTGCAGAAGTGCTTCATAGCGAACAGTTTCATCATCATCGTATAAAGCAACCTTTTCAAGCTCTTGTAATGTCTATTCCAAAACAAATATAAATATTGTGTTGTAAACTTTAGTTTTTAAAATTTTAATTGTAAACAGCAAATTTAAAAAGGTACCTAGCTAAAATTACCACGGCTTACCAAAGAATTTAAGGCCAAAGTAGTTAAAGATAAACTGTTAAGAATGCAGTAAATATTAAACTATTTTAGTTCACTATGTCCCTTCCTGTGTTTAACATTCAATCATTATGAAAGATTTTCAAATTTTTGCTCAAATTACTAAAGTGATCAATAATGGCAGTTTCTAAATAAGGGGAATATAGCTCCGCCTACTGGGGTGGTAGTTTCCTATAAATCTTGACATTATTCATCATCATCTTCTTTTAGATTAAAATTTAATAGTCCACAACGACCAGTAGATATTCTAGCACCTTGTGACTCTCAAAATATATATGTCAGGCTATTCTAATTGTTAGTAAAATGTAATTGTCCATTTGGGTATTTGCAAGTTTCGGCAAATAGTCACACGATTTCATCGTCGTTCTAAATTTCAACGGCTTCCTTTATCCTATTATGGGCGTAAAGTAAGTTACATGAACGGATTGACAAAAGAATATAGTGCACCATAAGCTGGTTATAGTTCACACATTATAATTATATACAAACTAAGTTAAGCGGTCGATGACGCTCCCTAATATATTAACTGTATACTATACAAAGTGAGAAATACTGATATATTAAGGCTTATACAATTGTTAAGAAAATGATATTACTTTGATATCATGGAATGTTCTGAGTGCATGTACTCCTGTACGTTTGATCCATTGTGAGTTTGTTGAATTGATATGAGATACAATATGGTCATACGACACGGGTAGTCCAGCATTGCCGATGGCGTCAAGAAGAACAACTTTGTTATGGTCGTACTCTACACATTCTATCTCTGACATCGCTGATCTCTTCATCTTGAACAACCATGGATCTGTAAAAATAAAATAGAACACACTACCAAAATTAGAATAAATCTTAGATAAAACACTTTTTATACACAGTTTATCTGTAGGTAACGTTGTATCTCTCGGTGTCTTATTGAGACTGTGTACATATTAATTGATGAACAAACTGTTTTGTTTTCTCAGCTGTTTAAAAGCCAAGCAAAGCAAAGGACAACATACAAATCTAGATATGCCAGAAGTGTGTATCAGGCAATCCGCTTTTCTGTATTTATTTTACAGAGATTTTAAAATATATTGAAACTTGAGTTTGTATCTTCATGTTTCTCAATAATTGCAAATGTTTAAAATGAATGAAGTTTTTTTTTTAACAAAAAAAAATCGTATTTGCTTTAACAAGTTTTATCTACACCCAAACCAATGCACATGATCATCACTATCCTGATGTTGACATTGAATTTAGAAGCACTCAAGCTGAATTTAATTCAATTCATTGCAAAAGACACATTGTTCGTATTCACGGTATCAAGGATTTACGCATCATTGTTCCATCTACCGTCGATACCTTATCACACTGCGAGCAGCACCTTATTATTCTTACACAATCTTTGGAAATGGACGAAATTTAAGTTAACATTTTATGTATGTTTTGCAGTTTAACTTCTCGATAGACGAGAAATTGCATAGTTATGTACTGATATCAATCAACAAACTTGCTTATACGTATTCAACGCACAAGCAAGCCACAGCTCAAATTTCTAGAAAAGTATTTCTCTTTTACATTTTAATGTTAGTTATTTTACAAATTCACAGGATACGTAACTTACTCGTGTTACTGAAATAAAACAATCTGTTAAACTAAACACAAATTATGCGTCAGAAATCCATATCCATATTTTTAATTCTTTAAAAATGTTTAACATGTGTTTCATAATGTTTAAATAATTGATAAAGTGCATGTTAGATGTTTTACAATTGAAAAAAAAGCGCTGAACATAAAGTGATGCGTCGTTAAGGTTGCAAAATGTAAAAAGTAGTATTTTGACTTCAATACAAAATGCATATTCTCTATAATTAAAACCAATTGCCAACAGAAGTAAAGATGCAAAAGATAGTTCCAGTATCTATCAAATGAGTTTTTGTTCTGAAACTGTAACATAATAGCAAAAATAAACAAACACAAGAGATAAAAATGATAACATTTCTGAGGCATAATGGCCCTTTAAGAAAGGCGGCAACTTTTTGCTTGAATAATCCATCCTGTATTAATTTCTGTGACGGCATGCTCGAACTCTTTTTATTGAACTTACACTACAATGTATAAATCATTTTTGAAACTATTGATGCTTCATGGCAAAATTTATGATGCTGGTTTTACCTTTAAATATTTTCCATAATACATGCTGCTGCACTGTGTTTAAGATTTTAAGTCACTATAGTGTCAGTCTTAGGACACGAGTTGGATCCCTCTTCAAAGGTATTTACTCACATTCTTTCGAACGAGACAGTGGTCCCGTGTATTTACGCCGGACCAAAGAATCAGATTTACTTCTAGAACTGAGGCATATTTCGTATTTGCATTTTCTTGCGTGTTTCAAATGATAAATATATTTTTACGGGTCTTACCCAGTTGGGCAACGATAGACAAATGCAAATAAGTTAATGCAGCGATAGTGCGGTATACGTCTGGCGCTTATGTGTACGGTACCACAATTTTAGGCACGGATACAGTTTGAAGAACACTGTCAGTTTTCATGCTTTTATGTCTTTTCTAAGGAATAAAACAGCTTAAATGTGTGCAATATTCTTTGCAAACATATCTTTGATGCTCACAATAATATTAAATAAATATTTCGATTGATAACAGAAAATAAATTTTCATTTAAAAGCTTTCCAAATGATCATTGCCTCAAAGTCTGCTCTAGATGTTTTCATTGAAACAAAGAAATTGTACAAGTTCTTGATAAAAACTTGGTAAAATCATTACCGCCAATAACTATAATATTCCGTAGATACACTTTTATTAACACACTTACTTCAAAGGTGTGGCTTTCAGGTCGTTTTCCATCGTACTGCTCTTTTTCAATGCTTATTTTGTCTAAAATGATACTGTAATGCGCTCAGAATAATAAAATATCGATGATCCATGGAAAAATGATGCGTAAACCATAGACACCGTGGTATTGTTTTTTGGGTTTTATTTAATTGCTTTTTTTTGTTTTATTTTTCTCATAAATTCTAGCACATTACAATCACCTCTTGGTTCTGACAGTCGTGATTGTGGCCTTAGAAATAATTGCTTCAAGCGCATTCTTAAAGCTTATCATTAACTGAGTTATTACCAGAGGTTAGAAAATGTCCCTTTCTTCAGAATTAATTGACAAAACGCTCAATAAACACAAATTAACATTGCATTTTCATTTCTATCTCATAACAAGTGATAGGTTGATATTGAAAATGATAATAGCTTGTATGCAAGTAAAAGAATATATGTTAAATTTGATAATGAAAAAAAAAACATTATACAAATTAATTGCCAACTTTTTTGTGGTAATATTAATTAAAGTATTACACTATTGATTTTTTGATGACAAAATGTATCATCGTGCACTTTGGCTCATTTTTATATATACTTGCGCGTTGTAACAACAACAACAAAGTAAAAATTAGATCAAACAAGCATGCAATGTATATTGAACATACCATGTAATCCTAATTCGTCATGGAGATATTGTACAAGTTTTTCTGCGTGCTCTGCACTACCGTACTGTTTCAAACTTCCGGCCAAACCACCAAATGTTAAACAAGACACATGGCGTATGTTTTTTGAAAGACGTATACGTTCAGACCGTTTACCTCTAAAGCAAAATTTCTCAACAGTTGTCAGTAACTCCTACAAACAATCATATGTACATTTACTGATATAAAAGGCAAACAAGAAATGTTAAGACTGGTAACTGATTTTTTAATTGCGTAAATATCCTTGTATTTAGATAAAGAAATACACAAGATTCTTATAAGTAATTTTAAACAAATGTAACAACATAAAAGAAAAAGGTTAACTGAACTATAATATTGATCAATTGATGTAAAACAGATTCAAATTCCTAGCACTTATTCCTTGTCTTTTGAGAATTTTATAAATCTACGAGTACTTTTGCACTGACAGTACAAATAACTTTGCTTTTACTTCTAAAAAAATAAGAAAAGAACATGAGTTCTTTACCATAGATGGTTCATGGTCTAAGGCTGTTAGCGTGGTCAGTACTCTCAACAAGAGTTGCTCGTCTGTTTGCAGATTGTTGAGAATTTTGTTCACGATCACATCCTGTTTGTTCAGGGCTATAAAAGCTTCAGCCATTGTATTTCTGTCGTTCTTATTCTTAGGTGTTCTTCAATATAGATATAATAAACCTAACGAATTAATTTAGAAATACACTGGGGTTTGTCTAGATTATGGGAAGTTTTGAACAAAAGTGAGGTTGGAGTGAAATTAATTGCCTCTTTACATATATTCCGTTCCAGTTACTTTGCTTATATTGTTTGTGCAGGTTAATTACAAATGTACGAACAGACCAGAACACGGGAGAGGAACTGTTACACGAAGGATGTTCTTATGATAACTTGTCAGGAGTTCTTATGATAACTGTCACGGAGTTCCTGGAAAACGTTAAGGATTTTTTCGGAAAACTTTATTGTATACTAGAGAAACACACGAGACACGAGAACAATGAAAATTTTTAACTTTAAATGAGAATTTGAGGTGATGATTAAGCTTGTCTTACATGATATGATATGTGTCAGAAAAAGCTTTTTAGTCCATTTTTATCGCCTCTTGTTTAAAATTTGCAACTTTTCCGTTATATTTAGGTAATTAAGTATACCAACGAAGATGATCACAAATGGACAGGTCAATGTGTACGAATGAGCAAAATATTTGGAATTTTAACTCAAAACTACCAGATGTTGAAAAAGAGAGAGTAAAAATCTATTTCTTACACATAATATGTTAGGCAAGCTTCACCATCAAAGTTTAAATAAGCAGTACAAACTCAATTCTTAAAGATGAAAATTAACATTTTTCTTGAGTTTTTATTCGGTATATGAAAAAGTTTTCCGACGGAATCCGTAACGTTTTCCAGACAAGTTATCAAAAGAACTTCATCCTTCGTGTAACAATTCCTCCCCCGCGCAGATTATGTCAGGCTCTTTAGACCTTTAAGCATGAACATTAAGTTGATTTGTATATTAGCGTACAGGATGTTGATGTTTTTCTTTGCAAAAGTCTATACTCTCATAATTCATTTAATTTGTCGTTCAATATGTAGCATAGTAACTTACACTGTCAGAAAGTATGTGTTTGCGATCTGCTCTACATCCGATCCTACCATTTGATCGAGAGTTGTTGTAAGCATGTGAAAACATTTGCTTAGTTGAGGCGAGCCTTTAAACAAGTAGAAATGCAAACGTGTCCTTAATTTGTTTTGTAAACTAAATATTCAGTTTACTAAACTTATCAATACAATATATATATATAGTATATTTCATGTCTATCAAGCTATATAAGAAATACGTTATGGTCATATGACATTGGAAACAAACGGAGCCATTAAATAAATGTATATTTAAAACGTTAACAGCTGTGTATGATGGACAACATGTCACGCTAAAATTAAAGAACATTGACATTTTTTCACTTCGAGTATTGTTATTAAACTGTTTTGAGTATTTTTCCAGACGAACCGCACTTTCAATGCGCATTTGCAAGAGCTAGAGTCCCTTTTGCATTTTTTAAAATCAGCGTGTTAATGTAGCAGTATCGACCATTCTGTGGGATAAGGTTTATATTATCAAGAAAATCATTAATTCTTAACTGCTAGATGTAAATGCGAGTATTTGTACAGTCTCTACCCTCGCTTTTAGACTAATGGATTTTGATCTACCTTGCCAACTACTGCTACTTTTTAGCTAATCGTTTTGCATTTTCTTATCACATCTGCCTGCAATCTTTTGAAACATGCCTTGTTTTGTTGCAAATATAGCACACTTTTGGTGCTTTGTTTCTGCTTTTCTTATTACATTCTTCTGCTAGATGTCCTGCTTGATTACTTAAAAACAGGTCTTTCTCACCACATCTCTGTTCATTTTCATTTCCCTTTTGCCTGAAGTCTTTGATTTGAAACGTTTGTCTAACTGACCATGCTTCACCAATAAATAACCTTTCTTTCAAATGCAGAGGGCGTCCCCATTAGGTGTTTCAATGAACAACTTTGCAGGCAGGTACGCTATGTTATTGTTATCGCCAGTCTTTCTTTAAAGTACAGCCAAATTAATGGAGCGACTCTAAATTATTCTGAAATTATAAGCTCATTTATTTCTTCTGCTATAGCATAGCCAAGTCGATGCATCTGTGAAAAATGGCGTCGTTAACTCTCAACAAACTAGAAAACCGATTCACTAGGAAGCGGTCGGCTTTGTAGGAAATTTAATTTGAAATCGTCTTATTCAACTGATAGACAAAAGACAATAGGCAAACATTTAAATACTTTGGGTCATCTCCCTGATAGTAATCTGTTCAAAATTGTTAGTCCTTATTTTCTCACGCCTACAAGTTCCTTCTTCACTGCAGCTGACTAACACTCTTATTCTTTCTCCTTAAGGAACGTCAACAAATCGCCGAAAACAAGCCTTTTTCATATTCTTAACCATTCAACGTTATACATCTTACTCAGATAATAAAAAGAATCGGCTGAAGCATGTGATGCTCCACGAATAGGTTTTTGACACAGACAAGTATATACATCTTGTAGTATCAGAATTATGTCCCGGACAAAGTTCAATGTGCAATAATTTCAAAATTAGACAAGACAGAGTTTCAGTCTTTGCGCTGCACTTCTAGTCAATAAGATCTATCTACCGACTAAGTTTCTTATTGATACCTCTTGTAGTTTCACAGAAATGTCCCAGACAATGTTCACAGTGTAAAATTGAAAGGCAATAACTCCAAAATTTGGCAAGGCAGAGTTAATTTTTTTGCACTGCACAGCTAAGCAACGAGATCTATCAACGTACAAAGTTTCACGTTGATATCTCTTATGGTATCAGAGTTATGTCCGGGACAAATTTCAAATTGAAAAAATGATCAAAGGGTAATAACTCCAAAATTAGGCAAAGCAAAGTCACAGTTTTTTGACACTGCTTATCTACTCAAAGAGATATATCTATCTACAAAGTGTCTTGTTTATATCTCTAATATTGTCAGAGTTATGTCCCATGGCATTACCTCCAAAATAAGGCAAGGCAGAGGTATGTTTTTTGCACTGCACATTTACCCAATAAGATCTATCTAGCTACAACGTGTTTTGTTCATATCTCTTATACGTTTAGAGCAATGCCCTGGACAATGTTTAAAGAAGTATAAAAATTAGCAAAAGGATATTACTCTAAAATTAGGCAAGGCATGGTTCTTTTGCACTACAAATCTACCCAATGAGATCTATCTACCTACAAAGTGTCTTGTTCATAGTTTTAGAGTTATGTCCCGGACAAGAAAAGCGGACGGACGGACAGGCCGACGGATAAAAAAGCGGCGACTAAGTGGACGCGTATTATTTTTATAAATAGTGATCCCCAACGAACTCAAAATTAGCATGTTTTAATTTCTTCATTTCATTAATATTCTGAGCGGTAATTGTGACCATCTAGTGAATGATCATTATTGAAAATTTTCCCAGCCTTCTTCAGTTTCAGACTTGCTTTATATATGGTTCACTACCTTGACTTTCTGCAATATTTGACTTGCTGCGAAACCTGAATTTACCGCACAGCTTGGACTTTTTTCACAACCTGGTCTTGCTTCACAACCTGGACTTGCTACAAAGCTTTGACTTGCTGCAAAACCATGCTTCGCTACATATCCTAGACTTGATGACCTACCAGGGCTTGCTTCAGTATTTGACTTGCTCCATTCTTAGACTTGACGCACTTCTTAGACTTGCTACTCTCTATCTTATGAAAACTTCTTCGTGGTTCTTTTCTTGGAAGCGGACTTCTCTGGGAATTGATTCCTTCTTAGAAAGAGGAATTCTCTAAGGCTTGCTTCTTTCCTTGGAAGCGATCTTTCTCTCCTTGGATGCGCCCCGGTTTAAAGTTGCCGCTTTCTTGGTCAATGGACATCTCTAAGACTGATTTCTTTTCTTAGAAGCGGCCTATTCTTAGACTTTCTTTTTTCCTTGGAAGCGACCCTTCTAAGACTTGCCGATTAAATAGGTAACAGACATCTCTAATACTGGCTTCTTTTCTTGGATGCGGTCTATTCTAAGACTTGCTTTTTTTTGTGAAGTGGACCTCTCTTAGAGTTGCAGCTTTCTTGGAAAGCTGACCCTGGCTAAGGCTCAATTGTTTGTTAGGAAAAGGGTATTTTTAACTTGCTGCGTTACTTGTTTCGCAATATAAGCTACTTGCTCTTAACACAGACTTGCTGAAAATCCAGCTTTTTTTCCCTTTCATAAACATTTGTTACATTTCATATAAATACGAAACGCGCACATTGGATAGAACGCCACAATTATGACGACTTGCAGAAATAAGAAATAAACCAAGATCTCGGACATTTGTGTTTCTATTTCCAAATATGTAAACAATCAGAAACGATTTTAGATTTTTAATGAGTAACCATTTATATTTTTAACAGAATCCAGGGGACTCAAGGAAATTGTAATTTGTAACAAAAAGATGGAATATATCAGAACAACCCTTACAAATGAAGAAGCCATGCTTTAAACCACCGGGCCAAAATTATTATTTCCTTTTGATAAAATGGCAAGTGTTAGTTCAATATTTTTATTATATAAAATAGTAAAGTTGAAATCTTCTTTGGTGGCTCGGTTTAAACGACCCTGATTATTGAGTAATAAGAGCAATCTCTTATCTAATTTTAGGACAACTTGTCATTTCATTTAACTCACGTGCTAAGAACAACCTATGATCAAAATGACTGCTGCATAATTTTAAGTAAATAGTCCCTGACCTCTTTCTGGTTGATGCCGTATGCACGTGAGATTTCCAGCAATATATGTTTCTGCGAGTTTAACTTGACTTTTTGTTTTGTAAACGGCTCGCTTTTTCATCTGGAATAGAAAAAAATACAACATGCACGTATACGCTATTTATAAAGAATTGTGTTAAGCTTTTTTTTACTGAAGACAGTTATTTCAAACTTATGCTCTATGAAACTGTTTAAAGTGCTATTGAATCACAGCTATGTGACATTTCATTGTTAATGTGTTTGAGATAAAAATATGGAAGAGTAGATATTTTTTTATATACTTTAATCTGAAAAAATTTAATTAACAGTAAATTTTTCAGTTTACTGTTAAATATACTTGTTTGAACGAAAGCCTAATAGTGCAAAATACGATAAAAAAAATGAAAATGCAAAGGCGTTATAACGCGAATAAATGCGTTATTACGCCAATCAAATGACGTTATAACGCAAAAAAAGGCGTAGCAACGCAAACAAAGACGAAGTAACGCGAATAAAGGCGTTATAACGCGAATTGAAAGGCATAATTTCGCGAATCAAAAGGCGTACTAACGCCAATAAAGGCGTAGTCACGCAAGAAGGGCGTTATAACGCAAATAGAAAGACGTAATTACGCAAATCAAAAGGCGTAATAACGCAAATAAAGGCATTATAACGCGAATCAAAAGGCGTAAAACGCCTTTATTCGCGTTATAACGCAAAACAAAAGGCGTAATAACGCAAATCAAAAAGGCGTATTAACGCGAATAAAAGCGTAGTAACGCGAACCAAAAGGCGTTATAACGCAAGGCAAATAAAAACGCTCTATAATGCCAATTTAATACCATATTTATATTAATCAAAATGGCCTAGTAACGCGAAAAAGGAAAAACAATATTGATCTGAATTTATTGGTCAAGATATAAACTCATATAGAATAATGTAATAATATATACATTTATAATGACTATCATTCCATTTGCGCAGTAATAATGCAAACTAATTGTCATACACTAATGAAGACTCTTTGATATTTGTCAATTGAAAATGACTTGGAGACTTATTATTATTATAAATTCAATGGACCAGACGGCTATGAACGAAGCTATCCGATTATGTGGTTCCCAAACTTAAAAGCGCTGCGCATTTTGCACACGGCAAAGCTGGGGCCACATAATCGGATAGCTTCGTTCATAGCCGTCTGGTCCATTGAATTTATCGAAACATTTTGTCGTTGAAAAAAAACGGCGATAATATTGATGTTTATTTCGGCTGTTGCGTTGTTTATAGTACCGTTGAAGTTTAAAATTGACCATCATCGTGAAGAATTATATCTTCTGTGTCGATGGACCAAAGGATTATGTGAAAATATTGGAAATGGATTAAAATACATGGTGATTATGACGGTAGGGGTGCGGATTTTTTCCGGCGAACATTTTTATCTTGTGTATTATTATAGATGTTGAAATATGATTTTTTTTTCAAAACGGCTTATATTAAGTTTTTTTGATATATATGATCAGTACATGTGCTGGGATTGACAAATATGCATTTTATTTGGATTTTAAAGGCGTTTTGAGCTCCAAACCCCAAGTGTCTGTGTTTTGATCCGCGTTACAAAAATCTGGAAACAAAGTGATCCCTCGGAAGCATTAATCACAACAAAATTACATAAGAATCGGTTTGTTTTAGTCTGTACATGAGGGATAATGAATTGGTGCAACATCCCTCACGACCCCTAGCACCGGCTTGAGCGGTACTCAATTCTCAACACTTAATATTGCTGGCATCAATGATCCCGAAAGACAAGAAAAATATAACAACACTGAAGTGAAGTGCGGGGCAACTTTTTACGTTTTAAGGTCTTTATTCGCGTTACTTCGCCTTTATTTGCGTTGCTTCGCCTTTTACTCGCGTTTTGTCGCCTTTTAATTCGCGTAATAACGCCTTAGCATTTTTATTTTTCACTTTATTTGACACTATTAGGCTTTCGTAAATTTGTCACGTAAAACTAAAAAAAAATATAATATAATTTTGTTTGTAAAATGTACAAATAAAAGCTAAAAATTTAAACAGAATACGTGCAATTTACATTTTGCATTGTTAACTGTAAATATTTGCACTTTAAACTATAAAATTAACATTTAATTTGTATTTTTGTCACAATTTTAAGTGTCAATTATATAGATTAATGCATAAGTTTAATAGTAAATTTTAAAATTCAAATTGTAAAGTAACCAGTTACAAGTATCAAATTTACAGTTTGAAACGTTAGCGTTTAAGCTTTTAGTTCATAATATAAAGTTTAACTGGTGTATAGGTGTAGGATTTAAGTGAAGATACGTATCAATATGCACTTATAAGTTTTTGTATAAGCCATATACCTAATGCGACAAAGTGAGGTCACTAAAGTGCTGAAAATAACCTGCACTTTAGATACCGCACTGCAAAACAGTATTTTCCCTGTTCGGGGACCCGGGCGAAAAACAAAGTCAACATTTTGTCGTAATTTTGTTCCGCTGGACACAATGCGAAAAAAAACCGAAAAATCCTTTAAAGTCTAAAAAATGTTATATTTTCGCTAAGCCGCACGCAAGGCGAAAACATAAAAAATCCAACAAAGTCATTTCTTCGTCGAAGTTTCGCCTCGTGAAGCACAAGGCGAAAAGAGATAGCAGCAATGATGTCACCACTTGGTTTAATCCTCGTTAATACGCCTGGTGTACCATGGGGGTGTAAAGTACGACAAAGTTGTCACTTTATCGTACTTTTATCTGGCGCCCCACAGACAGAATGATGACTTGACACAAATCAGCCATCATAAAAAAAATGAAAATCAAATTGAAATGGATTTTATGTCATTTGAGAACGGACAATTAATTTTTCAAGTTTAATTTCATGTCAAAAGAAATTTATTTGGGTTAAAATAAATTTTGCACAACAAATACAAAGTTACTCAACTGTTCTTTTCTCAAATGTATTCAATGTGTTATTCAATGTATGTGCATTCATTGAACTGACTACGAAAACCGCGATAAAAATGTCGGGATAAACGTACCCATGTCTGTATTGTATCGATGATAAAATGCTTGCAGATTTGCTTTTTTTGTTATATGGGTTACATTGATGACGGCAGGGAAAAGTCGTTTGTTTTGGTCTATGATATTGTTAGAAAATAATCATAATATTACATGCCCATTTGCATACATTTTTTGATGGTTGTAATTTTATCTATAAAATCGTCATTTCCACAAGAGGATACTCATCGCTACATTGTTCCAAAATAGTTTAAATTAAGGCGTCTTTTTACAACAGACCTACTAAAAGGCGAAATAGCACAGTGGTAAAGTGCAATGTTCATATCAAAAGGTTTGTGGTTCGAGCTCACCTGGTTTCCAATATAATATTTTATACTGCTATAATGTCCTACCTCTATGCTTCATTGAAATTGTTGTTAATCTATACATGTGCACCTGTGTCAGCTGCACCAAAACGACCAATGATGCAGATCTGATATTACATTGTATAACATATAACATATTTGAAATGTTTTTGATGTACTAGATGGATTTAAAGGAGATAAACTAAACGATTACAACACTGGAGGATAAAAAGACAATAGAAACCAATGTGTAACAATGATGTTTAAAATAATTAGCAAAAATAGACAGGGTCAAATACAGAGAGAGTGGAAAGTCAAATAACAGGGATATACCTATCTTAAAAGAGTACGTGCAACGACCGGTTTATGCATGCAAATTGTGAGTGTGGCGTTGCTTAAAATTGCAAATCTACATACCCTTTTCACATGGTGAATACTTGAGTTAAGAATACCGGCAGGCCTATCAAACTCAATTGTAAAATCTCTTTTCTTGAAAAATTCTAGCTTGTCTTTACAGCTTGCTGTAACAGTTGGAAAACCTGTAAGAAAATACAGTGTTATAGCGTTACAATCTGCAGAAACACCAAGACACAGTGTAAGCCTGAGACTGCATGGCGAGAAATTTAATAGGTCTGAGAGCTTCAGTAATTATACATTCACGAAAATGAAGCATTTCTTGAATAAAAGTATATGTCTGTTTGGGCAAGTTCACTTTTTCTATTATCAATTTTAAAGGGGAGCTAAATGCAAAATATTTGTTCAAAACGACAGCTAGAGAAGTTGCTAAAAGCATTACAAATGAAAGAAAAATCAACTAAAGAAACATTTTAATTGCAGTTTATATTTATCGTTGACCTCTAAATTAACAATACTGATTCCAATTGAACGGGCACACAGCTGTTAAATCTATATAATAGAGGAGACTCTTGTCAGTATTATCAAATACAGGTGCGCAATAACACCGTACCAAATAAACTATTATTAACTTAATTAACGCTACAAATTATTAACATAATAATACTCGTCAAAAGCAATTATTATTATACAAAAATAAAGCCTATAAATAACAGCAATAGTCTGTGTTGAAAACATTTAATTATCACCATTTAAGAAGGTATTTTACTTGGATGGCTGAAAATTTAAAAGATACGATCGGATAATTTACCAAAATATTTCATGGTTGGCGGGTCTTAAAACCGTTTCATTTCTCCCTTTTATTTTAATAATGACGTTTCAGCCGAAGGTTAGAAAACTACAAAAAGTAAATAAGAAAGAAATCGCTAAATTAATTATTTCAAAAATAAACGAAGGTGAATTTGCAAAAACACTTAAAAAAAAAACAACAAAAAACTGAAAACTGATCATGAGAACAAACCTTTCTTTTTTATCGGAGATTCCAAATTAGTTGATATATCTTAATAAACGAAGAATTCGTATTAAGAAAAACTCCGATTACCTATTGGTCCAGGGGTAGAATGCTTGCCTCGTGTGCAAGCAGTTGTTGGTTCGAGTCTCATGTAGACCTTTTTATTTTATATTCCTTTATTGTTTGTAGCACATAAAACAAAACCAGAGTAGATCTAATGAAAGAAGTAATTCATGTTCTAGTATTTTATATTTCTTACGATTGGGTTTTTACACTTCGTTTAGACAGTATTAAATTATATAGCGACGGAAACGAGTTATCTGTTCTTCCCAAATAGCTTATAACACATCCAAATAAATCAGAGGTGATGTTCGAAATATTTCAAACATGATAATGTTTTTTATTTAAAGTTTCCTGAGGAATGGGTACCTTGTCTAAGGCTCAAGCGAAAAAATCAATATTCATAATCCTACAGTTAATATTAAAGTAACCAAGCTACGTGGAAATTATGTTTTAAATGTTAATGTGGTTCCAAATTGTCAGTCTCATTTGATGCCAAATTGAAAGTAAGCAATATGCAGTTTTATTTTGTTGTTGTTAAACCTGTGCGCTGACTGATATGCATTTAGCAAATTACGATACCTTTTGAAAATTTGCTACAGGGATAGAACGGTTAATGCCAGTTTTAAAAGTGCAAAGATATGTTCGGTTACATCGGCTCTTTACGTAAATATTTTTTGAAGATGTTGGTTTATTCATGTGATATAATGGTATATAGTGTATAAGGACATACATGTTTACAATTTGGACTATAATGCCTTTCATGTAGTTGACTATTATAATCACGCTAAACAGAAACCACATCATATTAAATAAAAAAACACCTCAAAATCAACAGTGCTTTTGTATTATATTTGAAAAATGCTACTTTGGTTACAATGTAGAAATGAGATTGAAATTTTGACCGATTTAATTCTCTCTTTAGGTTTTTGTGAAACTAATGTTGTAGAAAAACAGAAATCACTTTAATTTTTGATAACTTTTATTTTTTAAACTTTTTCTGTACGTAGACAGACTTCTCTTTTCACCCGTTTTACATAATGGGTCTGTCTGAAAAGATCAAATTTGTGTGCGTGCGAAAGAAAGACATCTGATACCCTGCCAAAATCAATAAAGGAGGTGTGTAAGAGAATAAAGTTTCATTGCCACACAAAGTGTCAAAAGTTACAAAACTTACTCAATTATGGGAATGACTTTGAAGTAAGAAAATTGTCAGCTAAGGTGTTTTGACATACAAAAAAGAAATAGATAAGAATAACAATAAAATTACGCATTACAGGTGCCTGTGTGGCAGATTAAGTCTTCCTTAAAAGAAGTTATTGAATTTAAGGCACTTTAAGAAATGAAAAAGACTCTCTTGTTAATAAATGTCCTTCATTCAAAACAGTGATAAAGTAAAGTTTGAATTATAAAATTACTAATCATAGACAAAAAAACCTTGGAAAACAACGAAATTACAAGTAATAAAACAAGTATAAAACAGGTCACTTGATTGAAGCCTTAAAGTAATTTGAAAGCATTCAATAAGAATTTGGTATCTGTAACTGCATCAAAATGATAATAATAAGCTGTCAAACAAATTTTTTATAATTACCTGAAAGTATGAAATTAAGAATTTTAATTATAGAGTTAAAGTTTATTGTAATACGATCCGTGTTTTACCCTTTTGAACATAGAAGACAGAAAGAATGTGTGTGTGTGTTTTTTTGCAATAATATCAGTTGACGTCCTATATTTAAACATATGATGTAACCACTAACATAGCAACGCGCTGAAAATAGGGAAATAGATCAGGCGCAATTTATTTTTTCATGTCGTGTAAGAATCGAAATAATATATCCAAAATCAGTGATTTTGTCTCTTGATAAAATCACTGTTTGTCGTTCGGATGCGCATCATTATATCACTCGTGATGTATTCCTCGCATCCGAACTCAAAACAGTGATTTTATTTAGCGATATATTTTTTCTTAAATAAAGCATGCAAATCAAATGCTGAAATTCAATGATTACATCAATACCGGGAATGAATTAAATTTCAAAATAAGTATCAATTTATTTAACAATAGTACTTGGGGTTTACGTCGCACCAACACTGTAAAGGACATAATTATATGATGAATTTCAAGCATTTCTCCTACAGTATAATAGGCACAAATGTGCACCAGAGTTGGACAACCATGTTCCGAAATCTAGCTACATAAAATAATCCGAAAGCTCTGGTTGGATGAACCCACAGCGGTATGTGGTTAGTGCTTTGAAGTCAACGATCTTAATCATGCGGCCACGGACACTATCAAAATAATATACTAGTCCTCAATCATTATTTATTAAGCTATTTAAACAAATGAGGGCAGTTTTTTAAAGCGATATGTACATATGATTGTAAATTAATTCAGACATGTGTAGGTTTTCCTTTGTATTTTGGTTCCGCAAACATTCTGTTGAAGAGCGATTGTTTGACATGCTTCACATAATTATTTTAATCTCTTGAAACTCTAGGACAAGAAAGGTCTTTTTTATTAAATACAAAATAGATTAAATTATAGTTTGGGTAAAGGAACTCCACTGAGGTCAACAAGAGCACCGCATAGGCGTAGCAATATACGCCCGAATGCAAATTAGTTTTAAGAAAATAAAATTTAAAGTCATCAAAAATAATTTTCCAAAAATACAAGATACCTATTTATAAAATTTGGCTGCAATATGTTTCATATCATAGAAACATAAAAGCCCCTCAATTGTTATAATCTAAACAGTAAACAACCTAAAAGTTTAAAGTTTGATAAAAAAAACAACATTATAAAGTAATAGGCGGGGCCAATTTTGATCTTAGGAAGTCTGAACTGGTGTGCTGTAAACCGTCTTAATATGAGTAATATTTTTGCCAAAAAGTTTTAATTTCTTCCTATTGGTTCAAAAGATACAGAGGACAAAAATGTTGAAATTGATACAAAATGACAAAGTGTTACCATGGCCTGAGAAAGGTCAAACCTGCGCTCTGCATATCGTCTAATTACGATTATTATTTCTGTATTAACTTTCTTTCACCAGTTCAAAAGATACAGACCGGACACGAAAACCTGCTAACAGACGGATGGACTGACAACCAGGTGCATAACAATATACGCCGAAATTCTTACGCCTAAAACCATGAAATTAGAAATTCTTAAAGAGTGAAAGAAAAACAGTTAAGCGTTGCAACGGGCCATTTTACATAATCGTAAAACGTATGATTCTGGAAAAACGAGGGGATGATCTGAAAATTTTCGAACAAGTTATGAGTCAAAACATACTTAAAATTGTAAACAAATATTGGAAACTATTCCTTAAAGGGGTCAATAGGATGCTTAGATTAATAGTAATGTTAATTTTTTCTATAAGATAAAATATATTTTGAAAAAATAATGGACAGCATACGAACCCATGTTAGAAAATCCAGACACTGCATGAACCGGTCTCATGGCGTGAAAAGGATCATATCTGTATAGATGTATAGATAACATTTAATAAACAGGGAATATAACAATTTCATGCCTCAAATCTTTCAACAAAATAAATTGCATTGTTAAAACTGACTGCCATCGTGCTACCGAATATTACTTGTATTTGCATATATTGACAATTACTTAAAAAATAACTGGGAAACGAAATTTATCCGGTAAGCAAAGTGTCGAAAGTGGGAAGATGGAACCTGATTTTTATGGTTTTATGATTTAGGTCATATGGCGCCGAAACAGGAAACATTATTTTGGCTTATCTTGGTTGCAACAACAATGTCAAAGCCACTTCACCTGCTAGAGCTAAAAGATATATAAGGTAGAAAACTGAATTTTTATTTACAGAATATAGTATGACATCTCACGATATTTTGTCTTCCTTTCAGTTATGCCAAAAATTATGGTAGTTATTGCAAATTACACGTCACAATACTTTTTATTGCTTGGTAACCTTAGTATATTATGTGCTATATTTTTAAATATCATCATGCGTTAAATACCCAGCTTTAGTTGAAAAGTCAATGTTTATCTCTTCCTCTATCATCACGCTATGAATTGTGTTTAAGTCTTCATTGAAATGATACTTCTGAAAGGAAAAATAGAACCATTTCTATTAAAATACACGATCGCACATTAAATTCCTTTTCATTTAAATACTTATACTTTTGCAATACATTTCTATGGGTTATATAACTACTGTAACAATGGTCTTGAATATTTCAATCGATTTTACCAGAAATGAATAAACGTCATCAAAATTGAAAATATTATATTAAAATTCCTACTATCAATATGGAGCAAGCAAATAAAAAAGCACAATTCTTATAAATATGAATGTAATTTACAACTAGTTATTGTCCGAAAACCATTTTTCTATTTTGAGTAACGTTGACCCGTGACCCCAGGGGCTCCAAATTTCATCCCAGCCAAGTTTGATGAAGAAAATCTTTATATAGCTCTAGTTATCATCAGGAAACCATTTTTCTATTTTGAGTAACGGTGACCTGTTACCCCAGGTGCTCTAAATGTCATCCCAGCCAAGTTTGATAAAAAATATCTTAATATAACACTGACCAGTTATTATCCGAAAAAAAACAACAACAAAAAAACCTGTTACCTTGACCCTTAAGAGTCCAAATGCAATACAAACCGAAGTCTTCATACAAGCTTGGTATCAATCAAGTTTGATTACAATATCTCATTCCTAACTCTAGTTATTGTCCAGAAACCATTCTTCTATTTTAGTAACGGTGACCTTGACCTTGACCTAAGAGGTCTAAATGCAATACCAACCAGCGTTTTCACATAAGGTGCAATATACCAAAATTGATTACACTATCTCATTCTTAACTCTAGTTAGTGCCGGAAATCATTTTTCTACTTTTAGTAACTGTGACCTTGACCTTGAACCCAGGTGGTCTAAATGCTATACCAATCGGAATCTGCATATAAGCTTGCTATAAGCCAAGTTTCTTTACAATATCTCATTCCTAACACTATTGTCGGAAACCATTTTTCTATTTTTCAGTAACGGTGACCTTGACCCCAGGGGGCCCAAAGGCAATACTAAGCGAGGTCTTCCTTTAAGCTTGCTATGAACCACGTTTGATTACAATATCTCATTCCTGTCGTCCGGAAACCATGATGTGGACCTACCGACCAACCGACAAGCTGACTCTTATATACGCCCCTACACTTCGTTTGTGGGAATATAAAATCATAATAATATACTTTGAAAATATTTTGTAAGAGTAGTTGATCAAACGAAAATTTTCTATATAGTCTTTGTATTATGCAGAGACAGTCTTAAGTAAATAATTCATTGAAATTGTAAAATGTAATCAATTGGTTTCTATTATGAGTAATTTGTTTGTATGAAAATCTATACCTTTGCATACGTTCCATTTCCATTTACGGCTTGAATCTGAGAAGAATTCCTTGTCTTTATGTATTCATAACCCTTTGATGTTTTACGGACGGTGTATGAGGCATTGTGCTGACCTGATATATATTGATTTGAATTAAAGGAAATTACACTGCATTTCAGAAAATATTTTATAATTGTTTTTCCAAATGTAACATTGCTTATTATTAGCTGAAGTGTTTATATCATTAAACTTGGCTATCAAGCTCTTCGGAAAAATTTAAACCTTTATTGAACCTTTTCAGGGTGCATTTTCATTATTTCCTTAGTTTTCATAGCGTATTGTATTAACGTAAATACCGATATCGTTACTATGATATATCTTAAGGTAGGGATGTCTTTACCTTCTCTACCAAGTTCGTTTGTCTTGTATCTCCAGCCTTCCTGGTGTCGTTCGTGTTCAATCTAAAAATATAATATTAACTTAATTTAACAGCAACATCTTTTTTCCTCATGGTACATTAAAGTGTCGTATTTACCTTCCGTGAATCAAAGTAGTACACAACAATGTAAATATTACTTACGTATCAATTTTTCATTTACTTTCCGTCTGTTTATTTCTTAATTGCAAATAAATAGTTCACCAATTTGCAAATTGTAACCTTAAAGGGCATGAATGTTGCCATGACATTTGTTTCGGTTAGCAAAACTGACATGCTAGAGAACCCAATCATTCAAAATTTTATCCAAATAATTGTGGTTCCATTTTTAGGTGCAATTTTGTAAATTAAAAAGAATTCATACAAAGTGAAAGCGTTTTGGAACAGTCATTAGTAATTACACCATTTGGGAGTTTTAATCGTTTTAACCGCGCCAATTCTCTCATACTCATAGCCCCAATATGTTTCTATATCGCGAGACAGAATAATAAAAAAATAACCCCTCTGCCAACAGAAATTCTAATAATTATTATGGTAACATTAGACAAAATTAATAAATCACAATAATGATCACGTAGATATATACAAAAAAGGCACAACCTAATAACAGAACATAACAAAATATTCGATGCCGAAATGGAAGGCAGAGCAACAAGGAAATCACTTACAACGGCCTGTCAACTTTACATAATCCTTACAGTCTATGTTTGAAATCTATGTTTAACCATTTGAAGAAGCCCACAGACTTTCTAAATCTCTCGGTTTATGGGCTTGGGCGTTAAATGCATTATCATGCTCCTGCAGTTGTTATTACACTAAACGGGTGTTTACCTCATTACGATGATGAAGTTTAGCTGAAAGCATTCCAGCAAATCCTTTCTTAATCAAAAGAACCTCATCGTCTTCATCATCCGGATGATAAACCTTTCGTATTTCACCTTGGCGGCTTATCTCAAAGGAGAACCTGGATAAAACAAATACTTTACTTATGGTTCATTCTTTTCAATAGAATTTACAAAACTGTTCTTATTTTTAGAATAAATTAACAAAATTAGAATTGTAGCAGTAACAAAATGTCTACAATAATCAATTTACGATTTCATTAGAACTTTATCAGCCCTGAATAATGAGCTTTTTAAAATATGTTTTATACATAGAGATTACCACAATCTCAAGCAATTAAGTAATAAAAATTAAGTCGTTAATGTATGGCTACCGAATTAAAGGCATTCGAGTTTCTGTGACCCTTTTTTTTATAAAACAAGAGTCGGTTTGAACCGAGTGATGCTCCCCGAATAGGTTTTTGAACACAGAAAAGTGCACCTCTTGTAGTTTCAGTGTTATAATCCGGACAGAGGTCAAAGTGCATAAATTCTAAAATTAGGCAAGACAGGGTTACTGTTTTTTGCACTGCAATTTTACTCATTGAGACCTATTAACCGACTTAGTTTCTTGTTATACCTCTTGTAGTTTTAGAGTAATGTCTCGGACAAAGTTCAGTGTAAAATTGAAAAACAGCTAAAACTCCAAAAATGAGATACGGTTCGTTTGCACTGCATTTTTATTTAATGAGATATGTCAATCTACAAAGATTTATGTTAATATCACTTATACTAGTTTCAAAGTTAATTCCTCTTAAGGTTTTAGAGCTATGCCCCGGACCAAATTCAAAGTAAATAAATGAAAAAAGGGCAATAACTCCAAAATTAGGCAAGGCAGAGTTACGGTTCTTTTATTGTCCAATTGAGATCTATCTTCCTACAACTTTTCATGGTGATATCTCTTTAGGTTGAAAAGGTCTGTCCCAGACAAAGTTCAATGTGTAAAAATGAACAAAAGTCATGACTCCAAAATAAGCCAAGGCATAGTTACGATTCTTGTACACTGCACATCTTCCCATTGAGATCTATCTACCTTCGAAGTTGATATCTATTATAATTTTAGAGTTTTGTCCCGGACAAGATTTATCTAAAAGGGGAGATAATCCAAAAACGGAGTAAAACAGAGTTTTTTGGCACTGCACTCCGCATCAATTTCTCCTACCACTGTGTACAGTTTTAACAAATTATGTCTAAACTTTTTCAAGTCATGCTCCTGACAAGCACAACGGACGGACAGACTAACAGATTGACTGACGGACAGACTGACAAGGCTGCGACTATATACTCTCCCTTCGGTGAAAATAAAAAAACTTTGTATCAATCTTACCATTTAGAGAAGTTCTGGTGATGATCGTCTGCCTCTGACAAAACAATGAAAAACAAATCAGTAAAATGAACGCAAAAGACAGTAGTTTCACAATCCAGTAATAATTCTATATACATTAAAGAGAAAGAAGGGGGATATGACATATTTATTATACTCGTTCGTTAACTATTTAATGTTAATTTAGCTTTTAAAAATAAGATAACACAATATGGGAATTGATGGCCATAATCGCTCATCCGATGTACATTGCTAGAAAATGTAACGGTTATTTTGTAACTTTTTGTGAGTTATCATTATGATCTTCGCTGATTCCTTTAGTAGTTTGATATTTGACAGAAAAAAAAGTTGGCAACCATAAATGCGTGAACTACAAGTTTGCAACTAAAATGCGCTTGAACAGATATTTTCGTGTATTGAAACCTGATTTGGAACATGCAAATTCAAACATTTACACAGTATTTCAGGTACATAATTTGCCTTGTTTGGTGAACTTACTTATAAATGAGCATATAAATCGCCCTGGACTGTCACATGTCAAATTTAAAATATGTACATAACCATAATTCTATGTAAAATAAGTGATCCCCAGGAAGGAACTTATTTAAGCCCAGGTACATGTCTCGTAAATGTCCACTAAGAAGTGCTGCATACCAAATATGTAAGTTTTAGGCACTCTACTTTACATAAAGAAGACTTAAACTGTTTTCTAAGAGTCTATGTGAAATAAGTGACGCCCTGAGCGAGGAAATTTTGACCCAAGAGGTAGGATTTGTATAATTGTTGTAGAGGATCACAAGGTGGTACTAGGAAATATCGTAGAGCTATGAATTGTACTTGTAGTATCTGAGTTTCTGAAACGAAGATGTTAAAGGTTTCCTTATTAAAATCTATTTTTAGCTCCTGTGACTTACTTATGTATTTAAGTAGAACCATTTAAATAACCTTTTGCAGGGTCACCTATGAATCGTTTTAAGAGGTTTTGTCAAAATCCATCAAGTGATTATAGAGGAGATGCTGCTTATATTAAAATAATTGTGGATAACGATGAACAAGTAACGACAGATGACGAACAATGGTTAAGTTGCCATCATAAAAGCTCATCTATGAGCAAAATGTGCTCAGATTAGCTAAAAATATTTGACAAAACAAAGTTAACAAACTTTTAAATTTAAACGAAAGTAAGTTATTCACCTGGGTGCCCTTTCGGGCTAAATGTAAATGAGTGCACTACAAGGAGCAACTCTTGGTAGTCTTCCTTTTCTGCTATGTTAACAAAGCCAATCTAAAAAAAGATTTCGAAAAGTTATTTGTACCTTTTAATATGGTCATCATTTTGGAAAGATAAGTCGATAAGGTTATAAAATCATGAAGTTAGAAACATGGACTTTAGGATTCTGAATTCATTTTATTGGTTAATAGGTTTTATTTATTTCAGGTGAGAATGGTTCTACAGCTGAGAACCATATGTACCATATCTTAGAATGAAACATTCCCGTTGGAAAAGGAAATTAATATTAAATGGAATCATTGTGAAATAACAAGAGTATTACAATTGTTTTGTATAGGTATTTGTCACTAAACTCTTCTGAAATGATTCCTCAAACATATCAGTACGTAACGTTTACCTGTCCTTTTGAGAGAAATGTTTGTACTTCTCGCAGCTCAATGACCGAGTTGAGATTGTACAGATATTCAAACCCCGGTTCATAATTGATGAAAGACGTTAAAACTGTTGGAACAAAAACTGTGCAGACGAGCAGACACAGCACAAGGCTGAATCCGCGATCTGTTGATGTCATTATTCAAGCTACATCAGTCTTAAAGATAAAAATAAACGCAGCTTTAACAAAATATAACTAAAACATTTTGTTGATTCCTTGTGCATTGTAATAGTTTTTGGCATGATAACAAATTATTTGAAAAGCTTCCAACTTTAAGAATAACACCAATTTATTAATCGATATAAAATCTTTTCAAATACATATATTGAAGTTGGGGAAAAAAGAAAAAGAGTATGTTTATACTTTATTTTATAATTGCATTTCTATATTTTCTTTCATCGTTTTCAATAGTGTAAAACCCCATATTTTAGCAGCATAATGCATTATATATTAGACAAACAAATATATTTTTTTATCTGCAGAAAAGGTAAATATATTCTAATTTGCATAGACTAGAGAGTAGAGATTGATTTTTTTTTCAATAATTACGCTTGAACTCACTATTTCACTCCATTTATATAAAATAGATTAACATTTTAGGTCCGTTTGTACAATTAAATGTTTTATGATCATATAAGTGTAAATCAGTGTCTGAATTATTTCTATTATTTTCTTATACAAATGAAAACAAGGTTCAATTAGAAAACATTGTTTTAAATTTCTTTTGCACTGACACTGAAATGAAAAAGAAATGTTGAAACACCTCACACAGAATTAAAACTATGTAAAAATAAAACAACATGCAATTTTGAAAACTTTGATAAGCACTTATGAAAATAAAATAAGAAAATCTCTTGTCTAAACGTTAAGAGTAGAAAAATAGACTTACTGCTTTGGCGTCATTTCGTCCTTTGCGCTTTATTGAGCGATAAATTGCTTTGCCTATATCTTATTGGGTAGAATATTTTAGCCAATCGATAGCTTGGTTGTTTAATGTGTTTATGTTAAACTTGATCTCGCACGTATATCGCTTGTTTTGCGAAGAATGAAGTGTTTAAGGAGAACAAAACAACGGCCATGTAAAACAACGCGAAAAATGGATGCTGTCGTTTTTCAGTTGCTCTTGATTGCAGTTTGTTTCAGGTAATATATGTATTTCATTATATCCATTATTGTTAATTAAAAGTAATGTTAGCATATTAAGATTTTTATTTGAACGCTCAATAGTATACTGAAACTTTGATTATTGAAAATTGATTTGATTTTACAACTGATATTGTCCATATATATTTTAAATCAACAAAATGAAATATTTTATGTCAAACGCCATAGTTAGAAAATGCCACATAAAGAAGAATATTGTTAAAAATGATAGTTTCGTACGACATCAGTTGTGCCTTAACATGTTTACAAAGACTATAAAAATTATTGTAAGACTACTATCTTATTTTTAAATTTTTATGCCCCCCCGAAAAATTTCAGGGGAGCATACAGTCGCCGGGTTGTCCGTCCGTCCATGCGTACGTACGTACGTCACGAATTCGTGTCCGGCCCATAACTTTGTTATTTAAAGTCGGATTTTAAAACTATTTCACAGAAATGATCTCCATATTGAGACGACGTGTCGCGCGCAACATTTGGGTCGCTACCTTGAAGGTCAAGATCACAGCATGACCTTGAAGCAAAATCTTGTCCGGCCCATAACTTCGTTATTTGAAGTCGGGTTTTACAACTACTTCACAGAAATGATAACCATATTGAGACGACGTGTTGCGCGTAACATTTGGGTCGCTACATTGAAGGTCAAGGTCACATCATGACATTGAAGAACAAGAACTGTCGGAGGACAGTATTGGCTCGACTATTCGATAAAGTTGTCACAAGGGTGTTTTATTGAGTATAATAACGCTAATTACCTATGAATACATAAAATTGACCGAAAAGGTACAAAGGCTTGTAATTAAGATGTTTTATCAAGTAAATCACTGCTTTATTATAATGAATGCATAAAATTGTCCCAAAAAAGGCACAAACCCTTCAGTAGTTATGTAGATAACAGCTTACAAGCAAAACTTTACCATGAATTTCTAAGTTGAAAAAGGGGAGAAAAATCAGCCTAAATGCAAGATAGAATTATGGATCTTGGTCAGTGACCTACAATTATGATTCTAAATGCATATTTGAAGTTTTAAATAATTATCTTTAATAGTTATTGAGATATTTAAAACTTGCATGTAAACATTAACCAAGAGACTAAGTAGAAAAGGGGAGATGAATCAGCCTTTATGCAAGATAGAGTTATGGAACTTGGTCAGTGACATACAATTATGACCCTCAAATTATGACCATAAGTACATGTGTAAAATTTCAAGTAAATATCTTTGAAAACCTTTAACCTTTAATCAAAATTTCTAAATTTCAAAGGGGCAAATAATTGTGCAAATATTGCAGGCAGAGCTGTGCAAACTGATGTACATTGTTACTATAAAAGGTATTGTAAATTTCAATTGAATATCTCAAGCAATAATTGAGATATTTGACTTTACAAAAAAACTTTAACCAAAATTTCTAAGTTAAAAAGGGGCATAGTTCTGTAAATATTGTAGGCAGAGTTATCCAACTTGTCAATCTGATGTACATTGTTCTTATAAATAAGTATTGTAAGTTACAAATGAATATCTCATGCAATAATTGAGATATTTGACTTTACAAAAAACTTTAACCAAAATTTCTAAGTTAAAAAGGGGCATAATTCTGTCAATATTGTAGGCAGAGTTATCCAACTTGTCATTCTGATGTACCTTGTTACTATAAATAAGTATTGTAAGTTTCAATTGAATATCTCAAGCAATAATTGAGATATTTGACTTTACAAAAAACTTTAACCAAAATTTCTAAGTTAAAAGGGGCATAATTCTGTCAATATTGTAGGCAGAGTTATCCAACTTGACAATCTGATGTACATTGTTACTATAAATAAGTATTGTAAGTTTCAATTGAATATCTCAAGCAATAATTGAGGTATTTGACATTACAAAAAAACTTTATCCAAACTTTCTAAGTTAAAAAGGGGCATAATTCTGTCAATATTGTAGGCAGAGTTGTCCAACTTGTCAATCTATTGAACCTTATTACTATAAATAAGTATTGTAAGTTTCAATTGAATATCTCAAGCAATAATTGAGATATTTGACTTTACAAAAAACTTTAACCAACGCAGACGCCGACGCGGACGCGGCTCCCACGCCGGGGCGACTACAATAGCTCTCATATTCTTCGAATAGTCGAGCTAAAGATCGTGTCCGGCCCATAACTTTGTTATCTGAAGTCGGAATTTACAACTATTTCACAAAAATTTTCACTATATTGAGACGACGTGTCACGCGCAACATTCGGGTCGCTACCTTGAAGGTCAATGTCACAGTATGACCTTGCAGCAAAATCGTGTCCGGCCCATAACTTTGTTATTTGAAGTCGGATTTTACAACTATTTCACAAATCACCATATTGAGACGACGTGTTGCGCGCAACATTTGGGTCGCTACCTTGAAGGTCAAGGTCACAACATGACCATGCAGCAAAATCGTGTCCGGCCCATAACTTCTTTATTTGAAGTCGGATTATAAAAATACTTCACAGAATGATCACAATATTGAGGCGACGTGTCGCGGGTAACGTTTGGCTTGCTTCTTTGAAGGTCAATGTCACAGCATGACCTTGAAGCATAATTGTGTCCGGCCCATAACTTTGTTATTTGAAGTCGGATTTTACAACTATTTCACACAAATGATCAACATATTGAGACGACATGTCGCGCGCAAGTCGGTAGACAGATCTAATTGAGTAGAAGTGCAGTGCAAGAACAGTAACTCTGCATTGCCTAAGTTTGGAATTATCACATTTTGAACTTTGTCTGGGACATAACTCTGAAACTACAAAAGATATACTTTTCTGTGTCCAAATCCTAGTCGGGGAGCATCACCCGGTTCAACCAGCTCTTGTTTATATTCTAACTCTACCGGATATTTCTCAAAAATAAATAAGACCGTAAGCGTGACATATTTCACAACAATGCACTCGCCGTTCTTATTTCTTCCCTTTGTATTTTCAAACCGACACTTTGACGGCGCCATTTTGTCTGAAAAATCTGATAAATAAAAAGAATTATTTGTTGAATCTTGTTTTGAAAACTATCTAGAATGATAGAAAATGGTCTAAGTAAATAAATCCGAATACCAATATCTTTAATTAACGCTGTACAGACTTTAAATTTGTCGTTTACGTGACGTCACCATGTAGCGCCAAACAATGCATGCAAAAACATTAAAAACAAGAACGCTATTTTAATGCCGCAAATCAATGAAATTGATTTCACTGTAAAAAAAAGCTTGAAAAATTTAAAGTGAAAGAAAATAAACACACCCAATTTGTATCTGCAAACGGTAGACTGAACGACACATTTTTAACCGACTAGAACAGCCTTTACTCTGGGGCGAAAACAAGTTTAACCACCAAACATATAGTCCAACTATATTTTTTTCTTGACGTGGTAAAATGGAAATAGATAATAATTATTCGTGCATGATAATAATATTATTATTATTATTTTTATCATTATTAGTATTATCATTATTAATATTATTATTATTATTATTTAAAACAAGATATGTTTGTTAAACATGTATGTCCCCTATCGGCAGCCAATTAGTCATGTGATCAGGTATTTATGACTGACTTTTGACCTAGTGACCAAAAAATCAATAAGGGTTAATTACTGATCATGACTAGTCACTAGGTAATTGTGACAACAAATGTTGTGTGCAGCAATTTTATGACAAAGTTATTACAAATCTTACGAATTAATATATGCATAAATTTTATGAGTCATGTAGGCCTCATTAACGACAGCCATTTTTTTATTACATAAGACATTGAAATATGTATACCAAAAGGATTTTCAGTTAAATAGAAAAATATCAACCAAGACAACTTTAGTTGTTGAGTTATTGGTCAGAAATAGTCTTGACATACAAGGTCAATATGATATTGACATTTGACCCTTAAATCAAAAGGGGTTATCTACTGGCCAAGACCAATGCACCTGTGAAGTTTGAAGGTAAAGGGCCCATGAGTTGGGATATTGATCAGAAAGCAATGTTACCTATAAGGTCAATGTTTTCTTGACCTCTGACCCCTAATGCTAAAAATACATTGAGATCATCTTCTGGCCAAAAGCAATGCATCTGTAAAGCTTGAAGGTCCATGGGTTGTCCAGTTATTGATAGAAAATCATTTTAAAATTCAACCTTGACCTTTGACCCTCTGACCCCAAATCAATAGGAGTCATCTACTGGCCAAGACCAATGCACCTAGAAATGTATGGGCCAACAGCCCATAGTTTGTCAAGTTATTGGTCGGAGACTCGAAAACCGTTTTTACCTACAAGGTTAATGTGACCTTGGCCTTTGACCCATTGGCCCCAAAATCAATAAGGGTCATTTGCTGGTCACTAACAATCATCATACTAAGTCCTAAGCGTCCTTTAGTTATCACTCGGAAACCGTTTTGACCTACAAGGTCAATGTGACCTTGACCTTTGACCACTTGACCCCAAAATCAATAGGGGTCATCTACTGGTCATGAGCAATCACCATACTTAGTTTGAAGTTCCTATGCCTAAGCGTTCTTAAGTTATCACTCGGTAACCATTTGGTCTACGGACCGATGGACCGACAGACAGACAAATGCAAAGGAATATACCCCCACTTTTTTGAAGGGGGCATACTTATTACTAATTATTTTAATAATAATAATAAATTGCGGCAATAACTTGTTTATTGAACCGCGTCACGCATTTATAAATAATCTATATATTACTACGCGCTATACAATTGCAGTTGCGTAGCAAGTGAGGGATTCGTTTTGTGTTTTTGTTTGTTTGTTTCATTTTACGCCTTTTTCCAACAGTATTTCAGTCATATAGGCGGGTAGTTTCCTAACCATTGTTCCTGGAGAGTTACACCAGTACTAGACTACCTTCCTCCGCGCTAAACTACCAAAGCATCTCCCCCGGGGATCGAACCTACGCCAGAGAGGTAACTGGAATAGAAGTCATCGACTCGTTACCATTTTTTGATAATAAAAATTAAATTAAAAAGTTTTTGTTTTTTCATTTTCGTGAAATATGGAATATATTTTCACCCAACATTATAAATAACCATTCATTTTCACTCGCCGTTCCGGCTTCGACGTGTAAAAATATGTGGTATTTCATCATGTTGAGATAAAATATATTGCATAATTCACTTAAACGAAAAAAATAAAAAATATTCTCATAATATTTAGCTTTATACCCTTTAAACAGAGTTTAACTAGTATCTTAATATGACATTGACAAAAGGTTTAAAATTCCTTTCTTATTCATAAGTTGTAATGACCTTTCATGTCAATTGTATAATAGATATAATCCATTATATTATGTACACTAACGCCACAGTATTGGCAATATTTTGATGAGGTGTCACTTGATCTTCGTTTTCTTTTGTTAGGCGATGCATTTTAACAATTTTATTTGTATTGCTGTGATCGTAACATTCAGGTTTTTGGTAAGTGTCAATTGGGCTAGGCTTTAATTTTTTTATATCTCTAAATTTGATTATCGATTTCTACATGCACATTGTAAACCTTGGGTATTTAAAATACAATATGCTTCGCATGAGTTCAACAAATCTTGATTCAATAAATATTAGATGTGATAAAGGATATAAATGTTTGTGTCCTTCCCACACGTACATTAGCGTACTTATTTCATTTTTAAAAAAATGTTTATAATAATACTAAAAGGTCTCTTTAATAATGATGAATCAAATAAAAAGTTTTTTTTTCATCTTATATTTTCTGTTATACTTATTAGTAAAAAGGCAAATTATTTACGGTAAAGGACCGGTAAAAATCGGAGACACACTTTTTTAATCAAATAATAACAAACCAAACATTGTTATTTTTGAATACATGTATATAGTCCAAGTTCCTATTTGACTGTTAACGTACTTTTGTGACAGAAACGTACATAACAGTTTACTTGATTGTCTCCCTTTTCTATAAGTTTGCTATTTGCATTAGAAAAATGTAGCAAGATATTTAGAAATTGATCATGATATAAAGAGTAGGTATTTTTTAACCATTTTTAATTTCAAATCTATATAATTTTAGGGTATCCATCAAAGTGTTGATATTTGAAATGGTACATCTATTACTCACAATACTCATACGGATCGTAATGATAGTAACATTTTCTTGTACACAGAAATTTCAGATATCTGGTACTGAAATGTGCTATTGTGTCAGTAAGACCTCTTTGGCCAAGGTTGATTGGAAATGTTAAAGTTTATAGTTACTAGTACATAGAAATCTCAGATATCTGGTACTAAGGGTGCTATATTCATAAGACAAATGATTAGTGAAGAACATTTTTATGAATGTTTGAAGCATTGTATTCTTTAGAAACATAGTATATAAGATTGTTGCAATGTAAATGTAGGGGATGGAGGATAGGTTGAGCTTTAGATTGATATTTGGTTGAAAGCAAATAATTGTTACTTGGAATATATATTTTCGAATGATTTTTGAAAAAGATTAAAATTGCTATCATGCATTGAATGATGTTTTTTCAGTTATTTTCCAATCATAAGAATGAGTATCCCGAGGAAAAAGTTACATGTATTTTGCATTTAAGAATATTAAAAATATTAAGATTTTATCTTGTAGCACTTGAATAACAATACACCACTCGGTACACGCTACATTCTATCTTAAAGGCTAGACCAAATCTATTAAATATTTCACGCGTGTCCATAGTAATAGCATGAAACTATTGTCTATTGCGTTACGCATTCAAAAGGGTAAATACTGGTCAGTCGGGTTTAATGCAATAAGTATATTGTAATGTATATTATTTGAGAAATTGTGTTACTGTAATTGAATTGTTGTGTGATAAATGTTGAATGATTTATTTTGTGAAATGTATTTGTATTGTAAGATATTTGAGTTGTAAAGTGATATCTTATTGTAATTTTTTTTGTTACAGGTTTTATTCTTTATAGAATAAATATATATTATTACCTGTGTTGTTCTACTCAAAATCCGACCACTACACACGTCTTGTTTCCGATTTAAGATTATACGTAACATAATGACCTTATAAGCTCAGTCTTTAATATTTCTATTCAAAATAAAGAACGTACACTGAACAGAAAATTGATAATAATACATTTAATAATGGAAATGATATATATTTATAGTTTTAACAACAAAACGTTCTTGCAACTTACTCAGTATATTAATCAGTTTCGAGTCCGCTTCCTGGCACCAACCAATACTGGTGTCATATGAAGACACATGGTCGTGTCCCGAATAGAGCTCGAATCCTTGATCTCTGGGTTGAAAGCCACTATTTCTTAAATACATTATGTTTATCTGTCTGTTTAAAATGCCTCAGCTGACTTAAATCAGAAATTCAAATTTTATGTAATACGCATTAGGACCTCAGTGGAGTTCCTTCAAGTTCATTATTTCTTAAACATTTTTCTGATTTTAAACGGACACCACTGAAAATATAGTCTAAGATATTTTTTCTTCTTTTTTTTCAGTTACGCAGGTGCAGCTTGCATAGAATATTATGCTACATCCAGAGAAACATGCCGCGGATGGTGGGGATGGTGGGGTTGCGAAACTGTGTAATGACTACTTTATATTACACTTATTCTATTTATTTTTCTATAATTTGTGTAAGTTCATTTATCGTATGCCGAACGGTTAATTCATATCATTGAGGTATAAGTCTTGACACTGTATAATTTAAGGCAAAAGCAAAACAGTTTCATCATTAAAGATATACTATGCTAAAATTTGATTTTTAAGAATATTAATAATTGCTATACAGCCTATTTGCATGTATAAAATAAACATGTTTCGACTTCATTTAAAGTGGATATGTTATTTTTTTGAACTCTACACACTATAGGTGGTCACAATATAATTATATATTGTCATTAAAAAATGGCAGTTTTTTAAAGAAAAGACTATCTTTACTTGTCCTGTAATAGGGAATACAGCTTCCAACACATGATTTATTCATTATTTTATTCAAAATAAAAACATATTCAGTAAGAATTTCGTGGATTTCAATACATTTCTAGGATAAAAATATTTTGCCCAAAGATGAGCATAGTATATGTTTAAAGTGTCCCAAGTGTGGTGGTGTTGATCATTCATTAAGTGAGCATCTATTACACTTTAAAGATATAATTGAAGCAAATGTTTTTTTTATTAATGTTTTGTACAGAAATTGTGTTTAGCTTCAGTTTTAGGGGTGTAAATGTTTATAAAAGCTTAGATTTAACTAGATAAAATATTCTACATAATTCTTGAAACAATATGTGATGCCTGCATAAATGGTCAGAAACGAATTACTAGTATTCGATTTTCCTAAAGATAAAGACAATGTTAGCTGTAGCTCTGCTCTAAACTCCCTTATAAATCAAGTAATAAGAAACGAAAATAAGTGGTTTTATTATACATTAATTCTTGTGATATTTGCAAAGCTTTCGATGTTGTTTATAGGGAAGGTAAATGATAAAAAAGGATATTGAATGAGTGTAATTTTAATTCTGACTATGTTGAAAGAGTTGAATAAAATAATATCATGCGAGCCTTTTGCGAGTATAATACTATTTTTTCAACGAGTTCAATGAATTCAGTAATGAACTCACACGAATTTGTTATTCTATTTATCACATACCAAAGCTTGTGAAGTGTAAAAGAAAAATGTTTCTTTGACGTGCATATGGAGAATATTGAATGAGTGTAAGTTCAATACTGAATTTATTGCACGAGTTGAATAAAATTATATTATGCCAGCCTCTGGCGAGCACAATATTATTTTATTCGACATGTTCAATAAATTCAGTGATGAACTTACACGAATTTAATATTCTATTTATCACATACCCAAATAAAGACCGTTTAAAGTGAAAAAGTGTCATTTTTTATTGACACACCTATATCATAACGCTAACATTTAGCGCGTCTTTACACCATGTTGATATAACGTTAATGACGTCACGTCAAAATGACCTGTTAGAATAACATTTATTACATGCTTTTCGGTGGTTTATAGAAATATATCAGTGATATAAAACTGGTAATTTCACTGTTTGAAACAGTGAAATTACCACTTTGATAATTTCACTGTTTTGAATTTAAGCCCCTTACGTTGTTTCAGTGAAATACTAGCGTGCACAGAACTGGGTACCAACTTAATGACGTGACGTCGTAAATGACGTCCCGTTGTATTATTATTTGGCGCGCTTATCATTCAGTATTAGGTTTTATGTCTTTTTAAAACGTTTCTTTGCATATAATAAAAAGAAAATTTGTTTAGTTTAGTGTAAGATCGAAATATATTTCACCTTGTGAACACCAAAAGTTCATATTTCACTCGTGGCTGCGCCACTCGTGAAATATACCTTTTGGTGCTCACTCGGTGAAATATATTCCGATCTTACACTGAACCAAACAAATATCCTCTATTTATCACACATCCGCGCCTTTTTGACGACTCCATAAAAATGGTATTGCACGGCCTGCATATATTTTGACGTGACTTCATTTGCGTTATACGAACAAAGCGTTAAGACGCGCTAAATTCCAGCGTAATGCTATTTATCACACACCCGTGTCGATTTGCGACTCCGTAAATATGATGTTGCACGGCCGTGCATATATCTTGAAGTGGGGTCATTTGTTTTACAAACATACTGGCATGCGAGCAGTTCCCGTACAGAAGCAGTACCCGTATTTTTCATTTTAACGCTTGATTTTTACTTGCATTATTTAAAAATTGATATCAATCAAGCATATGTATGAACGAGACAAAATCTAAATGTCAGCTTGGCAGTACGTATAAAATGTTTTATTTTAAATCACTTTCACCTATGCGTTGTCAAAACGTGACCTTGTAAACATTGGGGGATTCTGTCCTTGCGCGCATGGGCAATATACTTACAAATGAGGTCCATTAAAATGATTTTCACTAATACCACATGTGTACAGATAAGTGGGCAATGTGATGAAAACCTGTTTAATTATCAGAATTTTAATCTACATTACTATATTGAATAATTTTATGGCTTTTATGAGTAAATTATCATGCATATAAGCACGCCATTGCATGTGAAGGCGTTGGGGCAACGGTACAAGGTACGTAATATATACTAGAGCTAAAACTAAAGTCTACGCTCTATATCCTGAATGACACCTTTATACCTGTGGGAAATTGGTCTCTTCAACAATTCTAAATGAAAAATAGGTCTTATATAACAATATTGTATAATTATAGTGGGTTATATTTTATGTACGGAAACTACTTCTCTTCACACAAAATAATGGCTAATTTCGGTACCCCTTATGAGGCCTCATACCTAAGGGTTATTCTATAAGGGTTATTCTATAATTAGAACATAATGGCATTTAAATATTGTGTGTGACGAGCCGAATATTGATGTGTATCATTTTTTGGTGAGTGAGCGTAATGAAAAATAATGTTTAAGTAACTTCAATTTTTGTACGGGAACTGCTCGCATGCTAGTTGTGTAAAGACGCGCTATGTTAGCGTTACACTATATGCGCGTCGATGTAAAAATCCTCTTTTCAACTTTAAACAGTCCTTATTTTCGGTATGTGATAAATGGAATATTAAATTCGTGAAAGTTTATTGCTGATTCTTTTGAACTCGTTGAATAAAAAAAAATATCGTGCTCGCCAGAGACTCGCATTTTATAATTTAATTCAACTCGTACAATATTCAATATTCAATATCTTCTATTTTAATATTTTGTTCTCGTCTTTGGATGGGATCTTTTTTCTTTTATGCTGTTTTTAAATGCACCAGGCGCAAAGTTCTTTAGTCTATTATTATCATAATTTGCACATGACACGATGATTAATAATTTTCGTACTTACCAACGTACTTATACATTTGTTAATATTGAATACGCATTATTTTCGTGACAGGAAATCATTTTGAATAATTGCCCGAGAAGGAATGTTTGCTTCTAATCAAAACGACGTTTACACCATAACAACAATGGATGAAAATGTGTCACCTGGCGTGTTTTAAATAAATTATTTAGCTCCGTTTCAGAGATAAATAATAAATGTTTAACGCTATGGTGCAATTTTATAATCTTTAAAACTTATTAGGTCATTTATTTAATTACACATGTTTTTAAAACTAAATATTATCATCGCTTTCTAACCTTTAATTGAACTTATGTTTGAGCTATAGTCTTCATGTAGTGTCCATGAATTATAAAAAAAAGTCGCCGAAATTCAGACTGGCAATGACGAACCGCGTTGGTAAAGTAAAACGCTATAAAATATTTTCAGTACTTTCAAGTATTTTGTGTATTTCTTCAGCCAAAATTCCTTTATTAACTAAGTTAAAAAAAAAGAATAAAAAATAAAACGGGTGAGTTTGGTAATGTTTTCCGCAGCAAAACACAATAACGGATTTCTTTTTGTATCAAATAAAATAATTTATAAAATGTAAAGGCATTATAACGCGTTTAATATATTGCGAGTCAAAAGGTGTAATTACGCGAAACAATAGGCGTAGTGAAGCATATACAGGCAATTTTAATGCAAATAAAGGCATTTAATCACGAATCAAAGGCGTAATTACACAAAACTAAAGGCGTCCTAAGGTGAAACAAGACCTAGTAGCGCGAAAAATAGGTGAAATTCCACAATTCAAAATACGTTATAACGCGAAACTTAAGGGGCAATAAAGCGACGAAAGGTGTAATAACGCAAACCAAAAGGTGTATTTAGGCAAAATCAGAAAAGTTATAACGCAAACAAAAGGCGTTATACAGCAAAATGAAACGCGTTATGACGCAAAACAAGAAGGCTTTATACTTAGATTGCTGCTCGGCATTATGCGATAATGGCCCGAAGATGTGCATAATGGTGTGAGGACCGCAGGCCCGAAAACATTATTAACTCAAGGGTCATTATCGCATAATGGCGAGCAGCAACCAAGTATTAACGTCTTTAATACCTATGTCCGAAATACGGCATTTAGACATCGCCGCTAATCTTGGTTTTCGCCCTTTCTCAGAAACGGACAGTTGTCAATGTAAACACATATCTGTCATTCAGTTTAACCCTCCGATTACCTTTGAAAACATGACAAAAACAAAATAAATATGAGACAATGTTGTTTTATTGTTGTTTATATCGATAAATACTCTCTCTCTCTATTTTTTTGAGTTTTTATGAACGTTTGTGCCTTCAGGATGTCTAGCTCTATTTGCAATCGATGCGATTTTTTTCTACCTTCAAACTGAAATCAATTTTTGGAAGTTCCGAGGGTCACGTTTTGTCTTAGGTAGAGTTATTGTATTCTTTTCTTGCGTTTATAAATCTTAAATGTTAAGCTTTGTTGATTCAGATTGAATACCACATTAACTTAAGTTTTTGTGTGTAAGTGACTACAGTTCATTCAACGACAGCAGCCATCTTGAAAGTCACTGAGAGTTGATAACGTCATTTTGCAAGTGCGCTCATTCACTCGCCTATTATGAAAAAATAATGCCGAGTAGCAAGGCGGTCGAAATTGAATAATGACCTAGATCTTGCCATAATGGCCCTGAAATACCCTATATTTTGTTAC